TACTTATTACATGGGCAAAAAAACGTCCAATGTGTGTTAACGGAGGGAGTCAGAGGGACATTTCGCCAGGTTCGAAAATACACAACAGCGTGGCGTAGTTTACAAGCCACGTTCACGGGTCTAGGTATTAGTGTGTAACAGGAACAAAATTGCACATTTTCGAATTTTTTTTGGGACCTGCCAACTCTGCTGGTTCGCGTGAAAAGCTTCCTCCAGCCCTAAATGACAACCCAATGATAAAATTTAGGGCTGGGTAACTCCAGCTACCACTCTCTAACGAATAGGTTATGTCTCCAGCGCTACATGTGAATGAATATGAGCATGTCAGCTGGAGTTACTCTAGCCCTAGTTTGAGTAACTCCAGCTGACATGCTCCATATTCATTCACATGTAACGCTGGAGGCATAACCTGTTCGTTAGAATGTAGTAGCAAGAGACCCTAAAAAAATGGCCTCTCAAAAATTGTTCATTTTCACCTCTAATATCCCCACCCCAGAGTTCATTTACATACCTCATACATTCAGCAGTCATTTACGAAGCCTAATAATCGACTTGAAACAGACCACACAAAAAAAAGTGAAAAATCTTGACGATTTCGGTGGCTTGTCCGTAAAAATACGCCAGTTCCAACGGCTGTCTTCCATTTTGTTTTACTAATTATGTAAATGTATGCATCACGTGATGACATCAAAAAATTACCACACCGCTTTCAGGCGCCGCAAGTGAGTTCAATTTTCGTCTGGTGCGTTGTCGCGAAAAGCAAGACAATGAGAATGCCCTCCACGGCAACGCACCAGACAAAAATTGAACTCACTTGCGGCGCCTGAAAGTGGTGTGGTACCCACATACATCGCGCACGCAGATTTTTTTTGATGTCATCACGTGATGCATACATTTACATAATTAGTAAAAAAAAATGGAAGACAGCCGTTGGAACTGGCGTATTTTTACGGACAAGCCACCGAAATCGTCAAGATTTTTCACTTTTTTTTTGTGGTCTGTTTCAAGTCGATCATACATTAGGCTTCGTAATAGCCCCACTAGTGTGGCCGCGGTATGCTGCGCTGAACCTCTGGCCACACACTGTGGTGCCGTGCACTACTGAGGGCGTTTTCATAAAAATTACGGCCAGTTTCTTACATATGGTTGTATTCTATGATGTCCCATCTATCACTTCTGGGATGCTTAGGTGTAATGGTGTTCAATTTTCCGAGATATTCTTGAATCTTTCTGGAGCCCATATGCACTCGTGAAACGTCTGGTGATGGCAGCCATTTTGAATGTGACAAGAGATGACCTCAAGCTGTGACGTCGCGTTTATGCAAATTGCTTGTCGAGCGAGGGCGCGAGTTGCAAATGCGACGGCTGTTTCCTGTACCATGACCATGCATTTATCGTCTGGGATGATGGGGGCCACGTCCACTGATCTCTATTCAGGATCCACGGCACAGGAAACAGCCGTCGCATTTGCAACTCGCGCCCTCGCTCGACAAGCAATTTGCATAAACGCGACGTCACAGCTTGAGGTCATCTCTTGTCACATTCAAAATGGCTGCCATCACCAGACCTTGATGGGACATCATAGAATACAACCGTATGTAAGAAACTGGCCTTAATTTTTATGAAAAACGCCCTCAGTAGTGCGCGGTACCACGGTGTGTGGCCAGAGGTTTAGCGCAGCATATACCGCGGCCACACTAGTGGGGCTACTGACTGCTGAATGTATGAGGTATGTAAATGAACTCTGGGGTGGGATATCAGAGGTGAAAATGAACAATTTTTGAGAGGCCATTTTTTTAGGGTCTCTTGCTACCACATTCTAACGAACAGGTTTTGCCTCCAGCGTTACATGTGAATGAATATGGAACATGTCAGCTGGAGTTACTCAAGCTACTCTAGCCCCACTAGTGTGGCCGCGGTATGCAGAGGTTCAGCGCAGCATACCGCGGCCACACTAGTAGTGGGGCTAGAGTTTATACTCAAGCTAGGACTAGGGCTGTGGCTAGCTCTACTGAGTGGAGCGTTGAATTACGGGTACCCCTCCATATAAATGCTCCACCGATTTGCCATACTTTGGTGACGGCGTCACAGTAGCATAGTCACAAACCCACGCGAGGACAAAAAGACCCCCCAAAAAACTGGTAAAGAGAAGAATTACGGGTACCCCTCCATACAAACGCTCCACCGATTTGCCATACTTTGGTGACGGCGTCACAGTAGCATAGTCACAAACCCACGCGAGGACAAAAAGACCCCCCAAAAAACCGGTAAAGAGAATAGGCCTACAAATGAGAGAGACAGTTACCCTGGATTGATCTACACATTCATGACATTCCATCAGACCACTTACATTGTTCCCAAACAGCGAAAATTTTGAAGAAAAACAGCAAAATAGTCTGAAAACTTACAGCTCAATGTGTTCGCCGTGAGGTTCAATCCTTGCACTGGTTTGCCGAATGAGGGCGTCTGACGTGACGTCACCGTCGTTGCTCGATCGAAGAAAAACAAGTCGCGCTTTATCAACGACTGTTTCGTGTAATAATACGTGCTCCGATCCGCGCCGTACGACAGTATGGGCTTTGAACACACGCAAGGTGGAGACGGCTGAAGCGTACACGTTCTAGATTAAAAACAAATTAATGACGACAGATACCCACATAAAAATTGTATCAAAGAACTACTAATTCCTTCCTCCATGCTATTGCTAATAGTATACTGACAAATGAAAATCCCATTGTTATCAAAATACGTTTCAGCCGTCTCCACCTTGCGTGTGTTCAAAGCCCATACTGTCGTACGGCGCGGATCAGAGCACGTATTATTACACGAAACAGTCGTTGATAAAGCGCGACTTGTTTTTCTTCGATCGAGCAACGACGGTGACGTCACGTCAGACGCCCTCATTCGGCAAACCAGTGCAAGGATTGAGCCTCACGGCGAACACATTGAGCTGTAAATTTTCAGACTATTTTTCTGTTTTTCTTCTAAATTTTCGCTGTTTGGGAACAATGTAAGGGGTCTGATGGAATGTCATGAGTGTGTAAATCAATCCAGGGTAACTGTCTCTCTCATTTGTATTCTCTTTACCGGTTTTTTGGGGGGTCTTTTTGTCCTCGCGTGGGTTTGTGACTATGCTACTGTGACGCCGTCACCAAAGTATGGCAAATTGGTGGAGCGTTTGTATGGAGGGGTACCCGTAATTCAACGCTCCACTCAGTAGAGCTAGGCTGTGGCCTTTATTTACGGAGGTAGTCTAGCTGGAGTTACCCAGCCCTGAGTTTTATCATTGGGTTGTCTATTAGGGCTGGAGGGAATTTTTCTCGTAACTTGTAGTATAGGCAAATTTTTTTGGAAAATGTTCAATTTTGTCCCCGTTACACACTAATTGCAACTGCAACTCACCCCAAACTTGCCTGGAATAACCATTACACAGGTCCTTGAAGTAAAAAACGATCCACGATGAAGATTCAGCCTACAATTGCAGTGAAAACAGGAGGAATAACCGCTAACTTGACAACCTTGCTGGATTGGCCAGGACCGCAATTGGTTTGTGCACAAAAAAAATTGTGTACAATGAATGGCGGTCGATTAACAGGCACAGAGAGCGATCGCTGTCAACTACTCGGTTTTGCCGGCTGCGCTGGCTGTTGGCGCATGACGTCACGCGGAAGCGTATGACCCGATGACTGTTTCATGCACTATTGGTTGGGGTTCCAGTACCAAAGCTGTGATGCGAGTGGTAAACCTTATATTAGTGCATGAAACAGTCATCGGGTGTTACGCTTCCGCGTGACGTCATGCGCCAACAGCCAGCGCAGCCGGCAAAAACGAGTAGTTGACAGCGATCGCTCTCTGTGCCTGTTAATCGACCGCCATTCATTGTACACAATTTTTTTTGTGCACAAACCAATTGCGGTCCTGGCCAATCCAGCAAGGTTGTCAAGTTAGCGGTTATTCCTCCTGTTTTCACTGCAATTGTAGGCTGAATCTTCATCGTGGATCGTTTTTTACTTCAACTTTCAAGGACCTGTGTAATGGTTATTCCAGGCAAGTTTGGGGTGAGTTGCAGTTGCAATTAGTGTGTAACGGGGACAAAATTGAACATTTTCCAAAAAAATTTGCCTATACTACAAGTTACGACATTGTGTACGAGAAAAATTCCCTCCAGCCCTAATATAATACTAGACAACCCAATGATAAAACTCAGGGCTGGGTAACTCCAGCTAGAGGTAGTCCAGTAAATAGACCGCTTGCAGACGCGTTCGATAATCGACGCGCGAAGGCGCGCGACACCATGTTGTGGGTCAAGCGCCAACCTCGTCCCCAGGGTGTCGAGCAGTACGCGCCCACCACTACCTGCTCTCTCACCCTGGTATTGGATCATTTGCATGTGCAAGATTTTTGCACACGTATGCAAATGAGAACAGTCTGGTGCCTGGATATGCGTTACACATTAGCGTTTGTTTTTGTATGCGGTGTCTGGGGTAAAAACAGAGTCAATTCGTAGCAGCGCGAGCACGGCGTGAGTTACGAAAACACGATTTTTGAAATCAAACTGTTACGATCTTATCGAGACAACATGCAGTATCATATTTCATATTAATATGAACAAATTGGAAAGAAAATTAGTATTTTCGAGAAGGCGTGGACGAATGATCGCAAAAACACGTACTGCACGTTGTGAATATATAGCACCAAGTACACGATAAAAATCCATTACTAGCCAATTGCGGTATCCAATCAGGATACAGGAAGAAAGTTTCCTATCCAGGGTTTACTATTGGAAACGCGGTTGGAAATAAAGTAAGCACTGGGGACGAGGTTGGTCAAGCGCATATCTATCCATGCACATTTTGTCCCACAACATGGCGTCGCGCACCTTCGCGCGTCAATTATCGAACGCGTCTGCAAGCGGTCTATTGGCCACATTTTATGGGGCTACGATAGGCCTAGTATAACTTACTAATTTATTATTTTGACCAACATTTATGCGAGCTTACCATATGTTTGTATGTATGCCTTCGAATGCTTCGTTCCTCTGGATTATCTATGGGAAATGGTTTGGTAGTTTCATTCCAGACCAAAATATTTTGACTTGGCCTAGACCGACGCGACGTCAGGGCGTCGGACAGCAGGGAATTGAACCAGACTAATGTTTTTGTTGTTGATTTGCTGAACTGTTCCGAAAGAGGGCGCTAGATTAATTTAGTGCAGGGTGTGTGCCGGTGACGTACGCGTGGGCCAAATCGCAATTTGCTATATATTTTTCATGACTATGGTCATGCCATTTTTTACGAAATCTAGAATTTTGGTCATGAATAGTCATAAAATTTGTTTGCAACATCGTGAAAATCCGGATAGGGTGGGTAAACAAGAAAAAATATGGTTGGTCCTAAGTTTATCCGTATTCGTGTTCCCAGAGCATATATTGGTTTGCGGACACCCCCAAATCCTGTGACTTTGCCCTGTTTGGGGACAGAAATGAGTTTGAAACTCACACTTATTCTAACGATACACACTTTATTTATAATTTAAAAACTGCCTGAGACCACAAGCTTAAAAGTGCTGAGTCATGCTGAGTCAGCACTATTTTGTAATGCGTTTTCTCGTGCAATATGGAGGCTAACATGTTTTTCTGCCTTTTTTCTACACATTTGGATGCGAAACGGGCATAAACAATGGATTTTCTTTCAATACCTCATTGAAAAAAACTTAATAATGCCTGCCAGATGATGTCAGGCCTGGCTTCACCTGCAAGAATTGTACTGCACTGTAATGTAGAATACAGATGTATATGTAGACCAACACAAAGTTAGTTGGGATTTCAAGTTCTGACACGCCAAATATGACGTCCTGGCAATGTTTAAGACATCCACTATCATAGCAGGAATGGGTCTGGCAAAAACCTTGCTCCACAAATAAAAATGAACTTATTTTTCTCACTGGAGAGCACTGGAGAGCACTCGACCTATAGCTCAGCGTAGGACGTTTTAACAATGGATGCTGCATGGTACCGTTAGTCCGTGGGACGAGAGGCCGAAAACGCTTTAGTTTTCGAGATACGCGATCTGGTCTGCCGAATTTTATAAAACTTGTGACATGTAGATTATGGTGTACCTTATCGAAAAAAACTTTGTTCCCCGATCCACAGTTTGTCATTATGACGTCATCGGGTGTCAAATTACAAGCGATTTTAGCTGAAAAGGTGAACAATTTCTTTCACCTGTAACTCTTGAACTAAGTAATCAATAATGTTCGTATTCTGTAACAATGTTTTTTCGATATGGTACATCATAATCTACATGTCTAGAAAGTTTTTACAAATTCGGCAGACCAGATCGCGTATCTCGCCAACTAAAGCGTTTTCGGCCTCTCGTCCCACGGACTAACGGTACCAGCATCCATTGTTAAAACGTCCCACGCTGAGCTATAGGTCGAGCGCTCTCCAGTGCTCTCCAGTGTATTGTCGTAGGTCTGGGTTCTCATGTGTTGTGCCTGTTTCAGTTTGTCACCGTCCCATGCCACTATTAGACCATTGATACCATCAAGCTTTTTTTCTTGCTGATATCTGTACCTCTCCCAAAATTGGGTTATGCTTTATCCGATTCTTTGGGTTATAATTTCTGTTTGTATGACCACAAGTTTTGGTTGAATTTAACAGAAATTACTAACCCAAAGAATTGGGTAAAGCATAACCCAACTTTGGGTAGTTGCAGTTTCACCCTTGCTTGGGTAAAATTAACCCAGGCAATTGTTCGGTGTACATTAATGTAGTTTTGTAGTCTCGTATGAAGACAGTTGTGTCTGAGTAGTTTGTAGTGATTGTGTCGGAAGTTTTTAAAATGTGGTTTAAGTTATATTATATTACATAAATATTATGTCCTTACGTCGTACGCGTATCGAGCAAAACCAGCTCCTACATGCAGTCAACATAATCAGAATAATAACAAAGTCTTATAGCGCACGTATCTACCAACAAGGTACTCAAGGCGCTTGCAGTTAATGAGTTTAAGAGAATAAATAAGACCCATTATGTAGCACCTTTGTAAGGGTGTACAGGGTGCTGCGGCGCATATTGCAGCCACTGTCAGAAACACCGGGGTATGAAGCCCGGGAAGGGACAGGGTGGATTTTTTTTTGGAGTTTGCTAATTCGTTCGCAAGAATTACTAATTCGTGGGAACGAATTACTAATTCGTTCTCACGAATTACTAATTCGTTCGCACGAATTACTAATTCGTGGGAACGAATTACTAATTCGTTCTCACGAATTACTAATTCGTGCGAACGAATTACTAATTCGTTCCCACGAATTACTAATTCGTGGGAACGAATTAGCAAACTCCAGTAATTCGTTCGCACGAATTACCAATTTGTTCGCACGAATAACTCCAGTAATTCGTGCGAACGAAATAGTAATTCGTGCGAACGAATTACTAATTCGTGCGAACGAATTAGCAATTCGTGCGAACGAATTAGCAATTCGTGCGAACGAATTAGGAAATTCCCCCAAAAAAATCCACCCTGTCCCTTCCCGGGCTTCATACTATGGCAAACCCCCTCTCTTAGCGATACGTGTTACTGGGTTCTTTAACGTGCATTACACAATAAACGGGACCTATACGGCTTTACGTCCCACCCGAAGAACGGAGCAATAATGGTAAAGTACCTTGCTCATGAGCACAAGCACCATGTTCCCCGTCGGGATTCGAACCCTTGTACCACGGCACGACACTATAACCATTGGACCACAGCACCCATTGCCTATACTCGGATTCGAAATCATATGGAAAAAAATTGATTGTAAAACGAAATTTTCGATCTAGGATGACTGGATATAATCTTGTGAATAGGCTTGTCTATTTTCATCAACACTCAGCAGAATGTTAACTCGCCCTTGGTTCACCCAACAGGCCTTTTTAGTCCGTGGGATGAGAGGCTGAAAACGCTTTAGTTTTCGAGATAGGCGATCTGGTCCGCCGAATTTTATAAAACTTTCCAGACATGTAGACTATGATGTACCATATCTAAAAAAAAAACTTTGTTCCCCGATCCACAGTTTGTTTGGGAAAGAGAAAATCTAGGATAAAAACTCCGAAAATTCTGCATGAGAAAAAAACATAAGAAACAGCGCCCTCTATTGACACAGCCAGAAACCTTTTCGTACGCAATGATTAGCTCGGTACCCCCGCCTTGCAAACAGGACAAAACGCAAGAGTGCTTGCCAGATAATACTTCTTTCACGCTTCATATTACAAGCATATTCTATATTTTTGTCATTATTTCTCATCAGGATGTCAAAACCTTTTCATTACAGTTTGTCAAACTTGAAATGATCAAGTTTTAAGATCAAATGTTATTAACTACATTAAAATATAGTTAAACCGTACTGCAGATGAGAATCGCATGGTTAATCGCATCTTTCAGTTTATCTTAAAGAAATATTGTCATAAGTGCAGTTTTTTTAACAGACTCCCCCTCCCCCCTTCAATAGCAGTCACGCAGAATTTGAATAAGGAATTATATACATGTATCAGATAAGTTGAAGCGTCTTATTACAAAACCACTAAAAAATGGCAAGTTCTCATTCGTACATATGTACTTAGGTTGATTATATTTCTGATTAGACTTTTATATAAAAAAAAGACTCAAAAATTAAAGACGGCAATAACTGCAAATACCGTTTTGGTAGTTTGTCTATATTCCAGGTGCAATGTGGTTTAAGTAAACACCAAAAGAAATACAAATTTAATTAATATAATATAGTTTAATTTCATCTATTTATTTATTTATTTATTTTGGTGGGGTCGGGGCAATTTAACCTTTAGAGTTTTTACCCACACAAGAAGAATGGTATTTAGATGACATAAGTTTGTTCAATCTGTACTGAATGAAGTTTACTGTTTATTTTCAACTGACAAAACGATCGAGCTAAGCACCTGTATATATCACAGGCCGATTACATAATTGTTGTAACATGCATCGAAAGTCTCATCAAATTGAAGGACCCACTTTCTGTTTGAAAATTTTTTTAAGAAGAAAGAATAGTTTATATTCCACTATTCGGAATCTTTGAGTGGCAGCATTACAACTGCAGTTTGTTTCAGCCGAAACCGTCTTACCGTTTTTATTATTTTGATTGTTTTAAGAACCGATTCATGTTTTGTTGTTGCTCCATCCATTCCGCGAGAACCACCAATAAACCAAAACGGCCCACCTGCTTCCTCTTTTGAGGCTGCATCAAATTTGTATTAGTTTCTTCTTTTTTTTATTTCAGGCGAAACATTTTGAAAAGATGTTTCAGAAGTTCAGATGCTCCACCAGATGCTACGCGTGTACTTCCGATTATTATTGAAAATATGTTACCCTGAGATAAGAGATCACAAAATTATTCTGATCTGGGGTTTAATCTTACCAATATATGTATCTGTAGCTAATTCATAACATTCGATCTTAAATTTAAAAGTTGATCATTTCATGTTCGACAAAACTGTAACGAAGATATTTTAGCATCAGGATGAGAAATAACAAAAAATCTAGAATATAATATGAAAGAAGTATCATCTAGCAACTAGCAAGCACTCATTGGCCAAGTTTGGGCGGGTCTTGAAATTGACACGGGTATATCATTTTTACAAACCCTGACGGGTAGGTGGTGTGAAATCTACGAAAGCCCTGGAGTGCCATCAAGTATATATTTTTAAAAAGTGAAGTATATGTTTCCCACAGTTCGTTTTTACGAGATATATGTTTCCCAAAGTTCGTTTTTACGAGATGTATGTTTCCCAAAGTTCGTTTTTACGAGTTGTATGTTTCCCAAAATTCGTTTTTACGAGATATATGTTTCCGAAGTTTGTTTTTACGAGATATTTGTTTTCGAAGTTCGTTTTTACGAGATATATGTTTCCCAAAGTTCGTTTTTACGAGATGTATGTTTCCCAAAGTTCGTTTTTACGAGTTGTATGTTTCCCAAAGTTCGTTTTTACGAGATATATGTTTCCAAAGTTCGTTTTTACGAGATGTATGTTTCCCAAAGTTCGTTTTTACGAGATATATGTTTCCGAAGTTCGTTTTTACGAGATATGTGTTTCCAAAGTTCGTTTTTACGAGATGGGTCATTCTATAAATTTGGGGTCCAAAGTGTGACATTTTCCCCGTCCCTGTTACCTTGGTACTCTGTAATTTGCCATTCAAGCATCATTAAGAATGACTTCAAATGATTGTTTATTTGTTGGGTAGGTAGTTTGCTATTCACAATCACTCTTGGAGGATGACTGCATTAAGAGAGTGCATCAGAATTATACAATCATAGATGTCGGATGTAACAGGGACGGGAAAAAAGTGGACCCCAAATTTATAGAATGACCCAGATGTATGTTTCCCAAAGTTCGTTTTTACGAGATGTATGTTTCCCAAAGTTCGTTTTTACGAGATATATGTTTCCAAAGTTCGTTTTTACGAGTTGTATGTTTCCCAAAATTTCGTTTTTACGAGATATATGTTTCCCAAAGTTCGTTTTTACGAGATTTTCTTGTGTGCCAAGTGTCACGTGCGCGTCGGCGTCAGTGGTAATTCTGTGAGGACATGCGAGTTGACGTTGTGAATCGATCCTAGGCCTAGCCCACAGTACATGCCCCTGAGGCACGCGGGAACAAAGCAAAGATATCCTGTGTCGCCTCATTAAATAAGAGGCAGGCTATAATTTCATCATAACTAGACCTAAATTAAAGTACAGACGAAGAAGGTCTAGCAGCATGACAATCGAATGAAATCCGCGTGAAGGAAAATATAATCCATAAAAACGAACTTGTAAAAATACATCTCGTAAAAACGAACTTTGGGGAACATATATCTCGTAAAAACGAACTTTGGGAAACATACATCTCGTAAAAACGAACTTTGGAAAACATATATCTCGTAAAAACGAACTTTGGGAAACATATACTTCACTTTTAAAAAATATATACTTGATGGCACTCCAGGGCTTTCGTAGAAATCCTGTTCCGAGTGCAGTGTTTGTTGGTCGTGTTCCCATGCGAGAACAATAAAAATACTCGCGTCGAAAACAGACCGCCCGAACTCGGACGGCCATTGCGTGAGAAAAGGTTTCTGACTATCAATAGAGGGCGTTGTTTCTTATGTTTTTTCTCATGTAGAATTTTCGGCGTTTTTATCCCAGATTTTCTCATTCTCAAACAAACTGTGGACCGGGGAGCAAAGTTTTTCGACATGGTACACCATAATCTACATGTCTGTGAAGTTTTATCAAATTCGGCGAACCAGACCGCGTGCCGAGCTAAAAAAAAAAAGAGCCTCGTCCCACGACTATTTCCTGTCAGCAGAAAAGGAGAATAATTGGCTTAATAAAAGCAGTCTGTCCGTACACAACAAAAAAAAGAAAGAGGTCAAGGCGATCAGTTTGTTTGACAAAAATATCAAATGATGGGCTGTGCAGTCCATTTAAAGTAAGTTTATAACCTTCAACTTGACTGACGCCTCCGTAATATCAAAAGGCTTGTTATTATAAACAACAAAATCTGACACTGGCCGGAAAGGGGTTAGGATTCAAAATCATTCGTTCATTCGGTGTACAACACAATACTATAACAAATCTGGACTTTCTGGTTTATGAGCACGTGCAACATAATTGATACTTAGTCATGACGGACGACTGCAGTGTATAATTTTTAAAAAAAATCGGATAGAAAAGTTGGGAAAATGTCTGATACATTTCATCCGTCGCTCCCTCTGGACACGAAATATTATCAGCAAAGTTACCAGACTTTCTCTCGGTTCATGGACTTTGACGTGCCGTACGAACCATGGTTCAATCAATTCCTGGGAAAGACACTCCGAGATAAGTTAAGTGAACACGGCAGCATGGATAGACAGACAACTGGTCAACTGTTTGCTGGGGCACCTACCACTAGAGGTCTTCTGCGGCACATGGGTGTAGGAAGTGGTTCTGGTAAGTGGCGCCACTAACATAATATAGGACATTGCATTTTATCACAAATTCATAAACTGGAGATCAAAATCAAAACCATGTAATGAATGTACGAGCAAAATGGAGCTCCTTTATCAACTGAATTTCATATAACCTAGATCTGCCTGTATCGTTAAAACTTGTTGGCCGTTTACATGACAATTATATGGCAGGCTCCTATCAAAACGCGCGTAATACATGACTGGTGGGTGCACAGTTCTAATACATGACTGGTGGCTGCACAGTTCTAATCAAAGTGGGAATTTCTTCGCGAGCACATTGAGCATGAAAAGTGCACCCACAACTTTTTTTTTTGAAAAAGGAGACCGTTTGGCTTTAAAAAGTGGGATTGTGTAAACATAGCCGATGATCGACTCCCTGGTTTCCATCAGAAGGGCAGACTTAATACAATTACGGTTGAAAAGTGTTCCTATTTGCCTGAGAAAATGGAGGGATGCCATTTGTAAATTGGCTGCTTGCAGGTTTGGGAAGTATCACTTTTCGGGAGGTGAGTGCTTTTTGTGTGAATATTTGAAAATGTAGTTGGCTAACCCACCAAAAATTGAAAACAAATGAAAAGATGAAGGACAAGACAATTATTTACTTCTTTGTTTGAGAAACCCCAGTGAAGTTGGTTTGCATGTTATTTGGCCCTGAACATCGTCGATTTTACATTGTTTTCGATAGGGCTTGAATTGGTGCATGCACCCTGGTATGCATGGTGGGGGTCACATAATAGTTGAAAGTTAGTAGTCTGCCTCCAAATCTCATGGGACTTGTCGACAATAGGCATATAGCCGTAGATATGGAGTACCGTTTCGAGCACTGCCTAATTCCTGACACTTTTTCATATGGGAAAATACCCATGATGACATGCAAATGATCACCTGATGGAAGCTCAACAGATTCAATTACGCCTATAAAGCGCAAATTGTAGCACATTTAAACCCTTGCCCGCGCTTATACCAATTTACACTTATTGTACTTTGAAGGAGAACTAGAAATTCAGATCATCCGAGCCCTTCTGGAGAAGTTCAAGTGCATCTACAATCTCGTCATTGAGCCCAGCACTTACCAGATTGATTTGTATAAAAAGTTGGTCCGAAATAACAAGGAATTGTCAGCTGCCGTCGAGTTCGACTGGCGGCAGCAGACGCTAGAGGATTACATTGCTAGTGACGACGGGAGAGGGCGTGGTGAATTTGACGTCATCACATCGGTTCATACCATTTACTACGGTGGCCCCATGGAGTACAATGTGCCCTACCTGTTTGACCTGTTGGCTGAAGGTGGTGTTTTGGCGATTGTCCTTTTATCCGGTACGTGTCGATTTCTTGAATACAAGTGTTAGTTTGGGCGGTGGAAATGGTTGACGATGATTGGTCCGTTCTCTGTAGGGCATTTTTAATAGTTTATTAAAGCAATCAAGAAACAAAACTTCAATGTCAGATATCTCATATACATTTTTCTTGTGCAGCGTCCTCGCTTGATCCTTAAGGTAAACCACATACTTATTATTTGTCTTAAGTGAGTCTTTTCGATTTTCAACCTTAGCACTTGTCCAGGTAGTAATGCAATAAGATTTCCTGTGTCTTAATAGAGTACCTCCAGTAGATTTTCTCATGTAGTAATCACCTTATTCTTCTTGACTTGAATGGGGTTTAAGCATAAGGCGACCATTACATTTGAAAATTTACTATATATAGAGGCACTCTCATAATGGTATCACATTACACTTCGTCGACATTTCTTAAAAGTCTGTTTATGATGCCATTTTGTAAAATTGATATCGTTGCAATGGTGAGCTTATCCCTCTCATTAAAAGCCTTGTGAGCCCTGTGGTGTCACGTCAGACTCATACTAGTTTTGTTCATCTTTTCTATCTATAATTAACAGATACAGATAGTTTGTCTCAGGTACAGAGACACTTTCTCTCACCCAGCATCGCTGGTTACCGTTACTACACGAAGCAAAAGCTGCAGTCATTCCTGACTACCAGTAACGTCTCACACCAGACCATTGATGTCCCACGGTTTAACATCGACGTCACACCCTGCTTCGATTACAGCTCGAAAGAAGGCTCACTGCTTGTAGATTTTCTCTCGCATATGAAGCATTTTCGGACCGAGGTACCTTCGGAATTGCGAAATCGATTTCTTCGTTTACTTCGGCAAAATGCGCATACTGTAGGAAACAAGCTCTTGCTGACTCATGACACATCAGCAGTTATTATACAGCGAACGAACAATAAGAAGTTTAAGCAGTGTGGATGTAATGCCACATTTCAGTAAGTCTATAACGTAAGTCGATTAACTATAAGTTATCAGTAGTAATTAAGTAATTGATTGATTGGCTTAATGCCGTTTTTCATTTTTTAGTCCGTAATTTAATTAACGGTGTGAATATTTTCATTGTAATATTGTCGTGTGGTTCCATTTTGCGTAGTTATTTCATCAGGCACACTCACGGAAAATATCATCGCTATATAGCCCATTTAGTCTTACTCTCGTTTGTCGGAAGACGGTATGATGACACGGTATGGCGAGAGTTATCGACTCCGAGGCTGGCGAAGATGTGGGCACTGTGCATATATCGCATCCAATTAATGTTAAGATGAATAGATATTATGAGGGTGGGTGAAATAACACAAAATGATGGAATAACCAGCTTTTCCCAAGCCGCATTATGTATACGTGCCGGCACCATTTCTAATGGTCCAAAAAGGTCCACGATGCAGGATACACACAACGGGCAAAACGACCTCCTGCTTTCTAGTGCAGACGTCTTCTACTCGACCACCGAGCTTGCGGAATCGGTTGGCTGGTTCGAATTTGGTGTGCATGTAGCAGCGGGTACCGCAACTAAACTATTCATAAAATGGATTTTGTGTCGGTGTGATGTAAATCAATATTAGGTTATATTATATATACTAAACATATTATCCCTCCTGAGTGATTGTTTCCAGCTATTACTCCGGAGGTAACACACTGAGTATACAGTGTTTATACGTCGGAGAAGGGCAAAACCTAATATTGATTTATATCACCCCGAACCATCTTATGGACTAACTTTAACAAATTCGAATCCTCTGTCGGGGAAGGGCTTTAAACGGCGCTCTAAACTACGCGGGGCCGTATCATAAGTCTGACGCCTCATTTCGGACTTATGAGGCGTCGGACTTATGTGGCATATTAATATTTATTTATTCCGCCTCATAGGTCCGACGCCTCATAAGTCCGACGCCTCATAAGTCCGATGCCTCATAAGTCCGACGTCGGAAAAACGAGGCGTCGGACCTATGAGGCGTCGGAGCTATGGACGAGAACGAGATGTAAAAAAAATTACGACGTTTTAAGTCCGCGAGGTTGTCGACTTACGAACGGCGCACTGTGCATAGCATGAACTAACTGGCCGCAGATCAGTCCGCCAGCGCGCAGTTTTTGGTGCAAGTGTTGATGCTACGGACGTAAATTGGGGGCGGGGGGGGGGGGGGGTCTGCATGGTGCATCCCTTAATATCAACGTGTATTCGCTAAACTCTAACAATTAGAGGCGCTAACATTCTGACATTTCACGCATTGTTTGTATTAATTTATTTTCGCTGCCAGAGTATTCGATTCCATTTCAGTTCAATCAATTATTAAGTGGTTGAGCAGCACCTTTCGTTTACGTCCATTCAGATTTGTTTACAAGATTTTTTTTTCACTGTTAGAGGGCGATTTAAAATATTCACCATTCTATTTCACTTTTAGTTTAATGCCATCGGCACCAGATACAATTAGGGGTTTCTTTTCATTAACAGTCAATCAAATTAGCTGTACCTGATATCAATTTAGAAAAGGTATGCTTGCGTTAATTAATGCACAGGTAACGTCATTGGCCGTCTGTTTCGCAAAACCGAATGCATGGACAATGAAAACGATTGAACTTTTGTTGAATTGAAATGGGATTAAAGACGTGCATTCAAATTCAGACGAAAACGAATGACCGATATTCAGAAGTGAATGAACATTTCAGGAAATTGGCTGGGAAAACCTATACATTTCAGATGAATGGATATTTGCTACAAATGTTGCAGTGTAATATTCATTTTATGGACCCACAAATTCCGTGTTTGTTTTTACTATGGAAAAGACAGGATCTTTGTCTTTAACCTCTTAAAAAAAATCCTGCGAACCAAAGCGAACAAAATAAGTTTTTAATAATAAACTCTATCATCAGATGGTGATTTTTTAGGGAAATAGTTCTTAAAATGAGCTTCGATGGATTCGAACTTGGGCCGGGAGATCCACTAGGGCCAGGGCGCGGATATCTTTACAGCACTGTCACAAACTGTGGTTGTTTCATTGGAAGATAGTGACGTCATTGTCTACGCTCTAATAGCCCTTCCTGTTGAAGGTATCATTGCCAAATCTTCGTGTCTTGATTGATTGTCATTTTTTTTTTCGAAAGTCTGGATATTAAACGAAAGATCCAAAAGTTTCATTAAAGTTGGTATATACGTCCTTTTTTAAAATTTCGATTTTCTTTTCCGAACGAAATTTAAAGGAGTATGATGTCCTGCAACAATTACATTTGCTTGTATACTTTTGCAGGTCTTTAAACAGTTTTAAAAAGTGGTTTTGAATAGCGCGTTTCCGTTCAGAAATTGCGCACACTATTCAGAACGAATTATAGGAGCGTCCCACTCTTAATTCAACAGTTGAAATTAATTAATTGATTACTTGTCGTGGGCTGATTTTTTTTTTCGAGCGATGTCTCATTGGAAAGCTCATAACTAATGTAATGCTCGAAAATTATCAATTCAATTTGAAAAACTATTTTTCAAGGTGCCACACCCAAAAAGCACGTATACACCAACTTTAACTATCGGAGAAAGACTACCACAAAGATTTGTACACCCTGATATTTCCTTCGCGCGACGATAAACGAAAACCACAAACTTTCAACGTATGTTGTTGTGTGCACGTTTATATTCTACTGTTTAATGTTTCCGACTATATCATTTCTTGGTGCACGTCTTTTGGAGCCCAAAGCGGCGATTAGAGAAGAAAGCCATCATTTAAATCCGTGTAATCGTCCTTAATTATGTCAAAGCTTGTAAAAATGCTGCTACATTATAAGGGCTGTTTATCTCAAAAGAAACGGTGATATTGAAACAGATGACAAAGAGAGAGTGAGGTACTAAATGATCAATTTATTCAATTCTTTAGAACACCTATTCCTGATAACATTACAATTACAAATTCCTGAAATGAGTGATATTGTAGTATACTTATGAAGTCTGTAAACTACTGCACCTTTTATATCTATGGTTTTGTTTCAAGTATTGTCGTCTTGTTCGAATTATTTTCGTTGTTTGTAATCTTTGTATATTTTATATGTCAGTCCCTGAAGCAGTGTTTTATTTTTGTGCTATTTTTATTGTTACTTTTTAATATAATTTTATGTTTTACCGTTTTTATCAGTAATATTTTAAGGCGGTAGTGGATTTTAATGTGGGTTTTGTAACATTTTTTCTACGACCCATGACAGTAATATTTCGAAGGGAATAAATAAACAAAATATCAAAAAAACTCTAGGACAAAAATACACGTCCGCGGCGGCCGCCAAACACAGATTTTGACAACTAACTTAGCACAATTTTTAAGATTGCGCTATTTTGCAGACCACACACTATGGTAAAATTCCAGTGAAGTGGCCTAAGCAATTCATTTTGTGCTTATTTGGACAATCAAATTGAGACCGTCCGATAAGACCTAAAATGTGCGCCCAATTGGAATTGCTTTGCTTGTAAAGTGGCCATAACGAAACGATGACGTTAAGTATCTGAAGCTGGCTAAAATTTGGCCGAGATTGGACAGTATGTTGATCCATAGAGCAAGGTCCTTGCTCTATGGTTGATCTTATTTCTAAAGAATACACAATATTTTCAACAAACCATGTGCGCTGGTGCAACGTATCATGATAGAATATCTAGCACTACTTTGACTGTACCGAGATTGAGTATAATTTAAACGCTTGTAGATATTTCTACTATATAGAATGTTTACTTTTTATTTGTATGTCAGTTTTTTTAACACCTCTGAACCAGGATATGCAGATATTACAGCCGAGGAATGAATGGTTCATTTTAAATGCCAAAATGTTGATTTTGTTTTGGGCAACTACAACGTTTGGAGTTTGAAGACGCCCTATATTTTGCCGATTTCTAGAAATCCCTTCCTGACACATCAATAATTCCTTACACTCCATTATGCTGTATTTCTATTGCAGTAGGCCCATACACAGTTTTTAGTATAATATCTCATTAATGGCACTGTTTACACGTAAATCAATTTCTAGATTTTTTTTCAAAGCTTTTAAGGCCAAATAAAAAATAACATTTTTAGTGTCCCGCCTTTTTGAAAAAAAGGAAGTGGGAGGCCCCCTTTTCCCCCCTCCAAAATGGCCGACCGACCGGGCTATATATATTTATATATTAAGATGGCCGCCAGGTTTTTTTTAAATGGCCGCCATTGAACTCGGGAAATGACATACCAGCTTTATATGGGCTAGATGCAACAGACAAAGAGGCCAAAATGATGTCACTGTTTAAAATTTAGCATTTTGTGGGTTTAAAAAAAAGAGAAAAAGGAGGCGGCCTCCAAAAAGGAAGCGGGCGGGGACGCTAAATATGTTTTTTTTTTTAATTTGGCCAAATGAGATTACTAATATTACAAAGTAGATATGAATAAATAAAATAAATCATGCTCCTTCAAAGTTGGTTTCTGCATTGTGCATGATTGCTTTGTGAATTCTTTTAGGTTGTTGGCAAGGCAACATACTCTATCAACAAAAAGTATCGGCAAAAGATTTGAGGAATGGAAGAACTCAATTTGGAATGTCTGCCATCTTGGGTGGTGGGCCTCCTCCCTTTTTCAAACATTGTGTTTTGTATTTATTTGGCCTCAAATTTAATCCATAGGTTTGATCTCGAGTGAGTAAATCATTCTGGACAAGTTGAGGTGCATGCAGCATGCTCTTCCCAACCAAAGGCATGGGTGTGTCAAGACCTATTTGAAAAGGGGACCGGAGGCTATACAGGGTGATCACAAAATAGCCAAAAGACTCATTCCAGGCAGTGATGTACCAGGCTGCATAATCAGAGAGGGACTAGGGGGGGGGGGGGAGACTTGGATATCATCTGGCAGATGGAGCATTATTCAATGCAGACAGGACCGTGTACATGATATGACACTGGATTGGGGAACTCACGGCAGTACTCTTGCTAACCAAGAAGAATGACAATTTTGCCCAATGGCGTGACGGGATGTCATCCCCCTTGAACCTCTAGCGTTGCTTGCCAAAAGTACCAAGAAATCGTTTACCCAGGCGTATTCCAGTGAGTCTAAACTGAGAAGCCTTCGGATATCGCACACACTGCCCAGGTGAGCTCCGCTGTGATGACACTCTAGGCTCTGTGACAATATCAGTGCAAAACACAAATATGACATTCAAGCCCCGTAAGTGTATCAAGCAGAAGATAATGCGCTTCTCAGAACTAAAACCTGACATTGCAACACATTTACAAGTAATCCAGTAGACCCCTAAACCATCTACTTCCCAGACTACACAATGACGTGAAATGATAACTACTTAATTTAGGGAACCCTGCATCAGCCTGTTCATAAAGTATTTTAAGGTGAAGTAATTTAACAAAGGTAACTTTGGTGTTTCCAAATGACGGTCTCAAATGACGGAGGGTTTTACAAAATGGTCTCAATATTATGCTTTGCTTCAGAGCGTGAACAGTGTCAGGAAAGCACACGTGCAGTATCATGTCTAACCCATACACAGGTCTAATTCCCCAGCTCAACCTAGTAGTAGTCCACACAATAGTTTGGGAGGTTCCTAATCAACAACTCCAACCAGTATAGTATACAAATATTGAATGCTTCGAGTGGTGTAGTAAAACTAGCCTCCCGAGGTGATCCATGGACATTCTATTTTCCCGAGGCGAAGCCGAGGGAAAATAGAATGGTCCATGGATCATCGAGGGAGGCTACTTTTACTTCACCACGAGATAAAGCATTCAATATGTGTTTTATAACACTTCACCCACAGATTCTGCTTGATTTTAATATTTTAAATTATTTAAATCTGAACACAGTTGAAATAAACTTCAATTTCAATACAAAATTGGTGGAAATGTATTTCTCTCTTCCAAACTACCCCTTCACGAAATGTTTGAACCCAAGTCTGCAGTGCGCTCTCTTTGGAACAATACGCGCTACGCGCAACGCGCACACAAGCATCCATTTGCACACAAATACCGCGCCGTGGAAATAGTACTTTGGTTGCCAATGGTATAGTACTTTTGGCCGTGCACAGAAAGATAGCAAAATTAGAAAGTAACATGTGACTCGCTCTCGGCCAATCAAGACACAGAATCTGTGGGTGAGGTGTTATAATCTGTATTATATAACTGACATACAGATCCTAGTCATTTGATTGGTGGAACTCACATCACGTGGCATTCGTTATTGCTCCCATTCATGCCACGGCTCAAAAAGTACTATCCGCCCATGGGGAATGGGAAATACTATTCAACAGTTAGGATCATGACGCGGTATTTGTGTGCAAATGCATGCTGGTGTGCGCGTTCAGCGTTGCGCGTAGCGCGTATTGTTCCAAAGAGCCAGCGCTACAGCGTTGGGTTCAAACATTTTCGTGAAGGGGTGGTTTGGAAGAGACAGATACATTTTCCTCCAAGTTTGTATTGAAATAAAAGTTCAAATATATCAAATGACAAGGATCTATATGTCAGTTATATAAAACAAATATAGAGTGGCTTTAAATTGTGAAATGGGAGGAATATTATCGCTCGGTAAAATCTGGACTTTTCCATTTCACTCGGCTTCGCCTCGTGAAATGGAAAAGTCCAGATTTTACCTTGCGGTAATATTCCTCCCATTCCACGCTGAGCCACTCAATATTTGTATAATATGCCTGCTTCCAACAAAGAGGGGCAAACATCATGACCAAATAATGGTTGTGGTTATACTAAGGTTGTGGTTGGACAAAAAAAATGTGTGTTGTTTTTTTTCTCATAAATTAACATAATTAAAGCAATTTTCAAACAGTTGGAAGAAACTGTAAAATAATCAGAAAAAAAAACACTAAAAGTTGAAACAAAACACAAAAGACATATTAAAGAAACTATTTTTCACCTGGAATGTCCTGAACTTTGCATTCTGTTGGAAAGAAAAATAAACACCAGATCAGAAGTGCAAATTCTTGTAAAATATCATGACAGCACTGGGTGTCAAATAAAAATGTCCTTCAAATGTAGAGTAAATCAGTACATTGAGTAAAGATTCAGTTTAGCGCAAATGTGACTGCAGTGTGATGCAGACATGTTTCTGTTCTAGTGAGTGAGGCATAGTCCTATAACCATTGTTCCTCTTCTTATTTCTTGTTTTTTATTGTGGGATGGTCTGTTGAAACAAGCACTTAGCTATCCCCATGGGATACTCTGCTTGTTTTCATCAGGGTGCTCCTTAATATGAGCAGGTCAAAAAAAAAACCAAAACCATGCCAATGGAAAATACAAACCATATTATTCACATGGAATTTTTGAAACAACACTTTTTGTCTCTGAAGCACGATCGGGCGAGGACCATTGGTTAACGAGTGCTTGATTCGTGACATAACTTACACTTGTGCACTTTACAGCAATGCGCAAATATCTCTAGTCGAATGCTGGTCTGAAGTCATCATGAACTCCTGGAACCTGTGCGATATGATGCGCGTGGCTATAGATCCATGCATTCAGCAGCCATCTTCGAGGTGTCTTTTATGTTAATTCATTTATTTATTTATTTATTTATTTATTTCTTTCTTATTCCAACTGGGTAGCCCATTCAGTGGAATCCACTGGTCTCCCATGGGTCCCAGTAGAGAGAAGACAATGTAAAGAACAGTTTTAGAAGTGGGAGGAAAAGCCCAGAAGAGCATTCTGAGGAAAACCCACTGAATCTAGTAGAGACTGAAAACTCAATCCACATATTGGCCCAGGCAGGATTCGAACCCGGGTCACCAGCAGTGGAAGGCGAGGAAAGTTACACCAACTTGACTCCCCATTAACAATGAATGCACAAGAGGTCTACTCCGGTGCATCCCTGTTGAACACAAACCCCAAAGATGGCTGTAGTGCAAATAATATATTGGTAACCAGCAACTGAAATGTGCCCCAAGTTCTGATTCAAAACAGTCGACCAGATAATAAGTCCAATCATTCTGCGTTTCAGTGAAATTAGTAAAAATACGGTTAACCTCTCGAACTTGCTCCTGGGTGTACAGGCCTTACTCCCTCTGGGTCACATTGAGAATGGATTTGTGAATGCGGTCTATGTCAGGCAACTTAATTGCACCTGCAAAGCACCCAGATGGTGGTTCATGGACAGATGCGGTATTGACTCAATGTAGAAGTACCCTCACTAGGCCTACTTGATACAAAGAGAGTTGGGAGGGGCTCGGATGCATTGCAGTCATACACCTGGTGGTCACATGAATATGATATGGGTTTGTGCACATTAAGAATAAAATTAATCACATACACCATATACAAACCAATGCAGGCATGTTACCTAGCTCCCACAGAGCTCTCACGAGAACTATTATAGCACCATCTACTTGCTCGTGCAAGTAGTGCATGACCTAATAAGAGCACACAAGCTACATGCTTTACATTCATCTACCCATTCACTGGGTCTCAATGAATCATTCCTCATCTCACCTTCTGGCTGAAGCTCACAGACAGTTCCCATGGTAACGCTACAGGCAACATTCTCCCAATAGCCTCCTGGCATCATGACAGCGCACTGGTCACCATCATCCCCAGACACCACGGGGAAAGTATCTCTCCAGTCTGTACACATCAACAAATGCATAAAGATAAACTGGCTGGTATTTGCCTGAATCATTTCAGTCAATATGAAAGTTCAAATTTTTGAAGCAATTGTTGCTTTGTTTGGAATGGAATTGTTGGAATTGTGACAATAGGTCTCCCTAAGGTATAACTAATGACAAAAAAATGTCTCCTTAAAAGGTACATTCAAAGGAAAACAGCTGTACATAGCCCATTTATACGGAAACCCGATCAAGGTGCCTCTACACACAAACAATAGTCATGCTCCAGTTTAAGTGAGATAACTAGTGAAGTAAATGAGATTTTAGTCCTCTTTTGAAGATGGCCAATATTTGATGGAGTGTGGCGGGGAGTTTATTCCCAATGGCAGGTGATGCCTTGGCGATGGCCAACTCACGCTGACCATAGTGGATAGCAGTGGGTTGATGTTGCGATTTCTTGATGATCAAATAAAGAATAATAAATTCAACATTTGTGACCTCATCCTGTGAAATGAGGGTATTTTAATATGCAACAGAAAGAGTAAACCATGCTCTTCATATTCATGTGCATACTCAAGTTTGAAGTCTATGTTCAAATATTATGTGTGAATTCTTTGTTTGTTCATTGTGCAAGAATTGTAAAAAATCTCCACTACCCAAGGAGCTCTAAACATGTGACATTTCTTGGGTTGGGTAACTTTTATCAAAACCGTTTTGGGGAAAGTCTCCTATATATCAGGACTAAGCTTAGAGAGCCATCCACCACAACTCATACAAGTGTGTATTTGCCTGCAATAGGGGACCCTATTGTCCTCTATTGTTCAATGTCCCCTATTGTTCAATGTCCCCTATTGTTCAACGTCCCCTACTGAGTGCAGAAACAGACTCACTTGTAAACACGTAGTCATCATCCCCCTCCTTATCGCGCAGACACTGCCAACCACCAACTGAAGCAAATTCACTCCCATTATCATTGCCATCAGCAGTGCCGTCTGCTGATGACTGCCTACAACCAAGCCACACCGGTTCCCCACTAGTCCCCAGTAATCCGCCAAATGCAGCCTCAGAGAGGAACCTGTTCTCACTGGCAGTTCTCACTGTGATGATATCGCCACCATGCGCCTGGCAGACAGCCCGGGCGTTGTCCCATGTACCATCTGATGCTGCACTCGGTCTGTGGTAGCATCGCCCGGACCATGCTATCCAGTCTGTCGGACAGGCTACCAAACCTATCAATGCATACACAGAGTGAGATTAATACTGGAACCAACCCAATCAGTATTTCAAATGTTGTTACACTAAATAAACTGACTGTTAACAAAAGAAAAATTTCAGAAATATTTCCAGAGGCTGGAACAAAAAGCTATTTCAAATACTGTACCTATAGCTTATTAGTAAGTTACAAAATAAAACATCAATCTAATTTAATGACCAACTAACAAACTCACCAGTAGGTGTTGTTGCATCAGACATGTTCATTGTGAACACAAGATGTATTACCATCATCGATAGCACACACATCATGCTGCCTGTCACCGACACCAACAGTTTCAATGTGCAATGCATCTTCTTGTAGGCCACATCATTTTACACACCACATATTAGTCCTTTGCATATTACAGTATTCCATTTAGAATTTAATAAACCATGCAGTGTATGCTACATATTTAATGTACCACTTAACTTCATCAGAAGGCAATCTAACCGTGGTGTACTCACATGTATAAATAACAAAAATGTAAATAATGCATGAACATTTCGGTGGAAGGTTGGTTGACTAGTAAACAGCATGATTAAAGGGTTCCAGTTGGCATAATTGGGGGGGGGGGGGGGGGGGGACACGACACAGGAGCCCTGTTCAAAGCCTCCACTGCCTCAGCCCCCCCCCCCCCCCCCCCCCCCCACACACACACCCCACTGTGTATTTGCCTGCAATTGGGGACCCCCTAGCTATTGTCCCTCTTTTGTTTGTACTCTTTTTATGAAGACCTTCCATACGTTTTGTACACGAATCCCAATTGGGGACCTCTCGGGAATTGGGGACCCTATTGTCCCCAATAAACGTCCCCTATTGAATGCAGAAACAAACTCACACACCCCAGCTCAGAATTTAAGGTGGGGGGGGTAGAGTTTTGTATAGTTCGGAACTCAATGAGTGTTTCCTTAAAAAACAAGTCCCAAACTGGATACCAATTATATGCAACTAACCATGTGGCCACTATACATCAAAGATCCCCCGATAACATCTGAAGCAAATGACAAACACAAAAAAACAATTGCTTTTAAAAGTTATTGCTTTTGATTTATTGCACACAAGAATTCTACTTATTGAAATTGTAGTGGGATTTAGAATCTAGAGGAAGTTGGCAAGAGGGAAATAATCTAATTCAGATATACAACGCCATCCATATTTACTCTCTATCTAAACAGTTTTTCAAGTGCATGTATGTAACATTTGGAAGCCTTCAGTGCTGAAATATATTGACACAACTGATTATTTTCCGTGGCTTAATGTGACATCACACTCCTTCACAGACATTCAGTATATGAAGACACACATCTCTCAACACGTGAAAATATTGTCTAAGAGCATGGACTTTTTTCTAGAGGGATTTTGCTTCTATATCACCTTTGACATTCTCCTTCAAGTACAAATATAAAATGTACTTGCAGAAAAAAATAATAATACAAGCTTCTAAAAGCATGAGAGTTCTCTATTTTTCTCATCACAATAAACAAATTCCAAATGCATGATCCAGAACCAAAAATGAGATATTGTTGATAAAAGCCCAAACATTTGTACATTCACACCAACATTACAAATTGCAAACTTGGTGAGATTTGGCTATATTAAAAAAAAATGGAGTTTTTGAAACATATTTTATAAAGTACTATCTGTTGACAAACATATTATATTCTATATCCATATGAGTAAAGTATACACTGTTTAACTGTGCTTGAAAGCACTTTACATGTTTGGTCCAAATCACTGGAAATTTGCATATATAGAACAAATTTATATTTGTACTTCCATGACGATAACCAATCTATTGCAGCCTCTCATGAACAAACAACCGAACAATAATCACTTTTGTTTACATAAATCAAGCAAAAAATATTCAGAAAAATACGCAGAAAAATCGAGGTTGATTTAAATCTTGGGCCACTTTCATTATGTATGTACAATGGCAGTTTGTGTCAGTGAAATTTAAAATTTGATACTGGCTTTTCTCTTCACTTGTGTTACTTGACAAGCGCTGTATTCTGAGTAATGTCCAAGAGGTTTTAAGACAAAAATAAGGGGTAAAACAAAGTATGGGTTCTCCCGTTCAATTTAAAAACAATTACCACCCAATTTGTTTCAGAGGCATTCTCTTTCGTGCAAATTTGAATGAAGTTGAAGATCATCATTCAATTACTTAAAAAGAGCATTCAATTTAGCTTTTTGAACATGTGATTGGGAGCATATGCCGATCACATTTAAAATTACGCTTATTCAAATCGAAAGGAGATACGAAGTCAAAGGAAAAGGTTCTTGCTATTTCACACACATACTTTATCACTGAGTTGTTAAAATGGCAGCACGTGGATGGTATATAAGAATCTCCAGTGTACATGACTGACGACTGATAGACGCTTTCAAAGGTAACGTCCGAGTGTATCTGGAACTAGCATACAACCTTGGAATCAAGGGATCCACAGCAAGGTCAATTGTGGCTGCCTTTCTAAAGGAAGATAGGCGAGATGAACTGCCAAGAGGAGGGGCTTCTCACATGAAGATGAGGTAGCATCTTCAAGGAATCCTCTATGAGAACCTTTTTTTTCACCCTGCGTGGTACAGATGAAGGCTAGCTGGAGAAGCATCTTCCAGACAAGCCAGAGATTTCAACAACCACCATAGCCAGGGCATTAGATGGCATGCTCACGACTCTGAAGTCTCGCTGCCTAGGAACAATTAAAGATGTTGCCGACCTGCAGGATGATGACAGTGAATGGAAGACTACATGCACTTGTGCAAATCTGAATGATCTAAACATTTGAGAAATACTGGAAGTTTGTGTTCAAGGAACAAAATGCCGTTGCCCAACAATTGCCAATTTCTCAATTTGCTGTCATTTTTACAATTATCAAACTCCTCCTAGCCTGTTCAGTCAGCTGAGTCATTAAGAGTGACCAAAGAGCAGTCGTAAAAGGAGATATTTGATTGGTTTACTCAAGAACTTTCAAGAAAAGGGCACGGGACAAGCTGCAAAAGTTGGATCCAACAAAGAACATGGCCAAACTTCACACAAAAATGGAAGCGAGTTCGGATGAGGCTGCTGCTGGACTTTGCACAGCTAATCCTGAAGAACTAATCATCAATTGGTGAAATCAAGAAATATTTGTGTCCTTTTCCCCCCAACTGGGTTCCAGGTTTACTTATTTAACGTGGTAATCAGGAGCATTAAAAAAAGTTTGAAGGAAATCTATGGAAAAAAAATCTGCTAATTTTCTGAGGAAATTTGGAAGGTGGAAGCATTGCTCACTACCACTTTCCACATTTGTGTCACAAATGCGCTGTGTAGCGGATAGAGCAGAACGTGAGAATCCCAAGGAAAACACTTATGGTTAAAAGTAACACAAACTTGTTGAGGGAGTACGTCAGAGTATGGGTGACAATGAGTGAGTTACCAGACCATCGATTCAACTCAACACTGCATGGAATCGCCCCCTTGAACACACTCCCCCATTCAGGAGAATACAGATGGGGAAAGCCTCACGAACTGTTGGATATATTTTAAAGAGTTCAGTTTTGAGAATCTCTCAAAAATATGGTTTAAGGGATACCATCACAGAAACGTGTAAAACCTATAGACTGACACCAGTTACAACTCAATGAGCTAATGTCACAACTGACCAGACTGACACAAATATCAGTTAAAAATGTCAAAAATGATAAGCGAAAAATCCTACAGCCAACTCAGCTGAAATGTACAAATATTTCATTGCAACAAAGAAAAAGACATCGCTGTAATCCCTAAATTCGCAAAAATATTATTTCAAACAAACTTTTACAAAAATATTTAAAACTAGAGAAACGCAGAGTGGTCGGGTAGGCAACTATTTTATGAAACACTGTCCATGGGTATTAATATTTTTATGTAAGAACAAAGTATTACTTCCGGTAACACCGGAAGTAAAGGTCAAGCGGTTTTGTGTCCAGAAACACAAAATGTTTCTCACGGCATAGTCTACAATCTCACGAAAAAACGAACACGATACTCTATTTAGTTCAAAAGATGTAACGAAAACTATTTTGTCAAATTTGCCCTTAAATCGCTTGTAATTTGATACATGATGACGTCATGACGTAATAAAATTGGTAACATCTTCGTAACATGGTACAAGTTCACACAAGGTTTTGTGATCATACCGTAAACCGTTCGGAAGAAATTTTGCTTTGTTTTGATTTCAGGCTAACGTCTTCATTTTGAATTTACCTAACTTTGACCTTCCAGTAGACCCGGAAGTAAAGGTCAAGCGAGTTCACGTACACGACAAAAAAATGTTTACCAATTAATGGTCTATCTGATTGCAGAATACAAACATCATTGATTATTTAGTTCAAGAGTTATAGGTGAAAGTAATTGGTCACTGTTTCAGATAAAATCACTTGTAATTTGACACCTGATGATGTAATCATGACGTCAGAGTAATATGCACCACTTCGGATGAGGGTCGATATATATTGAAAGGTACAAGTTCATACCATATACCGTTTAGGAGAAAACCCGCGGAGAAGTATTGTCCGGAAAAAGAAAGAAAGAAAGATTAATCGTAACAAATCCAGACAGTAGTTGGGTTGTGCCCGACCACTCAAAAATCAAACATCTGTACATGAAAGTAAAAAAACATGAACCTGGAATGTTATCAGAAATTTGATTTAAAACGTATAAAGGTTTCTGGCCAAGCTCTCCGTCTTTATGCAGTGAAAACAATCCGTTTTATCTCTGTAAGATCAAGAGAGCAGAGGGGCAAACATCTAATGCCAATAAGACTAGTGTTGCTATGGGTCACAAATTTCAAGATAACTTTGGAAACTTTCCATGGAAAGTTACGGAAATGTTCTGTTAAATTTCGCTAAATGATCTGGAAAAGCTTTTTTCTTCAATGAGAAAGCCTAGGACATATTAAGCTGTATGGCACTGTATACAACCCTTTACACATAATGAAAAGGCTTTAATGTGTTTTTGCCTGGGGTTTTGAAATGGTCCAATTGGCTCAAATGAGAGGATATCACTATACACATGAAGTAAAATAGGTAAGATTATCCAGTGATCTGCTGCCAAATACACACTAGAAAAATTGGCACATTAAAAAAATCAGTTCCCTCACATTTTAGAAAATTCCCAATGAATTTCTAAAGTTTATTGAAATTTACTGTCTTTAAAATTTCCACAAAATTTGCAACACTGAATGATATGTTGGTACTTTCATACAATTTACTAAACTGGAAGATATCACAATTTCTTAATATTAACATACAGACTTTTTTTTAAATATATTAACACAAATATTCTTACGTCTCTAGTGCACTTTCTGGGATATCTTGAGTGGGTTCAGCTTTGGTCTCCATGCCAACACCTTGCATCATTTTCTCTAGCGTGAACGTTTGGAATACAATTCTTTCATACGGGTGTAAACTACCGCACTCGTACAGGCAGGCAAAGTTCAAGACTGGTACCCTGTCACTGGTGCGGGTCTCGTAACCGACCAGGTCTGAGTATGCACTGGCCCCAGAGTTCAGCTGCCAGGGGGCGCTCCACGTCCGGCAGCCATTGCGACTGAGGCGCACCGACATGTTGACACGGGTCTCAGTGCTTGCAGGGTTAGAGAATAGCACCCATGAGGTCATGTCATAGGCATCAGGCGGCACACTACTGGGAGCACGGAAACCAAGAATACTGGCCTACAGGTTGATGGACAGAAGAAAGGAAATCAACATATTATTGTGACCAATGAGGATGATTTGATTAATCAAAAAAACAATTTTCATACAAAAGGAAAGTTCACTTCACAAAGGCACAACAGCAAGTGCCAAAATTCTTTAGCCAAGAAACGTCAAGCAATTTTTTGGCACAAAATTGTTTAAAAAGAAAATATGAGGAGTACAAAGACGCAGTGGCTGTGATTTTCTTAGGAAAATGAGCATGTACAAAAATAAATCAACCGTTCAATTGATTGAAAATGTAACAGAACAAAGCAGTGATTAATCATTCAAAAAAATAATCCTATACTTGTGGGCCTACGTGATCCAGTGACCAGTCCTGTGATTCAAACTGTTATTCATGGCATGAACCACTATGAAAAATATGTTAAGGTCGGTGGGGTAAGTAAGCAATTTCTTGGTCAAGCAGGTCAATGCGTTTGTCCAGATTTCTTTTTTAAATGAACCATACAGGGAAACTGGTGAATTTTAACAATTAAACAGTTGAACAAAGAAATTGACTGAAGTGGGGCTTGAACCTGCGACCTCCGGATAACCTATTCCGGTGCTCTACCAACTGAGCTATCCAGCCTTATGTTGGCGGTTCCCTAATTAGTCAACGGTTATCCGGTGGCAGGTTCAAGCCCCACTCCAGTCAATGTCTTTGTTCAACTGTTCAATTGTTATAATTTACCTAGTCAGTTTCCCTATGTGGTTCATTTGAACATTTGTAATAAAAAGCTGTATCCTCTCCGAGTGATCCCCATTTGCTATTTCCTAGGTCTGTATCGTGACTTTGGGCATGATCCCTGGCTGCACACCTTGTTTTATTTTTTTATTTTTATTTTTTTTTGACGTGGGGGGGGGGGGGGGGGAAATCTTTCATCAACCCTACCTGACAGCCACCAAAGTTACGAACTGAAGGAATCCATTTGGTCAGCGTGTGTCCAGGCTCTGGAAGCTGAGTGGCTAGCTCACCAGGGTTAAAGGTCAAGCAGCCATCTTGGCTAAAAGCTTGTTGCCGTGGCGTTTGAACGCCTAGGGTCCTGCTGTTGATGTAGGCTCTGCCATCATCAAATTCTACTATCTAAAGTTTGGAAGTTTACAAGAACAACATTTACAAAAATAAAATCTACTGACAAAGTGGTTGTTCAAAGAATTTCTAATCACACTCTTCATTATGCCTTAAGGTTTGCAAAAAAATTTAAAATCTCAAACTAGGTCAAATCCTGTTTCAATTCCTATCCCATATCTGACTTCGATTTCAATACTGATTCCTTAAACCACTTTCTTATCAACTGATTCCTATTCCCGTTTTGATTCCAGTTCCAGAAAGGGTTCCTCTTCCAATTTAGGTTCCATTATAAATTCATATAATGGTCCGTTGCAATGCCTAGAGTGATTCTGATTCCCATTCCAATTTTCTCACACCCCTTCAGGACCAAGGTTGGTATCCAGCTGCCGATGTAGCACAGTTTGTAGAGTCAACAACTGCATTTATTAACATTCAGGGTTCTCCCCACGTACAAACGTGCGTATCGGCCCGATACGCTGGAATTGTGGCCCGATACGCCGACAAAAATGCCGATCACATTTTTCAGCCCCCGATACGCACAATATAATTTATTACACAAGCCATTAAAATGCACAACATTATCGTTTCATACGCCATTATTTCATCTTGACATTCAAAATCTTGACAAAAATCCCGTATTTCTGATGCTGCATGTGTGATCAAAATGCACACGATGACGGGTCTTTCGCGACGACCGCCAGCACCCAGCTATATATTAGCGCATTCAGCATGGTACACTGGTTCCCTTCGCGTGCTAACAGTATCAATGCTATGATGAAGGACCGGAACCAGTGACTACTGCCTTGTACGTGTATACATGATGATTTCGGCCGAAGTTGGATCGTAAAAACACCAAACAAACATCGATGGAGAAAGAGAATTTCTGCAAATTAATTCACAGAACGTGATCTCTATTTTCTGTGTATGTATTTTCCATTAAAATGACGAGATTGCAAAGCTCGAACGTATGGCGAAACATCGTATGCGTAGCATGCTTCTTAGAAGCAGTGGTGCAAAATTTTCAGCCACATGGGATGGGCCGTACACAGTTCAGTAATGCACACTGATGCTGCGCCGTGAGCACAGCGCCATGTACAGCCGGCCAGACTGAATGTTGACGGCGCCAGGGGCCATGATGTACGTTAAACATATTGTGGAATCAACTACCTCAAATATATTTTTAATTAGGTGAGGCAAGTTTTAATCACTTTTGATGGTCAGTCTTGATGATTTTCGTGGTGCAAAGGAAAATAATCCAGGCACAAAACTACATGATTCCTTGTTCAATATGCTCCATTCAATCAAGTGTTTTTATTCCTCCATGATTCAATCAGCAGCCCAAAAAATTGGCGAAATAATTTTTCCGACTTACCGACGCTATTTTGAAAGGCATGTAATCGGAAGCAAAAGTGATATTTTTCTTCACCTTAATTTCTTAATTTGAAACTTGCTTGTTAATATAATTCATACTTTCTAGATCAGGAAGTTTTAACACAGGTTTTGAAATGTTGATTTTTTTTTTAAGTTAAAAATTTTGATATTTTTTTTTCTTTAATTACAAAAAAATATCACATGATCTCCTCTAAATTTTAAGGGAAAATCTTCCTCAAAGACTCCCCAGATTTGCTCTAAAATGCACCAGAGAGCCTCTAAAGTTCAAAATTTTTCGGGGCCCTTAAGCGGGCCCCCAACCCCACGCCATGGCTTCGCAGGTTGGTGAATCACAACAAAACTTCCCCCACAGGTTTGAAAAAATCCTGGGGAGAACCCTGAACATCAACTAATTTTCTCTGTATACGAAAACTCTGCTGCTTTGGTTTTTTATCACATTATGATATGAGACTGTCATTGTTTAGCTGCTGAGGGGGCAAAGTTTATAGAGTCAACAACTACATTTATTAACATCAACTAAACTTCTCTGCATACAAAAACTCTGCTGCTTTTTTTTTACCACATTACAATATGAGCCTGTCATTGTTTAATGACAGAGAACCTGGAATTCCAAGGTCTCATATTCATTGACTCTCTGACAAACCGATGCCATGTGGCAAACTCCCACGGCGTTGTACATAGGATTCACCTCAACAGCTTACCAACAAGGATGCGGTAGCAACAATGGAAAAGTTATTGGAAATAAACCTCATTTTTTCGATTTGAACAACTGTCAGTGAATTAAGACAGAATTGATAACTCACAAAACTTATCCTTCATTCAATTTGACTAAAATGCTAATTGTAATCTTATAAAAACAATATTATAAGTTAAAAAAAAATGTAGGTTTTTTCCCCGTTAAACAATTTAGTTAGGAGAGACATCGCACATTCCACTGTTCGTTTGTCCATGGATGTTTCTCCTTCATGTTAAATCTCGGTATTGTTTCCATGGCACACCAAATAATGAGATGCGTATATATTTACACATTAATTATCTTTTACAGTACGCCCTTGTAAACACTGCTTAATCAATCATGTGATATTGACTTCAGCAGCTGCCCATTATACGAAAACAAGCTCTTAATATTTTGCTGCAGTTACTTCAGGTAGTATGATACACTTGTTAAAAAAAGAAAAAGTATAATATATATTAGCCTGGGTTTCATCTGGGAATTGATAAACTGTTATTCTGCAACAGACGTCTATAGACAAAGCTTATGTCATATGTGATTATCGTACTCAATTCTGTTCTCTTGTAAAAAAAAAAAAAAAAAGAGAAGAGGAAAGGAAAGGTGTTGAATGTAGGCACAAAAGACAAAACCTTGCTGGAAAAGATATTGCATCACATGCATTTGTCTAAAATGAGATTACCATTTTAGAATATTCATTGTCATCAAACAGTGCTTTAATCTTACGATTGTTTCAAGTAGCCAGGCAACTAATTGTGAAATATGTTGCTGGTACTTTTAGGCCAGCACAAATTTTGCAATGATTGTATATTGTTCATGTTTTTAAAGATGTCTTTGAACATGAGGTACTGGCACTTTCCTAACAGTAATTTGTGATGTTCAGAGATGGGCATGTTTACTGTTTGTGGTCATTTATGCTTAACCTAAAATAAATTCATTTACAACATGAATAATATCCGCATGCACTAAAAAGAAATTAAAATCCTGCATTTAGTTATTTGCCTCAATCAGCATCCTTTTTATTTACTTGAACATATTTTTTATAATAAACAAATTAATTTACACAAGTAAAGGCTGGTTCATAATCTACATGAAAGTGAATGTGAACGCGATTTGTTATAATTTGAAATATCTGTGCTGCAAAAACAATTTGCAAACAGTAACAGCAAATACATTTCAACTCTGGCGATTTTTACTATTGACATTTCGAGATGTTAAAGTCTGAGGTACATGTACATGTGCGTAACTAAGTGGACATTCGGCAAGAATTCATGTGGCATATATTAACATAAATTCCGATGGTAAAGAGGATTATGCATGTACCTGGAATGATCTAGCTACATGTTCAGCAAGAGGGAAGGTTATTGTACATGTAGCATTGAGCTCTACATATATAAGTGTATGCTTTGAGTTAACGTAAAATGTACATGTGTGTGCACATACAATGCAACCCGACAAAATGTATTCTTGGGTCTGTGACATCTGTGTGAAATATCACACTGGACTCGTGAGACAACCCAAGCAGAACTAAAATCAATCTTTGGGTCCTTGCGATAAACCCATTATTCATGGCTCATGTAACCAGTACGCGCTGCTCCTTTAATGTGGGGGATTCTAGGGATGATTGCCTTGTTTGTTTATGTTGTGACTGCTTTGGGGAATATAATGCCACAGAGTGTTCACTTAACCTGTGTCTGACGGTACTATCCCTAGTTTCATATAGCAGACCTTAGCAGAAAGGTTACAGAGTACATGCAAGCACATTTATGGATGCTGTAACTCACAGTTTGCAACCTCAAACAAGATGCATGGCTGCGGTAATGGTCGAAGTCAGGTGAATTGTGATCAAAGCATGGAGGAATTTGTGGAACCGAAAAGTTTTCCTCTAGCTACAGATCTGCCGATTCCATAAAGGCCAGACAAAGGATTTTAGCATTCCTCTGGCCAAACCCACATGACGTTAGAGCATTAGTGTGTAGATCTGGTGTGCAAATATGTAGTAAGCATGCCAATTAATGCTCTGATCAGTTAGGTATAAAAATCATCACATACATGTACGACAGCCTCATCAGCAATTCTCGATCCTGGATAACACTACAGTGTGGTATATAAATACTGCTGGCTTAGTAGAAAAATGCCCGCTCCGGACAAGACTCTAATGTATATACTTAATGTCAGTATAATTTGTGTTGTGTTTTCATGTACACACGCCTGTTCCTCCAAATCCACTGTATCTACACGTTAGACTCGGCATCACATATGCCCAGCAAGATGTCAATAGTTAGTAAAATTCATCACAAACTAAATGTGCTGTTCACATTTAGTTCAGACCAATTATTGATGCTTCAAGGTAGTCCATCATTGACTACATACATACATGTAGATGATTTCTGATTACGACAACTCGCTGTGGTTTCAAAGCTTGCAAAACACTTAAGAGCCTGACCTCATTTAAAACGCAAATCCAATTGATTGGTTAAATCAAATTACAAAATGACGTGCCAGAGTGCAGTCTGTTACAATCAAGCTAAAGTGTTTTGCATTGAAAAGGTCCCATTATTTTATCTGACATTCACGGAAAATGAAGGCTGGAAAATGAAGGCTATAAACTGGGCTTTGTGATATGCCTATATGAATGTCATGAGAATCAAGATTAATCCTACTTGACTTATAACACAAACCATTTGCTGAGACTGAGAGCAAGCGCAAGAAATGTACGTTATTACACTTACAATGCATGATCTCACTTACATGTAGAATACTGCAATGGGATCTGTCACTACATGAGCATATTGTTCAGTGGTTGAAAAATGTCAATTTCATCAAAATTTGAACTGCCTACAGTCAAAACAAAAGTTACCCCCTTTCATTTCTTCTGATAAGGGGAACTAATTCCAAAGTGCACACTGCCCAAAACTAGGCACTTTAATCATTAAAGTAAGTCTGATGTTAATTACAGAAAAGAGGGATATGAATTTACATGTCAAGGCTTCCGTATTAAGTCAACCAATAATTGGAAATGATACAAGAGACAATGGCTGTCCAAGGTTTGACTCAGTAGAAGAGAAATCAATACACGACCACCGCCTACGCCATCTGTCACCGATTCCTGGATTAAGCCGAGCTGGCATTCTGACACGCTCAGTATTATTTGACTGGTCGATTTTCCCTTGAGGATAGCTTGCGTGCCGCACAGTTAGTAGGCCAAGACAAACACTCTTTTAGCCTCAGAACCGCTGGCCAGCAGGTCTACCCGACTTTGCCATAAGTGCCCTAATCGTCTTAGCATTTATCATTGATGTTGTTTCTACTAGAGTTCCTTGTTCCCCCGAGGTCTGGGACTTAAGTCTCCAGAGAGGCAATGGATACTTAGGTGTGAATGCTACATCACTGTCTGAAGAAGGTCTTGTTATTTCACTCTTACGCAGTAATAGGAAAGGGTGAAAAGAAAAAAGCCTCAAGTAATGCTGGGTATCCTGTGCTCCTACATGTACTGCTACTGAGTAGAAAATATTGACATCTAATCCACAAATTCACTTCAGTGAGTTTAATTAGACCAAAGGAATTTCCTGTTTATTAGCTAGAGGGAAGATTATGATGTTCCAGATTCTCACAGATATGTTGCAATATTGAAATGGAGTTAATTATCTTGTATTGAAAGATGCCACAGGTAAAATGATCTTTATTATCATGATGTTTTCATTGTTTTTTGACAGAATGGTTCTGCCTCCAGTATTTTGTTGAAAGTCTTGCTCTGGATTAAATGATTCATATCCAAATGTGTTTTCACCAACAACAGTTTTTGTAGACTGAGACTGGCCTATCAACGGCACAAAAGAAATGGCATACAAATAATTATAAACACACTTTGTAAAATTTTACTTTATCTTCAACATGCATGCATACCAAATGCATTTTTTGCCTCAAGAACTAAAATATATGATTAAATTTGACATACTTATTTGAAAAAAAAGTGAAAAAAATTGGTCACAATTAACAGTTCCACTCCCTTTTAAAACCACAACTTTTTTTCATTGAGATTTAGAGAACAAGGTATGATATAACAGATTTTACTGAGGGAATATGTGCTTGGCCAGTTTTAAACGCACTTGTCAAAAAGTCAAAAATTCCAATTTCCAACGATTTTGTTCAACAATTTTTCCTCATGTTTTGTAAAATACCCCTCTGGTATGTGCCTCCTGTGCGTAGTGCTAAAAAATCTCCTTTTAAGGAGACAGGCGCATGGGGGGCACTAACTGTGCGATGGAGGGCACTTACTGTGTGAGTGGCGCAGAACGCAGCTGCGCAGGAATAGAGTGTTTCAAATTAGATGGTGTTTTATTAATGGTTTAAAACCACCCATGCGACAGGTTCTCGACCAATAGGATTGGATTAACTGTCTTAGCTATTTCTGAATGTAAATTAAATTACAGATTTTGCACTGTAAAACACATTAATTGCAAATATATCAAAAGTTTTTTTTTTCATGTGACCCGAAACAAATATTCTTTTAATTTGACTGAATTGAAATTGACAGGTGTTTAAATACAACAACGTGCCATATTCAATGAATATGAAACCATTCACATAACAGGTGTCTGGCCTTCAGAATACCCAAAACCAATTACCATTTTCATATGCAAAAAAGTACAATCTCCTGTTACATGGAGACAGATTTGCAAATGCATATATTGGTTGCCATTCATCAGTGAGCAGCAGGCTTTGTCAAGAGAACGATTGTACAGGGAATCAGCATGAGTGTGGTGCACAATATTACTTCATTCTAATCAACTGTCAAGGCCATTAAAATACAAACCCAAATACCAGGAACAGTTTATCTATTCCTATTGTTTGAGAACCTGCAAACAGCCAATTTAAACACTGTTTAGTATTTGAATGGTGGTATTTATTAAAAGCGGTCGTGAGACCCTGCGCTCTGTGTCATATACATCACGCCATATACGCCGCACACACCGGCTACAACTGAGTGGTTGAGAAGCATTGAAATGAGATGCTGAGTACATTGCACGTGCTGCACACACCATAGAAATGGCCCGATTGTGGAGTAACAAAACGGAAAAACAAAACCACAGGAACTATTTTACTGTTTTTGACCCCAAAAGGCGTTCATGAATTGGGATGATAGGGCAATAACTGGCAGCCAGACCCCTAACCGGTTTTGAACCACATATTTATAACTTCTCCATCACACTATTAAAGTAACCCAAACCATTACTAGCAAGTCCCCCCCCCCAAAAAAAAGTACACCAATCGAAATTTGCCTTTCTTATTTTATGAATGTGAACAAGAGATTTCTGACTAATGTATTTTTTTGTAATAACTGCCAAAACAAAACACTCATCAGTTTGTTTGGCAAGTCACGCAATTGACGGAGTTAAAAAGAATTTGAATATGCCTACCTGGCATTCATTGGCATTTACTAGTTGCCCTTCCTGGTCGAAGGCAGCTGGTACCCCACCTCCCTGCTCCCACGTTTCTCCACCATCATCGCTGTATATCACCATGGAACGGCTTTGTGCATTGTAGAAGCAGTCAAAGAACTCCAGAATCTTGTGTTTGATCTCTGAGAGGAAACCTGACATGTCAAAGATTTCAAGGACTAATTATTTTTAAAAAAGTTTCTGTTAAATGGTTAAACCCCTTAGCACTTGTATAACATTGTACCGGTATTACATTGAATATATTCCCTGATGAATCCATGAAACCATATAGTACTGGAGCAGTTTGGGGCAGTACAGGGAGTAACAGGCAGGGTGGTTAGGGCAGTACAGGGAGTAACAGGCAGGGTGGTTGGGGCAGTACAGGGAGTAACAGGCAGGGTGGTTTGGGGCAGTATAGGGAGTAACAGGCAGGGTGGTTGGGGTAGTGCAGGGAGTAACAGGCAGGGTGGTTAGGGCAGTACGGGGAGTAACAGGCAGGGTGGTTGGGGCAGTATAGGGAGTAACAGGCGGGGTGGTTGGGGCAGTACAGGGAGTAACAGGCAGGGTGGTTTGGGGCAGTACAGGGCAGTACAGGGAGTAACAGGCGAGGTGGTTGGGGCAGTATAGGGAGTAACAGGCAGGGTGGTTGGGGTAGTGCAGGGAGTAACAGGCGGGGTGGTTGGGGCAGTACAGGGAGTAACAGGCGGGGTGGTTGGGGCAGTACAGGGAGTAACAGGTAGGGTGGTTGGGGCAGTACAGGGAGTAACAGGCAGGGTGGTTGGGGCAGTACAGGAAATAACAGGCGGGGTGGTTTGGGGCAGTACAGGGAGTAACAGGCAGGGTGGTTGGGGCAGTACAGGGAGTAACAGGCGGGGTAGTTGGGGCAGTACAGGAAATAACAGACAGGTTGGTTGGGGAAGTACAGGGAGTAACAGGCGGGGTGGTTGGGGCAGTACAGGGCTTAACAATCCCTGCTCACAGCAGCTCTGTAGAATTGGTCTTCTGTACAATTTTTGGTTTTATTACAGTCTTTCCGCAAGTTGAAACTTGATTACAAACCTTTTTGTATTCTTGTCATTGAAGGTGAGTTGTTTAAATGTTTTTGTTTATGAGAGCGGATTGGTTTTAAAAGCCCAGCAGATAGCTCTTTTGTGGAGCACCACAACTAAAAAAACAAAAACTCATTTTTGCTTTGATCATCACCATTGAACAAGGAATTGTTCTAAGCACAAGTCAAGCTTATTGATGTATACTCTAGAACTATAGGGAGAGATAAAATCAGATATCTGGGCTGTAGGAAAAGAACAAAATGAAACAAACTAGTCAGGGAATGACAATGGATTAACATCTCACCAGTCTCATGTGGTGGTTTCCAGAATACGCTACCAGGAACAACCAGCCGTCCTGAAGTCAACTGAATTCCATGTCCAGGACCTTCCAGATATACAGGAAAAATCAGGTCACTGTCAAGGCTTTAACATTTTCATCGGCGTAAAAAGTTACCAGTTAGTCCAAAACCAATACACAGTTGTTACAAAACTTAACATTAAGATATGCCCCACAAGTGGCACACACAATAAAAGAGAAAACTAATGTAAATTAATTTCATGCATCAACTCTTTAAATAATGTAAGGGACTTTTAAACATGTTCTCTTGAGACATTCACGTACCTGATGCGTATATATGAGGCCGTGGGTCCATCATTCCCAGCGTTGTCTCTGAGACGTCGCGTGGCTCACTCCATGTTAACCCATTGTCTCTGGATTTGGTTACCAGCACTTTCTGCTGGTACTCCTGTCCTTTAATGAGATCTGCTTCCGAGAGGTCCTGAGGGAATGCGACGAAGACAAGAACGATGCTGTTGGTTCTTTTGTTGACTATGGGCACAGGGTTCATGGTTCTAATAAATGAAAGTAAGGAAATATGTCGAATTAATCTAAGCAGCCCTTACTAAAAATAAAGCTCCAAAAGATCAGTCAAATCCTCCTTAAGTTTACCAAAGAAGTGATGGACCGGTTGTGTTATTTGTAAGTCTACTTGTTGATTTTGCATGTCTTCAATATAGTTTTCAAAAATGACCCAAACTGTCGCACAGTAAGGATAACTCAGCACTGAAGAATGTGGCGTGACACACACTATGTGCTTGTAGTTATTTCCCATCATACTAAGGTATACATGTATGTCATTTTTCTGCTTTTATGGGAATTCGGCTAACTACTCGCAAGTACTCAACTCCTAATAAATAGTGAGTAATTTTTTTGGGAGTACTCCCAAAATCCACTTCTTGCCTAGGCCTACTTGACTGATAGTTATGCAATTCACTTCAATTGAAGAAATATTAGGGATTTCTTTAACAACTACGTCAAAAGGGGTTGTATTATGATCTACAAAACATATCTGAACTACCGGTATCTCCATTTATGAGGTATTAAGATAACAAGTGAAATGTTCAAATTAAGGGATGTGATTTTTAGACATTTAAATGAAAACAAAATGCACACAACACACCCATTGCACTTTTTAGTATAGCCATGATGTGAATGTGATTTGCCTTCCAGTTTTATTTAACAAAGAATCAATCAAGGATGCCAGGCACTTCAGCACTTGATCATATCCCAGACAGTTTAATACATTTGTCAATGATCAGCTACTATCCATGAGGCAACCAAATACCGTTTATGACATTTATAGTGGTTGATGTTTTTACGCTGCACCAGATATTAAAAACTGTTCCTTGACTTTTCTATACGTGATGCACATATACTGGGACAAATGGCAACCTAAAGGTTTTAGCAGATCATATTAACGTTGAAACGGTGCGTGAAAGATTCGCTGAATGTTTACCAAACTAACCCCGGATTCCCAACCTTAGGTGAAATTGAAGAATTGAATATTGCAACATGGAAGAAACTTTGACCATTAGTGGTAGGGGATATGAAGTATATGAGGGTCCAATAATTCACCTGTATTCAGGCATTGAAGCTATAACTTGAATATCGCCCCATATCACTTCATCATCTTTCAATATGCCCCTCCGCAGAACCAAATCCATGCTTCCCCAGTCCCGGAATGAACTCTTCCTAGCTTCACAAAAAGCTAGTAAAGTCCGGCGATTGTAGACAATAGCAGGAATTCTGCGAGGAGATGAGAGATTGGAATGGCAAAGAATGAAAACCAACATTAGTAAAACAAAATCAAACTCAGACAATGGCATTCCAAATGCAACGTGAAGGAAGAGAAAAAGACTGGTTGTAATAAATCCAACTGCAATTATAATGAATTTAAAAGCCTTATGGTACCACTATATTGTTTACGCATGGCTGAGCTTAACGATAACACAAACAATTCAACTGTACAGGCAAAGAAACTACACCAGTCTTTAAATAGGCCATCATATAGAAACACTTTGTATATATTTATATATTTTTTTAAAAAGAAAATCAGAACTGAATTTCCACACATTGTGTTTTACAATATATCTGTAAATGTACTGACTCTGTATGATCAAGACCATAAAATCAATTGTTACTTTTTCACACAAGTCCTAAATGTTGAATATCTGGCAGCAATAAGTCCATTTCTGCTATCTGTCTTACAAAATACGTACTCAAAATATCATTTCCCCCCCCCCCTTCATGAAGCCAGTAAATCAAATGCAGACAGGGATTATAAACTAACCATTTTTTTGAAGGCCTAATATAACAAGAATTATAAGGAAAATGCTTTACAGAAATCACAGAATATTTTAGAAACACTTACCTAAATGTATTGTAACCATGATCCCCTTGACCAAATATTTCTAAACAAGCAAACCAAAAAGGGAACACCATTAAAAGTAATGTAAATCATGTTGCAAGTTTGCGGTACTGACACAAGTCTAAAGAATGTGGGAAAAGAGCTTTAACAAGGAATTTTAATCAGAACTACAGAAATAAATAAAATGGGACAACAAGACCTTTTATAAGTGAAGGAAGTGCCAGTGAGATGGAAAATGGATTAAGTTAGTTGTTTTGCTTTGTTTTTGGCGGTCAAACTGCAATCATCTATGTACCTGAATATGGTCTACACCTTTTTGGTCCACATTTATATTTAAGTATGGTACATACTGGTATCTTGTAAAACATACTTATTGTTACTGCAGCTTCACTCTGAAGAAACTACTGAATGTAATAATAGCCAGTTTTTGGCAGTCATTGTGTGATGTTTAGAGTTAAGAGTGCCATGCTCAAATGAGGGAACATACAACTTTTTTTGTCACCAGGAAAAAGCCTCAAGTATTGCGTATGCTTATGCAAAAAAAAAGTAGATAGTCAAACTGTATAAAGACCACAGCATTATGACTAACAGTAGAAATTGTCCCAATGTAGTTTGGCTGTACCTGTAAACCATAATGATCATCGCCTGTACTCTAATTATACATGTTGTTTATTTAAGACCCCTCTTTACATAAATTAAACAAAGAATGCTGACCAGTAATTAAAGCGTGCATTTTTTATCCTTAAGGCTGTTGTGTACGCACGCAAACCCCATTCCAAATTTAATTAAATGTACAAACATGATGCTGGTAGGAGCTAAATGGATGTACAGCGTACATGTGTACATAAAAACCAACACATAAAAACTGAACGTACATTTACACTAATATAACAAATTTCAAGCAAAAGACAGTCTGGATGTAAGCTGTCAGCCTAAACCTGCAGTTTTCTTTATTCCAGTTTGAGGCACACACAATTCTCTAAATCACCCTGGTAATATTTCAATCACTGTATGTTCTTGGGATATTATGTAATTGGGATATTTTTAAGTTTGCAACAATAAAAAGGACAGTACACGTACAGCCTTGGCAGTTGGGTTTTTCACATTTGTTTTCACTGTCAAAGGGTCAATGGGTTAGGATAATAATAATAATAATACTGAAGTCTTATATAGCGCATGTATCTTCCAACAATTAGGTACTCAAGGCGCTGGAAATTATGTCTATTACTAGAGACAGGTAAATGAAGTACATGGGAAATATGAGAACCATTATGTAGCACCTTTATAATGGTTTACAAGGTGCTGCGGCACATTAAGCAGCCACTGCCAGAAACACCGGGGCAAACCCCTTCTCTTAGCGATAAGTGTCACTGGGTTCTTTAACGTGCATTACACAACACACGGGACCTACGGCTTCACGTCCCATCCGAAGGACGAAGTGATAATGGTAAAGCGCCTTGCTAAGGAGCGCAAGCACCATGTTCCCACGGTCAGGATTCGAACCCATGCACCACGGCACACGAGTCGAACACCATAACCATTGGACCACAGCACCCCACGCTTTAGCCAGGATGGTCAGGATGGTTTGGAGAACTGAGCAACTCTTCACCTATAAAATATCCTTTGTGACCTGCATCTCCAACAGCCTCTGCTAATCAAACTCCTACTGCCTGGCTTCTCGTGCTGACCCCGATTTATAACCGAAGGTAGAAGTGTGAGAGGCAAGTTTCTGGCACCTTAAAAACCAGATTGCTCCGGGCAGGTGGGGCCCGTTTGCCATGGAAGGCAGCCCACGTAGGAGAAGGAAAACTCTGATCTCAAACACGGGCAGGTGGGGTTCGTTAGCCATGGGAGGCAGCCCTCCTAGGAGAAGGAAGTACTGACCAAAAACCCATATTGGAGGACGTCTACTACATGTACCACAGTGTTCACGGGTGCCACGACGACTGATATGGCAGATGACCCTTTGGCCAATGGCATTGAGGGTGCAGGTAAGGCTCCAGTGGCGGTGTTTAGATGCTGAGGCAGCATCGGCCCACAAATATCTGTATCGTCAATATGACCATCACTCCCCACAGCGTGACGTAGGACTTGTCTTGTGGTTGTGTCAGGAAGAGCATCCGGCTGTGAAACTTTGCTTCAGTATTTAAACTATGGCTAGTCAGATGTATAGGCAGGGTACAGCCTCAAGTACTGCGTGGGCTACTCCACCAGCCTACTTCAAACAGAAAGGTGGAGAAGGTTGCTAAAGCGCAGTCAGTAATGACAGCTATCTGCCCGATGTCCTACGGGGAGGTCAGAGGAAGAGGGGAGGTCGGTGTTTTTGGGTGGCAACATGGAACATTGGCAGCATGTCAAGGTGGTTTGGGGAGGTGGTGGATGCGATGTTGAGGAGGAGAATTGACGTGTGCTGGATGCAGGAGACAAGGTGGAAGGGAGGCAGTGCAAGGTGGAAGGGAGGCAGTAAAAGGTGGATGGGTAGGAGGGGTGAGCAGTATAAGTTCTTCTGGATGGGTACTGAAGACGGGAGCGGAGGCGTCAGGATGTTGCTGGCAGAGCGGTGGGCTGACCAGGTGAAGGCGGTTTAGCAAGACAGTGAAAGGATCCTGTTGATGAGTTGATGAAGCTACTGGTCGGGATCAGGAGTGTGATCAAGATATCTCGGCCTATTCCCCTTAGGTCGGGAAGTCAAGAGAAAAAGAAGGATTCCTTCTGGGATCAGATGGTCAGGGTAGTCTCAAGGCTGCCACAGAAAGAGGCAGTCACCTTTGGAGGTTATCTCAATGGCCACATGGGTGCGGCTGCAGAAGGCTATGATGGCATGCACGATGGTATGGGCTATATGGTAAGAGGAACAACCAGGGTGTGCCGATCCTGGAGTTTAGTGATGCAGTCGAGCCTGTGATGTGCAACACATTCTTCAGAAAGGATGCATACCATGCCAGCTGGTGACATACAGTTCCGGTGGATGCAGCATTGCTATCGACCTCCTGATGGTCAGGAATTAGGGGGACCGTACCATGGTGAAGAATGTCAAGGTCATCACATGTGAAGAGTGTTTCACAGCACCGTCTTGTTGTTGGCGACCTGGCTCTAGCTCTGGTTTGTGCTAGGTAGGTAAGGAAGAAGCACATGCCAAGATTGCGAGTGTGGCGTCTAGTGAGAGGTTTAGAGCTAGGATGGAGGAGCTGGCAGAGCGGGCTGTGATGGAGGAGGGTGTTGATGGTAGGTGGGCCCGGCTAAAGAACATCTGGTTGCAAGCCGCCAAAGAGGCCTGTGGGTGGATGAAACGTGAGCCTATGTACAAGGAGACATGGTTGTGGACTGAAGAAGTTAGGAGTGTAGTGGATGAGAAGAGGCGCTGCTTCAATATATGGAACTCTTTGGGTGAGGAGAAAGATAGGTTAGCCATGAGGCAAAGCGGGCGTCTAGGAGACAGGTGAGGAGGGCTAAAGATGCCAAGAGAAGGGAGTTTGCAGCAGATTTACAGTGCGAGGAGGGCAGGAGGCAGTTCTTTAAGATTGCCAAGCAGATGGCAAAGGCAAGCCGTGTCAAGGATGATACAGGAACTTTGTGACAGATGGTGAAGGCGTGCAGGAGGTGTGGAGGAGATTCATGGAGCGGCTACTCAATGTGGAGAATGAGTGGGACAGGGAGGTGGAGAGTGAAGTGGTGGAGGGACCATGTTGCCTTATCGAGGAATGGGAGGTGGTTCAGGTGCTGAAGCACACAAAGCCTGGGAAGGCCGCTGGTCCATCTGGAGTGGTTAGTGAGATGATGAAGGTCTCAAAGATCAGCAGGTGGCGGTGTACAGTGGATGACAGCCTTGCTCAATTCCATCTTGGTGGAAGGTTGTATTCTTACTGATTGGCAGAGCAGCATCTTGGTTCCCCTGTTCATGGGTAAGGGTTATCCATTGCAGCGTGGTTCATTCAGGGCTGTCAAGCTCCTGGAGCAGGTGATGAAGGTGTGGGAGAGAGTTCTTGAGGTACGTCTTGAGGATGCAGGTGGAAATTGACGAGATGCAGTTTGGCTTTATGCCAGGTAGAGGAACTACTCACGCCATTTTCATTGTGTGACAGCTACTGAAAAAATATCTAGCTAAGAAGAAGAAACTCTCTCTTGGGTTCGTGGGCCTTGAGAAGGCTTTGACCGGGTGCCAAGGGAGGTGGTGCGATCAGCCATGATGAAGCGGGGTGTGGAGGAATGGTTGGTGAGGGCAGTAATGACGTTGTACACGGGGACGAGTTCAGTGGTGAGGACATGTGCAGGAGATAGTAAGAGTTTTGAGGTGAAGGTTGGCGTACATCAGGGCTTGGTACTGAGTACCTTGGTGTTTGCTGGTGAAATGGATGGGGTGTCGAGTGAGACGCGAGGTGGCTGCCCTGGGAACTGCTGTATGCTGATGACCTTGTTCTTATAAATACATTTGTAACAGTGACAAGAGAGCGGTCACGGAGGAGTGGGGAGCATCTTTGGTATCTAAGGGCCTCAAGGTTAATTCCAGGAAGACCACAGTGATGGTAAAGTCAGTGGTGGGCTGGTGACAAGCTCTGCTGCATGTCCATGTAGTGTGTGCGGGAAGGGTGTAGCTGTCAACCCTATCCAGTGTACAATGTGTAAGAAGTGGGTCCACAAGCGATGCAGCAGCATGAAGGGTAGTCTTCGGGCTGCAAGGGCCACGTTCTCTTGTAAGAGGTGCCTTGGTGATGGTCCACAGCCGGAATAGAGAGAAGTTGGTCTGGAGATCTGTGTTGGAGATGGTGGAGTCATTCTGTTACCTGAATGATATGCTGGGTGCTGAGGGAGGAAAAGATGCGGCAGGGACATCACACGTGCGAAGTGGGTGGAAGAAGTTCAAGGAGCTGGCTCCATTCTTAACATCCAAAGCACTGCCCCTGAAAATGAAGGTCAAGTATACACCACCTGTGTCCGGAGCTGCATGCTGTACGGCTGCAAGATGTGGCCCACTAGAGTGGGGCACGTCCAGCAGTTGGAACGAGCAAAGGTGAGAATGATCAGGTGGATGTGCGGGGTGTCTCTGGCTAACAGGCTGTCAAGTGAGGAGTTGAGGAGGAGAGTTGGATTGGAGGGGATTAGTATCGTGTTAAGGAGGCATAGGCTGAGGTGGTATGGTCACGTTGAGAGAAAGGATGATGTCAGCTGGGTCAAGAGGTGTTCCAAAATAGTCGCGGGTAGGCCCACACCCGTTGGCCGACCGCGCAAGACGTGGCAGCGCTCTGTGACAGATGACATGCGACTGCTTGGAGTCAATGCGAGGGATGCGGCGGACAGGGCCAAGTGGAGGAGAGCCATAGGGAGAAGGCAAGCCAACCCAGAACAGACTGGACAAGGTCCTTAAAACAGATGATGATGATGATGATGTGAGAATGTTTCTTTACAGGAACAAAGGATCACTTGCTTTTTTGTGCATTTGTTTTTTTGTTTAAAGCTACAAAATACACGTACTCCCAAGTAATAGGAAGGGTGCATTTATAACTATTTAACCTGATAAAGTTTCAGCTCACTGCACTGATACTGTACATTTTGAGAAAACAATTCCTAGTATGCACAACGGAAGTGGATTCCTTTGCTAGCACTTTGAACAAAAAAAATTATTAAATCATATTTTCAATTGCACCCTCTTATGTACTATCCGCCCTAAATGATTACTGCGACATGATTCTCATTCAGCCGGTTATTGCATTTGCCGTCAAGGTTTCCGTGGACAGTGTGATCTTTGCAGTATTAATGAACATTGACACCTCTTTTTGAAACTACCTTCAATGACATTTCAGGCAGAATATTTTCACAGGGTATTCTGCATTAGTCCTTTCTTCACTTGGAGCAAGGTTGCTCTCATTAAATTGGTTGGTTATATCCAGGTTATTAGTATTACCACTATTCCTTTACACACTGTAGGCTACAGAGGTTTTAATGCCAAAAGGTCCCATGACATGAATTTACTTGGTTTCATATTTTGTGCAAATTTCTTCTCCTCTTAAAGGTATGAACTATTTCACATCCCTTTATTGGTTAATTTTTATTGAAAAGTGCACTTTTTTAAACATTTCCCATTTTCCATGTTTTTCTTGACAATTGAGGGCCGTTTTTGTGATGTCATTTCAGAAAGACACTCTTCAGTTGAAGGGTTTTTCTGTTAAAATTGTGAACCAAGAAAAGCTCATTGAAAATATTTGTGGGAAAGTTTGCTCGTTGGCCAAATATCATGTACTGATACAACAACAAATCACCAAAGAAAAGAAAATTTACAATGTACAAAAGAGCATTTCCAAGGATTGCATTAAAAAAAATTACATAAAATGGCCCTTTAAAAAAAAAAGTTGAATTGAATTAGTATACTGCTTGACTTCTTAATCAAACAAACAAACAAACAAACAAACAAAAATTCCATTTTCCTGTCACAAATTCCCCTTATCAACAGCAAGTTTAGGAGAGGAAAAGAAAGAATGTGGGTGTACATGTACGGTGCACTGTGTGAATACAAATAATTACTTGACACATCACCTACATGTATTTTTACATCAAGTAATTGATGAGTTATATAATGGTGAATTCCTGGTAATGTTAGGCATAATTGTAATCAAGAATAACTAATTCATCACTTCAGCTGGAACCAGGTGGTGTTTTCCTATGCACTTTTATTGCAAAGCAAGGAACTATCATTTTACATGGGAATGATTTCGACTAAACTGCTTAAATGTTTAAAGGGACACCACGGCCTGTAACAAGCCGGCTACAAAACACATTTTGAACAAACTGATGTTAAACTGAAAGAACATTGAACACTAGGATATAAAATTATAAACATCCACACAACTATCCTTTAAAAACTGGGCGTTTTGTGTTATTCTTGTGTTATTCGTGCGAGAACGAATTTGGGATCCACTTTTGCGACCCAAAAAAATTGGGCCGTTCAGTGCTAGTTGTGATTCCAGCCACCCCATAAAGTGTTTGCCTTCTGCGGACGTGTAAGAAACCACATTTGTGCATTAGTGCTGTGTGTAATTTATGTGACACACACAACGTGTATCGTACATTGAATGAAAAGGACAGGAAAAACGAATGCGTACTCCGTCGTGTCCGATGTAACTAACCAGGTTTTTTCTGTCTTTTCTTGGGTACGGTAAGACATTAGGTTAGTTTTCTTTCAACAAAACCTTTTAAATGGTGTAAGTAAAAATCAAAAACATGAAAGTTTCATGGATTTCAGGCCATAATGCCCCTTTAAAAAAACCCACAAAACTTGTGTACAGAGAGATGTAATCCTTTTCAAAAAACAGTTGTCATTGTGACTAATGATGCACAAATATTTTTTTAGTAAACTCAGTATATGTTGTATCTTTTTGAAACCTTTAATTCATGTTGCCAGTAATTTGATATACAGTTGTTCACAATGAGCTTTTGAAAATGCTGCTTTCATTAAATGTGCCTCCATGCAACAATATACCCCACTTGGATGCTAATAACATTCTCTTCAGCTGTACATCTGTGCAGTTCTGGATATCCAGGGAAGTTCACATTGTTAGCATAATGCTAGATGCTAGGTGTCTAGTCAGTAGTATTTACTGTCTCACACTCTGTCTAGACCAGTCGTCATTGTGAATTCCAGACTATGTATTGGCACTGCGGCTGAATCCTGACAATTTGACCTACAAAGTAGAGTGCATCTCTTCTGTTGTTCGGCAGATTCATTGTATTAATCAAACAGCAGGTTTGTTTACAGTTCAAAATATTATCCACTGAGTGTACAAGGTCATTTTTATGTACCGGTATATTGTATGTGTACGGTGTTTAAAAGCCCATGAACTTGCACACGCAGCGATTTTAGGGGATAATTCATAAATGGAATAATTTAGAATTAGTAAAGGAGAATTTTAAATTGATAATATCCACTTGTATCACTTCACTAACAAGTACATAATTTTTGTAAATGACAAATTATTACAATCAACCAGTGAATGGAAATTGGAAAAAAATGACAACCAACATTGTTTCTCTCCTGTGTTGCTTATAATACCCGGTAGTTTGTGCTCAAGTCTAGAATATAACAGTATTTCCTCAAGTCAAAGCCCCAATGAACTGAAAAATGCAGGCCAATTAAAAAAATTAACCAGTTCCTCGTCCCCGCCCGCTTCATCTTTTTCCAGGCCGCCTCCTTTTTAATTATTTTTCAATTAATATGTTTGCAATAGCTTTGCATACCAGTATGAAACCCAGATACATCGCGTCAATACACCTGTGGAGCAGGGAAAACATGGAGCGATGTTGAAAATCATGTGATAAATAAATATTCAAAATGACATATTGCACTATCATTTGCCGGCTCATGCGTTGTCATGGTTGTCGATGTCATGCGTATAAGGTACCACTGTCTTCCAGACACTTCAATCAGTTTTGACCAGCTGCTTCAAGTTAGTTCTGCACTACGTGTGCATCTAAAATGTGCTCTAAAAACACATTTTTCCCGATTGTTTTGTGATTGCTGAGGCTCGGGATCCGGGCCTCTTGGGTGAAATCACAAGGTGGGGTGAAAATTGATGTGTTTGGCGGCAGGTATAGTGGTGTCCCAGTATGGAATTTTTCCCCTAGAAATTCTTGGGGCATTCCTTGCTGTGAACATACATGTGGCCATGATGGCTGTGGCTTGTCTATGGTTTTGCTGGGGAATCCCCCCCCCCCCCCCCCCCCCAATGGTCCCACTATAACTTCTTGAGTCAACATGTTATTGGTAAAGACAGGCCATGGACAGGCTAAACATGATGAAACTAAATGCAAGCCGCTTGTATTGTAGCTGGACTCACTATGCCAAAATACCAAAGCAACAAAGCAAGTGAATTAGTATTACTATTAGGGCAAAGTACGACTTTCAAGTGGACAACTCTGACCTTGGTCATCGGTGGACCTACCTGTCAACGGTGGAGCCTTCACGTCTAACCTCTTGTCAGCCTCCATTGCGGCCGCCTGACGTCGTGCACGGAATATGCCTGGTCAAAAACTCCAAGTATGAACGCTAGCTAGCTGAGTGTCAAAAACGGATGTTAGCAACAGGAAAACGTCCACATTGTCATGGTGCGGTGTACATGTTCATGCAGGCAAATGTTGAGTGCAAATTATTTGTGGGCAACGCTGATGATTGACTGTACTTACGTACCACACTGCCAGCATGCGCGCACCGGCCGTATACACAGTACCGACACACAGTACACATGCATATCATCCCGCATGCATTAGTACATAGCGTATACGCGAGGGCGCTAGGTCAGAAAGTTCACCTGGCTCATTCGGGGTCATTTCGGGGTTAACTGAACATGAATATTCATAGAATAGTTTTGGACCACTACATTATGAGGCACGGGGCGCGCCCGTTACCGGGTATGGGTACCGTACATGTACTTGTACATGTACGACAAATTTGTTGGTAGATTCATACCAAAAAAATGCAGACATTCTTCTTTAAAGGGACATTACGGCCTGGAATGCGCCCAATTGAGCTAGAAACGCGTTTTAAACGAAATGATATTCAATAGAAAGATTATTTCAAAGTAGAATATAAACGTCCACGCAACCATCCTTGGATAGAGTTTTTGTGTTATTATTGCGAGAATCATGCGAGAACGAGTTTCGGGAGTCGAAATTTCGTCTCCGAAAAATCGAGCTAATGAGTGCTAGTTGTGATCCAGCTGCACAGTGGTTCGCATTCTGCGGCCGTGTAACAAACAGCATTTGTGTATTTTCTCGGGAACGGTAAGACATTCGGTTTGTTTTCTTTCAACCAGAACAGTAAACAATTCAAAACATAACATTTTCGGGGATTTTAGGCCGTAATACCCCTTTAATTACAGCAAAGCAAGAAGAAACTTCAGGTCATATGAAATCAACGAGAGCATTTTTATGTCATGTCAGGTTTTTTTCTTCTTCAAATTTACTCTGCACATAATAAATTATTTAACAAGAAAATGTAATGAACACGTTTCAGCTTAAAGGTAATGTACAACATTAGCAAAGCAAAAAACAAAACTACCAGATTATTATGCAATACCTTACTTGACTTATCAATGCCCAAATCCATCCATTTCTGAATATTACAGCAAAAGCAAATATTGTATAGATCTTTAAGAGTGGCATGCTTTTAATAAAAGCTGTCCCTTCATCGTGTTGCAGTTGACATTAAAACAAAAACTTGGTAGCGTGTTGTTGGAGAATAACTCAACATTTATGGTCCGAAAGTATACAAGCAAACAAGCAATCTCAGCTCAGCAAGAAAACAGCAACCAACAAACTAAAAAAGTCATTTTTCAGTACGTCTAATAACAATAAAGAGAAAAGAGGCAACCTGAATAGGAACCCTCTGTGTATAATGTGTTTTATTTCTTCATGATATACCCCCGCACGCGGGGCCCTAATCCTTGGGTGTGAACGAAGGACGCCAACGTTCCTTTGAACTTCTGTTGTAACGGTCCGCCAACAGAGGGCGCAAAACCCTAAGATGGAAACCGAAATTCATAATGTTTTGCGATATATATTCAGACTGTGTCAGCACAATGAGGCTCAAAAATGGTGAAGTCTCCCCCAGTTGAGCGTTGTGGTCGAAGCATGGGCGGTCCAAAGAATTTTTCTGGAGGGACACGGCACTCACCACAAGCGGTGCGCTTTTTCGGGGGGGGGGGTGCCCATCCCCCCCCCCCACGACGCCCACTTGTTAAACTACCCTTACTTCGCGTGAAAATCATATTAAAATTTGAGGATTCTTGGATAATATCGACATCGTCCGTCTTGACTTCATGTTATTATTTTATTTCTCCTTTGGGTTTATTGCTTTTGAAGTCTGCGTACTAACAGATTCGCCCTGCCAGCAGAGTGGTTCCTACAGCCCATACAGTCATCACTCGGGGGCAATTCTGCAAATAATTTCAAATGAACAATGTACTTCATAACTAAACGTTTCATATAGATGTCTGATTAAATAGTGCAAAATGTTTGTATCGCTAGAAAAATGGTAATCGGATTGGGTTTTTTTTAGGGGTGGGGGTGGGGGAATCGATACCCGAAAAAAGTACCTGAGTACCTGTACATCTGTAATATTACGTAAAATATTGAAAATATTGTGTTCCTATATACCCCGTCTTTGTTATGGGGGGGGGGGTCGGAGGAATGGGGTGCGGTGGCCGGGGGAATCGCAACCACGAAGTGCGTAATCTCGTCTCCCATCGCTATCGGACGTAAAAAAAAATGCCTATATCAGAAAAAAAGAGGCAGAAATCGATGGAACGGATGAGCATCACTGATAAAGTTATTTATGCGAGGGTAAAAAGTACTAAGTGCTTCAGAAAAGGCTTCGCATGCTCGACAATCATTTATTAGCCATCTTCCCACGCTCGTCTCAACGACGTGAAATGCATCCAAACGTTTCGCTCATATTAATGATTAAAAAGGGCTATGATTTGCGCAAAAAACACCAACGCCTGATGGGAACTGTGTAGTATGGGATTAAAAGCAGGAACGGGAGTGGATTTGCTGGCATCGCAAATATATAAATTATCATGTAAGCATGCATCACAAGATGGGAATGTCACATCCTAGCAACGGGACACATCTTAGTTTGCTAACGGAAGTTACGTCCGGGCCCGGCACCACCTGTGTCTACATGCATGGAGTAAAACAATTCTTGAAATTAATTATGTAAATAAGGGCGCGATCAAAGTCGCGTCTGACTGCGTTATTACGGGTACTGTTGCATCACTCAACAGTCCAACACTGCCGTTGACCCCAATGCCTCTTTTTGATTTTATAAACCAATTGTTTACTGTTATATATCCCAATAATTGCTTTGAAGAGTATCGAAGCGATCGCCTCAATCTGCAGACAGTTTTCAAGAGAGGGCATCATGAGCTTAAATGGAGATCAGGGAATTCGATGCTTGGACAGCAACGCATCATGTGAAATCAACGAGCCAACTGCATTCACCATTACACCAGCACCAATATTTGTTGTAGTGATTTCCGTCATCTTCGAAACTCTTCTGATTCCCTTCATACTCCTCGGCAATGGAGCTGTAGTTCTTCTCGTTGCAAAGAGTGAGCCACTCCGAACCACCACCAACGCGTTTATGGTAAGCCTGGCCATGGCAGACGCCATGCAGGGGCTAACACTCATCCCTGTGATTGTGGCAACGTTAGACCCGGTAGCTGTCAACAGTAAATACATATGCCTGACGCTATGGTGTAGCATACTACTTGCCTCCGGTTGTAGCTCCTTGTCACTGTGCGCCATCACAGTGGACCGGTATGTCAAGATTATACATCCACTAACTTATCAACAAATAATCAACAAAACACAAGTAGCCACAGCCATAGCCGCTGTGTGGATCTACACCTCCTTTCTGGTGTTCATCCTCCCTTTTTCTGGACTGAACCAAATCAGAGACACGCCACATTTCTCTTGTTTAGACTTCACAAGTGTGTTCGACCCGGTTCACCTTCAGATGTTCCTCTTCACAAATGGGATCATCCCTTTCGTCTTGATGTGCTGCATGTATTTCAGACTTTTGATTGTGGTGTTGGAGAAGCTTCATCAGGAGGGAACCCAACGGATTAACAAGGGGATTCCCATGACAGGAGGGCGCTGGAGATTCATGAAACGGGAGCTGCGCTCGGTGAAAACTTTCCTGATTCTGTTAGGCTTCACTGGTCTGGCGTGGTTGCCAGTTACCATAGTTGTGCTCTTGGAGATCCACACGGGTTACCGTGCCAGCCTCGCTCTCAGGAGTGTTTTCAGTTGGTTGACCTTCATGAACAGTGCGGCCAACCCAGTCGTCTACACACTACGCAGCGAGCCGTTTGGAAGAGCAGCTCGCAAGACGTTCGCCTACAGATTCGGCAAACGTTGCTGCTGTTTTAGCAAGAGGAAACCCAAAATCGTTCCACTGCAAAATTTAACGTCCAGGTCTCTGACGACATTTCCGAATAGTGTGGCAGATAGGTCAACGTTGAGAGTCAGCAAAGCTTGGCAGGATAAATCTTCGTTTAATGAAATTAAAGTCATTAACAACGCAGAAACGTAACTCGCAACAAAATGGTTGAAACTTGCATGGGCGCATAAAAATTCGAAGACGACAAATAACTGTACGTGGTCAATCATAAACGTCATCATAGCACATCACGTCCATTGTGGCGGATGCTTTTTTGCGATTAATCGTTCAAAACGTATCCTCACTAAGGCCAATAATGATATTGTCAAATCAAAGAAATGAGGTGTCCCAATTTAGCACGTGAGCGGAGCAATTCCCATTGCACAGAATCGCCTTTGCTTTGAAATCAAAGGCACAGAGAAGAATTTCAAATCAGCAGCCAAGTCGAGGCTGTAAGTCACACATTGACGGTTTGGAGCTAAGGATATCCACGGTTTAAAATTCGTGATAAACCGTGGGAGTACCGTGTTCATAGCTTAGCCTCCGTGGCTATAGTGCACTCTTAAAATGTCGATTTCTCCACGAATCTCGACGGTTCATCGTGATCGATTGATTCTTTGTTAACCGTGGATATTCGTAGCTCCAACCGCGAATGTGTGACTGGGGCTTCAGACATTGCGCGATTACCTGTTAAAAATCCTTTCCACAAAAACGTGTGATGCCTTCCTTTGTATAACGTTCATTTGAAAATCGTCGCATAGGCTCCCAACAAAGAAGGCGTCCCATGATTTTGCTAAGGAGCGGTGATTACAAGCATTTCAACACAGTTCAGAAACATATTGAAGTATTGAGCCAATTTTGGGTGCTTGTTGCATGAGTTGATTTTTAGCTATAACATTTATAACATGTATTTAAATTTGGTCGACAATTTGTTCACACGTGCCATTTTTTTTTTACAATCATATTCAATTATATGTTCTAAAACTTAATTTTTTTATCAAGAGGCACAACTGTATTAAGGACAATATGGCAGCAATCGATTTCGCCGCTGAAATAATAATCTGTGACGAAACACTTTCCTCTCCAGATTTAGGTCTATCTATAAAAAATTGCTCACTCTTGTTTTGTAATTAATATTCAGAATTATGAAGGGATAGTATTCGTGGCAAAAATAGCAAACATGCTCCGAAGCGTCGGGTTCCATTGAAAGGAAAATCGCTGAATAAAACGGACCCTTACAAAAACACATGAAACATGCATTTATCAATGTTCATCTGTCGTTTAATTAAGTTATCCAAATTAACAAAACAAAGATCTATGGCACGAAGAAATGTGGTACAAGTTTGCATTTGATCATACTACGGACCATCTATCGACATGGAATTGTGGTTTTTTTTTTTTTTTTTCGTTTTTTTTTTATAAATTACACTATATTAACTATAATAATTGCATACTTCAAATTTAAAAAGCCAAAATAAACAAAACCTTTTACAAAACCACGATTTTTTCCACATTTTAATGGCGTCAGCAAATTCCTCCAAAGGAAATCTCAAAATCTCGAGTCGCACACTTTTATACACCTACTATCCTAGGATCAATTACATTATCATCTCGCTTACAATTCTGTTAAATACTTAATCAGTAAGTTAAAACGTTTCAATAATTCAAAAGAAAACCCAAGCCTAATATCTCGTCAACTCATTCTTCTAAGCATGCATTTTAATAGGTTACAATAAATAGTAATGACCGTTTTTCATGCAAAACGTACGGTATTTCTAAATCTTTTACTTTTTAGCACCAATGGTTCGTTATAATACACTACAAGACATCTTTCCACTCAAAATGACACGAAATAATATTTCCACAACGCATATCTATTTTAAATTCAAGGAGACATCAGCGACATATGTCAGCTGTACTCGCAAAAAGTAAATACTACATTTAGCGCACCGACGGGTAAGCAATATAAAGAATTGCCCCTAAAGCAGTTTTGTACTTTGAGTTTATAACAAATGTTTACACATTCGATTCTAAAAACATGAATTCATTTTCATTAATAATAGAATATTGAATCGAAAAAAAAACAAACATATGATGACAATGCGGGTTAATAACCGAACAAGCACAAAATGAATAGCTAGCTTCAACTTGACATCTTGTTTCACTCTGACCCCTCCCTCGATCACAAAAAAACCCCATAACTATACATATGGGCCAATCTCTTAAGTCCCTTACAATTAGGTCTTAATACCTAATACCGTATTGTTTCACTTCTTTCGTTCAACTAATTTTAAACTAAGCTGTTATAGATTTACCACTGTTATTTAGATTTATCACTGCATTTAACATTAAAAGGCACTTGGGAACATTTGCGATTACCTGGAAATGTACCAAACGATTTAACGAGAAAACCCTTGCTTAAAGGGAAAATCCATGCTTAAAGGACTGGTACCAAATACCCTGTGAAATTGTTCCACCTGAAATGGTATCATTCGGAAGAAAACGACCATTGGAGATTTGAGAAAGTGTGCCCGCGGGCAAATTTTTGTATGTGTTAGCAACGGAATCCAGTTATTACGAGACCCCAAAACTGTGCACGTTTTCTCTGTTTTCTCAAAATGTACAGTATCCACTCGTCACCGAGCTAAAACTTGACAGGATAGTTGTTATGCAAATTTTGCAATGTTCTTGCTTCAACCGGGAAAAATTGTACAAAGAACAAATGATCCTATAGGTGCCTTGAAACGTCTATAATGTCTTCGTCAATTTATCTCAGAATGTTTTCAAAGACCTTGATACAAAGATAGAAATATTTCCTTTTTAGCATGGAAAAGGAGACAATTATTGTGGAACAATTTGTGACCAATGATTCAAGGCATTTACGGTATCTAGTCTGATAATACCTTTTTTCGATGTATTCAGCAGTCTGCTTGTGTTGTCAAATGGTGCCGTGCGCAGTCACCTAGTTAGTTTTGGCTGTAAATTATTAAGAAGTAAGAACCGTTTGTGTCTTAAATAAATACCCAAACACTATGGACCATCTACTTCGTGACGGCGTTGCCAAGTGGTTACCGTCTCGAACAAAAGGAGGCACTAAATGGGACTTGAATTATCCTGAAAAACATTTTCTATATATGGGCCAAAATCAATAACAAGCTATAAACAAGGCCAGTAGTGGTTATTGAAATGCGTAATGTTAAACTTCAATATCAGTTGATTGGCATTTGTCCCCCAAAATGCAACACGCCAAGTTATCCGAAGTGACATTTCACTGTAAATGATTTATGGGAAATAAGAGATACAGATTATTGTGTTTAAGCATGTCAATACTAAGTGTGTTTCATATAAGATCAGTTGCGCAGACAACCAAAATTACTTGAAAAAGTTGCAAGATATTACTGTGATTTGGTAGTAGATTAGAAAATGGCGTCATTGTCTTTTATATTTATACGTCAACTTATCTTCGTGGTTGTTTAGTCAATAGTACAAGTAGTAAATAGATAAGTTGTTGCTGACATTAAACACATTGAACTTGCCTCTCCAATATTGTTCTTTAACAGTGCTAAGGATATCATTCCCTGCTTTGAAATTATATGTTTTCATTGTAAGTCATGAATAGTCAAGTTATTATTAAAAACAAATGGTAAATCATGTTTTTTTATGCTTTATGTAAATATTTGATGCTCCCAAAAGAAGCAATCTTACATTTCTGTCATTTCAAAGTTTTGCAAATGTATTGAACATTTCCATTCGTGATCACTCCTTTTTATACATGGAAACTTGATTAAAAGCCTCAGTCGAGGAAAACCTTCTCCAAATCAAGACATATACTAGAGCTGTTCATGATCTATGTTGTAATGACAAGCATCAAATGTTTTTATTAATTGCAGATAAATTGTAATATAAAATTTGTATCTTACTTGGAACATAAATTACCTTTTAATTGAAATTGTGTAAAAAGCACCAGAAATATAGATAACATCTTTATAAAAGTTGTTTATAAATGCACAGGAAGTACAAAGTTGAAAAGGTAAAAAAGCTTCAGATAAAAATAGAGACTGGCAACCTCCTATAGAGAAATGTACAAAATGCCCATTTCTTACAAAACCAATGGTATATTTGGCACTTTATGATCAGAGCAAAAGTTATATTAAAGGGGCACATCGTCCTGAATTCGCCGAAGTTTTTATATTTAAGATTATTTACTTAGCCCATTTCAAAGGTCTGGTTGAAAGGAACCTGACCTAATGTCACACTGTTCCTGAGAAAAGATGAAAAACGCCCGGTTGTTTACTTTTGAGGCAGTGAACATTTTGTGGCATACGCAAACATATTTCGAACGTTCTGAGTGGGTCTTGCAGCATTGACATAGGCTTATAATGTCACTGGCACATTATTACTGGCACACGGTGATGGTCACACAGAAAAGCGCGCTCAAGTTCACTGAGTCACTACAAACAAAAACATTGAGACCTCGAAAAAATCATGAAAGCAGAAAATATAAATGCAGAAAGGGGGACCAAGTTTTGTTTATTAAACCTTTATTAAAGATTTTCATAGTTTTGATCATTTCCAACGCTGTTGCCTCAGCAATTTTTCACGTTCGAGTCTTCGAAACCTGTTCGAGCATAATTTGGACATGCACCACGCTAGCTTCTCATTATCGTTCTTGCTGTTATCTAGCCATGTCTAGCGGTGGGAACCAGTGTCCACGTAAGGCACGCACGCCACATGCATTTGTGCCATGCGATGTTGGAAAAACGGAGCTGCCCGAGGTTTTGTGAGAAACTTGTCTGAAAAAATACATTTTATTGGAGAAAATACACACTTTACAAAACAAAATAAATATAAAAAATCGGGGCGGTGATGAAAACCTAAAAAATAATTTTAAATGGCATTAAGATAGACACTTTATTCTTGTCTAACCATTAAAAGTGTTCCCAATTTTGAGATCCTCCCTAACACAATCTAAACTCACGATTTAAATACAAGGACATCTACTGTGATACAAATAAAGACTTTCAAATGAAATTCCTGATAAAATATACAGCACCACTTCTATAATTTAAAAACACATAGGCAGTTTTGTTCAAAGCACCCTTTAAAAAACTGACACAAATACGATAATACTGCTAAGATTGACAAAACATGATTCTAAATGAACATTAATACTTATAAAGAAAGCCAAGATAATACTGAGTGAGTCGTTGCCACTAGTTTCTACCGGTGGATTCTACGATGGTAGCGTTGACGATGAAATCTTCTGGGCAGTCCCTTGCTGAGATGCACCCACCGTCATGCAGGACCATGTTGGCAGCACAGTTGCATCCTGGGACACACGGTCGGATGCAGTGTTCCTCCAGTACGCCCATAGGGATGTCCTTGTTAGCGCAGGTCCTGGGGCAGGCTGGGCCGCACTCGTCAAACATAAAGCCACGATTCTCTGGGCAGTTGATAGCTGCAAAGTGAGAAATACAACATTAAACCATCATGAGATGAATTGTTCAATCAAGACCAGGGCTTGTCTAAGTAGGCTTATGATTTATGCCTTTTAAACTTTATGGGCAAGGCAAAGTGGTTTATATTAAGTTTTTGGCAATTAACCACTTCGCGCCAGGATTATTTTTGCCGAAAATTTAGATTTTCACGAAAGGCACAAAAGGCACAAATACTGATTCGCAAGAGTCATTTCAACAGTATTTGTATGATATTTCAAAACTCTGAGGTGTGCACTGGAGTGTAAATTGTACAACAATAGGCTGTGCATAACGGGCCAATTCAACACACGGTCCGCCTCTGCAGACTTTGTGTGTGTGTACAAAAGACACGAGGGATTAACGTGTTTAGACGTATAAAAACAGTCGCGAACTGGTTAAGGACATACTTGTTATTTATACTCAGTCAAAGACCCAGTCGGTCCGGTGATTATTCATTAAAAACTCAATTACTCAAAAGAAGCTCTGATGACTTGCTACTCATTTGGTCTGGTTGGGTCACAAATGCTAATCAGCTAATGAACTCTTGGAAAAACTGAGAAATGTATTCAAACTTTACGTTCATAAATGATTATCTCATTTTTGTTGAGTCACTTGTACTTTCACTAACAGTGATAGGTGATGGAGACTGAAAACAGGTCTGCAAATTATTGACCGAAAGCTCCTTTCCTCAATTGAATTATTACAACCAAGAGATGCTTGACGGCACTGTTGTTTGTTTGAGTTCATGGTTTTCCCTAAACTAGACAAATTACAAAGAATGTCAATGTACATTATCGGATTATAGTAAGAGTGTTGTCTTGGCAACCAGACGGGGGGGGGGGGGGGGGGGGGGGGGGGATTTATCCATTTCATTAATTGGCCGCATGCAGTCAGAATAATCGGTGTGTAAAATTGTGAATCTGTCAAACAAGTCAGTCTTAATCCCCACAGTGTTTGGATAAATGGTTTGCAGTGAAGGACAATGTGATGTATGATGTGTTATTTAAATTCAGCCATTTTCACAGATAGGTTTCGCTGGCAAAAGGATTAACATTTGCATATTATAACCTTTTTTTTGGCCATTCCATTATTTTGTACTATGTGCGCATATGCATGCACTTAGCTATTGGGAACCATTAACAATGGCAGTACAAGTGGTACAGTGAAACGTCGCTATACCGAACATCGTCCTTAGCTCCCGATTTTTGTGTACAAAACGTACCGAACATTGTTGTTGAAAAATGCCAACAGAAAAGTGACAAGTCGCTATCTTTTCACCAAGGAATAAAAGGGAAAAGCCACCCACTGCTGTAGGTAGTAAGCTCAACTTACATAATTTAAAATAGTCAGCACGTTTTCAAAATCGTCTTTCAGTAACTACCAGGGTGGGCAGGATGAAGTTCTGAAGGCGCTTTTTATTGAAAAGTGAGTACCGAAGCAACGGCAGCTAAAAACCGCTTTACCGAACGATCGCTAATATGAACAATTTCTGTGGATCCCACAGTGTTTCTTATAGTGGCGTTCCAGTGTAATCCGAAATCCAGCCTATGATTAAAGCAACATATCTGAAGCTAAACTCGTTTTGAAACACAGACAAGTGCCACACACATGGTCTGCAATTCATCCTCTTTGAGTCATATCATACATTAGTAAATAAAAGACGAGCAACAGTAAGTGTTACTGTGTTCTTTAACGTGCATTACACAACACATGGGACCTATGGCTTTACGTCCCATCTGAAGGACGAAGCAATAATGGTAAAATGCCTTGCTCAAGGGCACAAGCACCATGTTCCCATGGTCAGGATTCAAACCCATGTACCATGGCATGCAAGTCGAAGGCTGTAACCATTGGCAACAGTAGCTCTAAAGAGTGGTCATGGGTCATCATTGACTGTTCGAGCACAGACTGCAGTCAGTGGAGTGATTTCTGTCATTAAACCCTGGTTCTACATTACCACAAAGTGCATCGCTCCTCCAACTCAAGGTGAGTCCCGCCTGGCGACATTCAGCTGCGTAGGCTGCTAATGCATCACACAAGCATGCATCGTTGGCACCACAGGCACACATGTCATAGACGCATGAGGCAAAGTACGGCTCAGGCGAGACCAGCTCATGACAGGGCGAGAACCGGTGGGTCTTGAGGACTGAACACTTGGCGTTGGCCAGCTTCCGGGCCAGGTAGCTAGCCTCGTCGCAAGGCTGGACGTCCTTGGCTTCACAACCGTCACCATTGAATCCCTCAACCTAAATCAAGTAAAGACAATATCTGACATTGAGGGTCTTGATCACGCTTGAAGCATGCAGGCAGGCCACACTGTTGTAATGACGTCATCATAAGTCCTAATAAGTCATCACAAGTCAATCACAAAACTTTGTCTCATCCCAAGTCAAGCCACAAGGTTTTTTTTTTTTTTAACCCTAACCGCCCTGAATCCTTCAAAATCCTCTTTGCCAAAGTGGAAGAATTTGGAGGATTGAGGTTACATGGCAAAAGTGCATTACTGATTTCGTAGGATGCACTTTGTCAAGGTCTTGGGCCGGACCTTGTGTTGTTTTTTGCTCAGCCATGCATAAATATAGGCCTGGATTATGCTTGAAATCCTCCGCACTGCTCCAGGATCTCACTGGCCATATTCAAGAACTAATGGAGGAATTTGCAGGATTGAGGCTATATGCCATTTTTCCATGAGGCCAATTGGAGGATTTTGCAGGATTGAGGCTACATCCTGGCAAAAAGGCCAAGGGAATTAGGGTTAATGAAATGTGACAAAGGCATTCTTGTGCCATTGTTCATCCTGGACTGCAAGTAGCTGGACTTGTGATTGGATTTACGATTTACTTGTGATTGACTTGATTGCAACTTGTGTCATTCACAACTTTCCAAAAATATTGGAAAAGTAAAGTAGGCCTAGATGGTTTCGTCGTTCAACAACAATTTACTTGGGGCTAAGATATTAAAGGTTTTAACATCCTATGAAATTATTTAGTTTTGGGCACCGTCAAGTCGCGGCAATATCATCAATGTTTTCCATTCTTTTAGAGCATTTCCAAAAGGAAATCATTTTCTGGAAGTTTTCCAAGTGTTTGCATTGCTTGGATATTAAGTGGAATGCTAATGCTGTTGTTTGGAAGATCGTTGAACACACATTGGGTAGTTTTTCAAGATTTTTGGGGCAAGGTATCATTTAATTTTTCAGTTATTGTCAGATATATGGAAGTTCATTGAAACAAACTCCACAACCAAAAAAATATTTGGAAACATATTTGCACATTTAGTAACCAAAACAAATTTGATATTTGATAGAGATGCAAGATGCTTTTTTATAGAATGAGGACACAAGGGTGAATTATCTTGATTTTCTTTAGGAATTTTCTTGTAGTACCTTCCAACTGTTTCCAAAGGCTGCATCAGACGAGGCTGTTTGACCGTTTCTCATTTTCAGGTCATCCTGTGGATACGAGTTGAAGTTACCACACATTCCACACGTCTCTCTGGCATAGGACCCTGGCACACTGACCTCAACATAGCTACTACCATCCCATAACACCTGCGCAGAATGAAAGAAGACAATTGAAGAAAAAAAACCACATACACACATTTTAAGTTATGCAACTTTATCCAATTTTAGGTAAATGAAAACTTTGATCTTCACGCAAAAGAAAAATCTGGAGGACCCACCACAGCTCTCTATTGAAGAGTGTCCAACTCATTTATCAGGAGAGAAAAGATCAAGATTTTAGACGAATGAAACCATCAACTAACAGCGGATCCAGGAGTGGGCCAATGGGGGTCATCCCCCCCCCCCAAAAAAACCCAACCCAACTTGTTTTCTTTTCATTTTTAAGTGACGTTGCAAAAAAGGCAGACACTGCATATACCCCCCACAAAACGCAACAAAAGCAATACATTTTATTTTGTTAAAAACAATACTGGATACAATTCAAGAATATTGTCCATGAACTGCAGCCACTGCCACATCATTATTTCAGGTTCTCGAGTCAGAATTACTTCACTGAAATGTCCAAAATATAAAACTACAACGTCAAATTTTCCGCGAACACTTTTTCTACAAACTGTTTCTGTTTTGTTTTGTTGTATTTGTTTGTTGTTGATGCGTTGTTTGTTTATATTTTTGTAAGTCGCAGAAACAACTGACAACCGCAATGACTGAGTACACCACTATTAGGCCTGCTTAAGAAAATGTGCTTCTCGGAGGGCAGCATTAAAATTGTGTTATCGTGCTCCGATGTCATGAAGAGTCCTAGAGCCCCCCCCCCCTTTTTACTTCTCGTATAAAATTAGGAGCGCAAAATTTTAGGACCCACTTTATCGGGGAACAAACAAAAATGTTGGACCCCAAAAATGTGTTCTGGACCCACCCTTGCCATCAACTGTATTTTTCAAAAACAATGATTCAAACTACAGAGCATTTGTAACCAAGTATTTGCCTTGAAGAGGCTACTGTTAGGGCTGTGCATCAGAACCGGGCACACCGAGTACCAGTCAACTGATGTCAGAATCCAGTTCCAGATTATGGGATACGGTACCCGTAACCTACTTTACAAAGTACTTAGTAGTTTCTCAGACAGTGAAAAAGAAAGGTTTTGAATGTCATTTGTCGAGACTTTTCAAAATGAAAACCAGGCTATATGGAAGACCAAAACAGATTTTACATTCATGTGCATATTAACGCACAACAGATGACACGTGTGAAAGTTGCAGTTTACACTGCAGACACCTTCTGTACACTTCAGACACCTTCCAGGATTTGAATTTTGGGGTTTCGTTCCCATACTACCCGTAAATGCACACCACAAGCCACTTTCCAATGGTTGACTTCCATCAAATGTGCACAAGTACACCCTCAATGGTTAGAAAAGAGAGGGTTGGGGAAGACCACTTCGTAAATGCATTATGTTGGCGACTGACGCTCACGTGACAAAGTGGTTTGTGAACACTCAGAATCAAATAATCCATGCATGCTTTGTGCCATACGCACAAATGTGGTGATCCCTCCCACAGGAGCTTTCTTAAGTAGTAAATATAAAAAAGCCATCTGTTGTTCATGCACGGAGCCAATATTGTCCTGCAGTTAATGATCCATTCATTGTGGCCTTGCAGTAGCTCATAAACAGACATGTCCTAGGAGCCTCATAAATAAACTCATCAATTTTAAAACAACAAATATTCCAACTTAAATTGTGTGCAACAAATACACAAACTGGAGGGTACGTGTGCAAACTCAATACTGTTGACCTGGGAATGATAAGCTGTAAACCTCTGAAAAATAGGAATTTACTTGGGAGCAAATACAGATGTACCCTGCAAGTAGACTGGTTCCCGTCCCCACAATCCTCAAGGGGGGGGGGGCAGGATCCAGTCCAACAACAGTACAACAGCTGAATTATTGTCAGGTCATAAAGAGTATGTAATATATAAAGTAATAATTCCATAACTAAATATGTGCCAATTGTTTTCTGTCAATGCATAAAGGGAATAACTGTTGTGTTGCAATTTAAAAAAAATGTAAAATGCAATTTAAAAACAAAAACATTGAAAACAGTACAATATCAATCCAATTCCATTGAAATTTGCTGTTTTGTTTTGGCATGGATGATGATTGGGAAGGCAAAAGGAAACAGGGAAAACTACTAACCTGTACGCCAACATTTGTATTGACGTAGTAGGAAGATCCACGTTGTTCAACATATAAGTAGGGTTCCTGTAGGAATGGGGGCTGCACTGCAACACCATTTACCTACAACCAAATTAAAAATGCACATATTTTTCAAAATGTTCAGTGTTTGGCCAAAGCTACAGGTTTGTAGCATCTTTAGAAGAAATTAAGAAGAAATTAGTCATGCGTACTTTTGGCACCAGACATGCGTAAACCAGGGCATTATTGTCCTGTGACTGATCAAACCGAGCCGTCAACTATTCCTGTGCAGGTTCTATGACATCTTGCTACAATTAACATATAAAACCAACAGATACAAATTATTACTCAAAGTCAGAATAATTACCTGTAGAGGATACCTCACACTGGAAAACATAGCTTCCAACTTTCTTTTACTGTGTGACTAACAATAGTTTGCAATTCATAAAACTGCTGAAATGGCCAAAGAATGGCTGGTTTGTTGCAACTTGGCTGGTTAGCATTTAAGAATCTTAGTCAAATTTAAACCCTTAACTGGATGAATATGGTGGCAAAAAAGAATTAGATCTTTCTTAAAGGTAGAGTATATCATTTGTCATTTGTGCATTTTTTTCGTCTAAAACAACAAAAGTGTTCCGTATCTAAAGAAGGGTGCTTAACAACTAACCTGATGAATTTTCAGATCAGTGAATGCTGTACATTTCGAGAAAACAATATTCTGGGATCTCGATTTCAATTCAAAAGTGGCCGAGTCATGTCTTGAGTTGCGCCCAAATTCAGCGTCTGGGACATGTTCTCATTCAGCCGATTGCAGCTACATGATGCCGAGCACTGAACCAACGAATAATAGCAACCGCGTGCATGTATACCGTGTCAACGCTTGCGCGCACTCATTCACAGCTTTTCCAAATGAAAAACAAACTCTAACGGAAATTGCCAAAAATGTGTCTCTAGACACATCATTGGAAAAGGCCTTCTTTTATTGTTTTCTTCAAAATGACAGCATGCCAGAAAGAATAATTTCACAGGGAGTTTAGTGCCATTACCATCTTTAAACCAGGTAAGCTTTTCAACATTAACTTTGTCAGTTACTTTTTGGATAGCTGCAAATGATCTACTCTACATTTAACTATAAGGCTGAAACCAGTTCCCAAAATCTACGATAACAATCTGAAAAGCCTTCACTAACATTTGTTTTGTCCTGCACTCTTGGTTTGCAGTGTTGTATCTTCAGTCAAAATTTTACATTTTCAGAATGAAATGATTGATGAAAATGAAGAAAAATAAATGAAAGCATCAGATATCTCTGAACTATAATAATTTGAAGGATGAAACTGAACAATGGAAATGATATCAGGTGTGTATAAACAATAAAATGGCTGAAACCACTTACTTAATTTAACAATACTTTAACAACAATAGTTCCAGCCTATCTTACCTTGACCATTCCATTTTGACCAAGGTCCACTTGCTCCCCTTGTATGATGATGGTCACTTCCTGTGTCCAGGACACTCGCCCCGCAGCATTGCGGTCATCATTCTTGACTTCCACACTGCAAATAGCAAACCATCAACATGTCAACCATTTCAACATCTTGGTCAAACATTTGTGTGAAATCCCTTCACTAAAGCTGAAAAAAAAATTCTACTTTTTCAAGGGCTACATTTGGAATGCAATTTGTTTCACTTGCCTCCACGCATCTCAATCTATACTAGAGAAAAATCAAGAAGATATAATTCACAGCTCTTGGTGACTTAAAGATTTCAATAAATCTCTTTCCTTCTCTATCTGTTTCAAAGAAGCAAAAACAGAGGTAAAAGAAATGGCATCAGTCCTACTTTAAATGTGTTTAGAGTAAGTTGTTTGTGTCATTCTAAGCTTTGGTACATAGTTGCAACCGATATTTTTGGAATTCGATATATAAAAAATGTTGAGTAGAATCAAGAGAGTTCTTTTTTTTTAAACTTACATAAAGTCTTGATTTTTGCAATCCATGGCCATGATGTACTTGCAGGTGCCCTGAAAATGGATAAGTCTGCCGTCGAATGTGCGGTAGTGTGGATCGCCAAATGCTATGCATGTTGCAGGGCCTGAGGGGAAACAAATATGACTCGTAATACACTTCACCCAAAAATTCTGTCTCTTGATTGGTCGAGAGCACATCACATGGTATTGGCAATTTTTAGATTCTTGTCATGCACAACCAGAAAGACTACCCAATGGTGCCTTGCGCTATCTGGACCAAGAAAATGGAGCTCTGTGTGCACATGTACGTTCCCCACTAAATTCATATTGGAAAAGAAGTACAGTTGAATGGATATTGGTTTATTAACAAAGTTATCTTTAAAAATCAAGCATCCTCTATGGGTGAGGCATTAAATATTGATTGGTTTAACTCGGAAAAACAGAACGCTCCATGGATCACCTCGGGAGGCTAGTTTTACCACATCACTTGACGCAGTCAATATTTGTTTACATTTCCACCACAAAATACTTATATATGCCTCATTGCAATTAAAGCCACTCAAAAGATTTTATCCAAGGAACATCTTTTTTTAAGTCTTTTCATGACTAGTCTTATAAGACAAACATGTTTTCCTACAAATACTTACAGATGCAATATTACTGTCGTATTCTTTCAGCACTCGCAAAAGCAACAGGGAGCATAATTCATGGATAGTTTGTGAGTGAAACCCTACCGATATACACTTAAAGAGGTTGTGGAATGCTCGAATACATTTCCGTCATTTTTCGGGTATATGTAGCCAAAGGTGTGATGACATAAAAACGACTATTGTGTCTGTCATGAAATGAGTACAAAAGGTACAGAACATAGTAAATCGTGACGTAATAAACAGGACTAGTTTCGGTAAATTGGGGGCAGTAGTTGAAGGGAAAAAAAACACCTTTTTTGTTTCCAACTATGGTTGGCTGACCATCGCTGGAAATTGAACCAAAATTTCCATTTTCTTGAAAATGACAGCACACCAGGTACCATGATTTCACAGGATGCCTGAGACTATTATTCACTTACAGTCAAGTAAGGTATTTCATAATAATGTGGTATTTTTGTTTTGTTTTGCAAATGGTGCATATTACCTTTAAAAGGAACTCGCTGCGAAGTGTGCAGCTGCCTTTCATTTGAATTTTCTATTCATTATGTGGATTGTACTTAATTTGTAACACCATACTTACAATAATACTCTGTTTATCAGTAATTAAACAATTTCAAAATGACAGCCTTGATATATGACCAAAAAAACACCATGATATTAAACAGACCAACATTGATTGAGCTGCTAGTGCTAGATTTTGTCTACGGACTTTTTTAGTCTAACTTCATTTTCTTTGTGGATATTTATTACACTGTTCAGTGTTTTCTCAATAATTCAACAATTTTGACAATGCATGCGTGACAGCCTTGATAAATGGCAGATTAGAAGCTGATAATGGCAGAACAAACATTGAAAGTGCACATAGAATTTGTCCAGGCACTCTTTGTGTTTAAAGGGAATATACATCATTTGCTTTTACTGTAATTTTCAGAAATGGATGGAATTGGGGGATTGGAAATATATAGAAAATATAGTTACACTGACTTTTTTGAGGTTTTGGGTTCGAAAATGCTATAAAAACCAAGAAAAACAATCATTTTCCTGTAGTCTGGTTCCCTGACTCCATATAAGAAGAAACCATATAAGAAGAAACAGAGCAGTTTACATACATTGGGGAATTGTAAGGTCAGGGAACCAGTCTAGCTGGCTCGTACCCGTTCATAGGTTTGTAATCGATTGCAAACAAGTGCCATGGTCAATTGGGGCCAGTATTTTTTAAAAAAGCCAGTTTTTTCCAACGCTGATCGGCCGATCAGCGTTGGAAATTGATACAAAAATACCACTTTTCTTGAAAATGACAGTATACCAGGTGCCATGATTTTACAGGATGCTTTACACTGTCATTCACTAACAGTCCAGCAAGGTATTTCAAAATGATTTGGTAGTTTTATTTTTTGATGTTTGCAAATGTTGTATTTTCCCTTTAATTTCAGGCTGTAGGTTTGCAGTAAATGTTAGGCAGTCTATATCTTTTTAAAGGCACGTAGGAATATTGGTAATTACCTGAAATTAACCTACCAATTTAATGAGAAAAACCATCCTAAAAATGATGAAAAAAGTAAAAGCGTTGTTAAAAGGTATCGTTTCTAAGAAAACAATCATCGTATGGTGATTTTTCACAAAAGTGCATCTGCGGACACAATTTATTACGTGCGTTAGCCATGGAAACCAGTTTAACTAGTTCACACCGGCATTATTTTGACAGTGACTGGGCCCAGTCGTGGGATTGCTTTTCACGAACCTCGATGCCAGACGGGTTCAGGCTGTTAACTGCAGGTAGCACACCCTGATATTTCCGGCCTCGCTCGCTGTGAGCGGGTCACGGACAGATATTTTGGCCTCGCTCCCTGCGTGTTTATCCGTCATCCGTTCCGAATACCGCAAAACCTTTGCGTGTATACACGTCATCCGACGCGAACTGGTTAAAGACCCAAAAATTGCACACGTTTTCTCTGTTTTCTCAAAATGTATAATAGCCACTGATGAATTAAGAGTAGGACTTCAACAGGTTTGTTGTTATGCACTCTACTTAGAGTTTTGAGCAACATGTTTCTTCCAACAGCAAATAAGCCTATGTGTCTTTAAGCACAGGATGTCTGAGGATACTTACGTGACAGACATTTGGGACAGCAATGACCTGGCTCAAGGGCTGGCACTTCATCCTGCACACACACACAAAGAACAAAGTTTTATTATGCTATTCAACAATTTAAAACAACAAAGACAACAAAATTTATGTGGATTGAACTGAAACATACAAATCAACAAAATTAGATGGTCTGACGTTTGGATCCTAAAAGTATCTTTTTCAAGGCACAACACCAATTCGTACCAGTTCATACCAGTTCAAACCAGTTAAACCATCTCAAAAACCAGTCACCAATTTTCAGTTCAAATGGTACCAGCTGAACCCAGTTGAAACTAGTAGAATTGGTTTCAACTGGGATTTTCACCTGGGTATCTCAACCGTACACCTGGCGTTCATGTTGAAGACGATGAGTTTTGCACATCCTGGATAAAATGAATCGTGTGCACCATATGCAGGCAGCATGCAATGTCCAAAGATCTCTCACAAGTTTACTATTTGTATACATTATTATTTAAGGAACTTCTTTTCTTCTTGATCATTGCTGCAAATATCATGCACAAACTTACAGCTTGACAAGTAAGTGGTGGACATCGTGAGGTCTGGCATTGTACTTGACCTAACAGACACACACAGGATGTACAGTCATCTCTCTGCCACTGTTCACTGTCTGCATACTGACGGCCTGAGTAGAAACACGGCTGCTGGGTAGCTGATAAATGCACAAAGAAAAAATATCAGGCAAATGAACTGTCAAATAGAAACACTATTAAACAAATCAAAAATAACACAGAGATCATGCATCAGTCCACCACAAGTCCATCACAAGAACTTTCATTAATTAACGGTAGAGTACCGGTATATCATTTGCAACTATCCAAAAACAACTTACGAAATTAATGTTGAAAATACTTGGTTTAAAGATAGTAATGGCACAAAACTCCCTCTGAAATGATTCTTTCTGGCATGCTGTCATTTTGAAGAAATCAACAAAAGAAGGTCATTCCAAAGATGCGTCTAAAGACAAATTTTGGGAAAGTTCCATTACAAGTTCCTTTTTGAATTCGGCGCGCAATTGGGTGCGCGCAAGCGTTGACACGACGCACATTTGCGCGCGGTTGCTATAATTCGTCAGTTCAGTGTGTGACATCGCATAGCTGCAATTGGCTGATTGGCAATTGGCTGAAAGTTTGATTATGTTTTTTTGGTGATACTAACCTCGACATGAGTAACAGCATTGGTCTGATGGCTTATACAGTTCCTGACCCTCTTCACATACGATAGATTCACATGTCTTCAACTGACAATCAATGGCTCCTCCCTACAAGACAATCACACTCAATACTAATCCTTATAATTGAAATGATACCTGTTTCATCAGGCTAGTGTTTCTGAGTCGCACCGAACTAAACAGTATTCATTCATTCAGTCAGTCATTCATTCAAGTTTAGCTCTAGTTGCATAAAAGCAACTGTTGAGCAGGCATGGAGAGTCAGTCCAATGCCCAACATAAAAAAACAGTATTACCTCAACAAGAGACGCTTGGTGAGGTAAGCGTTTGGTTGTCTGACAAGATGGGCTAGGTACTTTTGTTTGCTGGCGCTGTACAAATTCAGCATTGCTTTTCACATGTAGGAATGACTCAGGTTGACCCAAATAGAATATGGTTTCAGAAAAACGACTTTATTAATTTTCACTGACTAGACTCTAGATCAGTTCCAAACGTCAAACTTCTGAAATGTCAAACTTTTCAAGTGCTTAAAGGGACATTACGGGCTGGAATGCGCCCAATTGGGCTAAAAAATAAACAAAATGATATTAAATGGAAAAAGCATCTAAAAGTAGCCTAAACGTCCACACAACCATCCTTTATAAACCCGGCGTTTTTGTGTTATTCTTGCGAGAACCTAGTCTGAGTATCACCCATTATCCACGGAGCCAAGAGTCTCCTGTGTAACGTCTGATATGTCTAGACATGCAGAGTTATGCAAGCCGCACGCCAGCCAATCAATGTCGACTTTACTAAATGGTAACGGACGTCATTTCATTCCCAAATCAGGACTAAATGGTTTGATTGGTCAATTCGAATGCAGCATTTTGTAATGCAACAACAGCTGGGCCCATTATCGCGTAACATGATACAGAGCGCGTGACACAGGTTTTTTTTTATCCAATGGGTGAATGGCCGAAGAACCGATATAGTAAGCACATACTGATTGGTCAAAATCTAGAGGTCAAAAGGCGGTTGACTTGCCTAATTAATTAGTGAATCTGCTCACATATCACAGACAACGGCAAATCTACTACATAGACTAGCGAGAATCATACGAGAACTAATTTCGGGGGTCGAAGTTTTGTCCCCCGAAAAATCGAGCTGTTGATGCTAGTTGTGAATCCAGCCAAACAGTGAATTGCATTCTGCGGACCTGTAGGAAACAACATTTGTGTATTGGTGCTGTGTGTATTATGTATCACATACAAAATGTGTAAAATACATTGAATACACATGACTTAAAATACAAACATGTAGGCTGTTGCGTTCAATTTAAACAACCAGGTTTTTTTGTCTTTTCTCGAGAACGGTAAAACATTAGGTTCATTCCCTTTCAACCAGACCTTTAAAATAGTGTAAGTAAACAATCCAAAACATGTTATTTTCAGGGATTTCAGGCTGTAATGCCCCTTTAATTTAAATCTTTGCAATAATTTGGTTCAGCGAGATTCTAAAACGCCAGTCTCATATGGGTATATTTCTTTTCATCTCTTTTCATCATTTCTTTTCTTTTCATGCAATTTTTTTTTTTTTTTACCAAAATTGAAACAAAGTTGAAAACTCAACAATTAGTTCCTCCGTCGAATATGAATTGAGTCCATGGAATGATATAGATTAGCATAAAACAGTTCAAAAGGTAAAAACAAAACAAAAAGGCGGGCGACTTACATCACAGGTGCAAGTAATACACATGTTGTTGTCTTGGTTCCAGGTCTGGCCATCAAAGTAAACCTCACCAGTTTCAAGATGACAACCTTTATAACGACACAAATTTTGAAAAAAATGTCCAATTAAATAAACCCATTCATATACATTCCACATATTTTATACCATAAGAAAAACAGTCATGTACTGCAACTCTAATTAACTAGATCAGTCTGGTATTCTGGTATTTTGTCTTCTTAAAGATGACAATAAATTGGCTGCTATGTCAGTCACCTTCATGAGTTTACTTATAATGGTACTTACAATTTGAGTTCTTTGATTATAAATCCAAAATTTATAATCAGAGAAAATTATCTCATTTCATTCATATTTTTTTTTTTTTTAAGTTTTGCTCCTATATTCCGATCAGGATATATGGGGAAAAAAGATTTAGATTTTGTACATAACACTGTGTTAAGATCGACTTTTGAAATGAACTACTTATTGACAAACTGGACTTACGCTGACAACGAGGGCAGCATTGACCCGGTGTAGTCTCTTGCTCAGACCGTGGGCACATCAACATTGGACACATATCAGAAAAACACTCCCATTGCGAAATATTCTGCAGGAATGCATTAAAAAACTGTTATTATTCAACTAGTAAAATGAATCAGCTGGGGTTTCTTTTGGTAGAAATTACGTATGCACTTAATAGCAATATTTGTTCCCCAAAAAGCTGTTATATTTGCTCCCTTAACCCTTTCATTACCACATTGTTTATTGACTTGGCTCTCCCCAGGACCACATTGTTTGCTCAGTCATGCGGAAATCACTAGAGTGTAAACAAAATGACCACAAGTCCAACATTCACTTTTTTCAACCCAGATTTTCACTGCCAAGGAGTGATTTAAATCATAGGTGTTGTGTGTTAAGTTTGTTCCTTGAACCTTACTCTTGTATGTGATGTAAAAATGAAGTCCCATATATGTAAATATAAGAAAGTTATGCCTGTTTGTTCATCTGGTTCCATGCAAGCCATTTCACCACATGACCAAATGGCACTTCATACCTCAATTTGTGAGTGGATACTTCTAAAGCACTTTTCTCATTTTTTTGTTATGGCAACACTATGAATAAACTACACCATTAGAACGATCCGAAAACACTCTTTCAGCGGGTATATGGTTGATGTATGGACGGCCAAACATATCAACATGCTGCCTTTCTGAAAAGTAGTGAATATATCTGTGTTGAGGGTGTTCTGTGTGTGGTTTCCTGGTCGACTAAAGTCGCCCATGGGAACCAGCAGGGGGGTTCTTCTTGTCGACAAAAGTCGCCCATGGTATTAAGAAAGGGTTCAAACAGGCATGAGAATGAGTTTCAGTGAAAAAAATAGGAAACTTGTGCAAAAACAGGAAAGGATGAGAAATCATGCAAAAAATAAAGCCCCCAAGCAGGCTCAAAACATATACAAACGTGCAAATTTGCTCAACAAAAAAACCCATGAATTCCTGTTTAAACAAGAAGATTCTCATGCCTGCTTAAAAACTATCAGTTTAAGATACCGGTAACAAAAAGCAATGACCCAAGACTACACAACAACAAATCCATGAAGCAGGATTCGCTGAGGACTATAGTCGACTACCTACCTTGCATTCACATGTGAGGCAGGGATCACCGTAGGGCCGCATGATGGTACCAACATTATCAATAGTGCAACTGGATGTGAGTGCTGGGGTAAGAATAAAAACAAATGGTTATGAAGAACAAGAACAATGCACATAGACACCTTGCACAGTGCGCCCTTATTGAGGGCAGTTTTTGCTATCCAATTTCAGTGACAATGAGAGATCAAGGTGTTTACTCATGCGTATCACACAGGAACAACTACCTGTCGTTAGATGTGATGTCAGATGCGAGGGGCCTAATTGACCATATCTGTCTAACAAATTTTTGTACTGCATGTGCATTTACAGTGCACGTGACAGCTCAAAATTGATTGAGCAAGGTCAATTTTGTCTATAGATCAGTTATACCTAACAATCTACATATCCCTGAAAGATTACCGCAAGTTGGCCAGCTGTGTAACAAACTACTCTCAAGATGTACCTACCGGGCCCAAAGTGAAAATAGGACTGGCATCAAATACCCTGTGAAATGATTTGGCCTGAAATTGCTTCATTGATAGAAAACTAACGTTGAAGGTGTTTTTAAATTGCAGGCACTCATTTTTAGCACCTTAGTAATGCAATTTTGTTGCTTCGACGAAATTCACAAAAAGTGAATGATCCTCTGTACCTTTAAACTTAATGTGTACTGTGAGTGAATATGCGAGCTTAAAATGGCATCTACTGACGACAAGTTATGGGCTTGACTTCATTTATGCATAATTTAAATTCCATCTATGTTTATGTGTTTGTGTTTATTACCTCCTACACACGTTGGACAGCATTCTCCAGGCTGTGCGGGTTGGACCATCGTTGGAGGGCAATCCAGCAAAGCTTGGCACGTCTCACGTAGACACACCAGACTACCACGCTAAAGGGGATCAAGCAACGGCATCAGAAAGTATACAAACACAACATGGTTTGAGGGGAAGAAGTGTGCAATTACTAGTCCCGAGCTGTTGGCTGATTTGATTTCCAAGCAGAGGATTCCTCCAGTTTCCGAAAATATTCAAGGTTATCCGTCCACTTTTCAGTTCACATTCAGATATGTTTGGGATACAAGCCTTTTGTGATATATGGCTGACAGAACAGAAGGACACTATTTAGGGTGGATTAAATTTGGGTAAATACAAAGGCATGCCACTAAAAAAAAAACACCTCCTATTGTGTCCACTCACTTCCACCTTAGGTCATCCCTTTGAATTTCTATGGTTCTCATATTGTAGTGCCACTGAAGTAGGTCGGTTGATTGAAAAAATTAGAATCCAAAAAACAACAACATTGCAGTGCACCCGCATAGATGACTAAATTAAATGATGCCACGTACGTATTGTCTCTAGTTTTGTTTATTGCAATGAAATTATCATGAGTTGATATTGCTGAGTAAAATAATACAATCATACTTGGCAAGATGTTGATCACTTAAATTATATCTGCGCCAAGCAGCTCACCGACGTTTTGACTACTGTGGCAGCCATTGCTATATTTTTGAATGTGACCGTTACCTGACTTACGAGCTATTAAGAGATGTCACGGGATCATCTGGTCAGGGAACCAGACTATTCAAGCATGACCTTTGACCTACCTCACAAAAGCACAGCTCACAAGGATCATTGTACGGTCTAAACTGCTGGCCATCTTCATAGTTGATACCATTGTACATACAACCTGACAAAAATCAATACCAACAAAAATTAATGGAACTATTTTACATAACGAGTTACAAAAAAATATCATTTTTAATATACTTGGTGGATATGTAATAAGGGAATAAATATGTGCTTGGCCAAAGTACGTCTTAAATCGGCTAGAGGCCTGGATGTGGATAATGGTCCGAGCCAAAGGCCATTATTGGCGACCAGGGCACTAGCCAGTTCTAAATGTACTTGTTTAATACCAGCCAAGCACATAGTTATTCCCATTCATACCTTTTGGCCAAAAAGTAAAAACAAGTCAAAAATGATAAATTTCCAACGATTTTGTTCACCAACGTTACTTCATAATTGTGAAACACCCCTTTACGTATGTTTAAGGTATGTGCCTCTAGCGTTTAGTGCCAGAAGTCTCCTTATATGGATATTGGTGCACGTATGGCGTGTACTGCACGATTTAGCGCAGAACGCAGCAGTGCCAGGGTAGTGTGAATTTTGGACTCGTTATTGCGCATACCTAAGTGAAGATAATTAGGATAGTGACTAGTCACGTGTGAGGAATTAACCAATAAAAGAGTAAAAGGGACCAGATTTCGTAGGAGTCCAAATTCATGTCACACCGGAAAAAAGTGTTTAAATCCATTTGGTGTTTTATAAACCGTTTTAAAACCACCCGTGATGGGCTCTCGACCAATAGGCAATGGGCAAACTTTCTTAGGTACTGATGAATACTTTGATAAGGTTATTCCATGTTTTGTACAGTCTGTCTTGAACAACTCTGCAGTAGGAAATGCATTCTTTGTCTTACCAGGGCATGTAGGGCAGCACTGGTCAGGCTGGCTGACGGGATTGGTGCAGAAATCTGGTGTTAGACAACGGATCTCGGTACACAGAGTGATTCCCTCCTAATTAGTGAAAAAAAAGTTGAATAGATATGCAAGCTTTTCGTAAAAGGACATGGCCAGAAACTGTCGCCTTCTAGAGCAATATTCAAGTAATATCAAATTATCAAACAAACTGAGTGAATATGGTGGATTCTGACTAGTGTCTGTATAATTAACACATATGGGAAGATTGCCATCATGGCCTAGTTCGTAGAGTACAAGTATTGAAGAAGTTATAGTCAATATCAGCTCAACTTTTCTTTATTCAACTAAAACTCTACAATTTCTAATGTTCTTAACAGTTCTATATTACATTTTGCCCTTCGTCGATGTATAAACACTGAATACTCAGTGTGTTAGCCCCCCCATCACCCCCCCCCCCAACCCTGAGTGAAAGTGAGAAAAAAAGGGGTTGGCTGGCTGGTTCAAATCTGATGTAGCAGCAAATACCGCAATTAAACTATTCATAAGATGGAATTTGTGTCAGGGTGATGTAAATTCAATATTAGGTTTTGCCCTTCACCGACGTATGAACACTGTATACTCAGTGTGTAACCTCACTTTTTTCCGGAGGTAACACACTGAGTATACAGTGTTTAAACGTTGGTGAAGGGCAACACTCATTTGGAATTTACATCATCCCGATGCAAATTCCATCTTATGAATGTTCTCAAAAATGTTGAAAGTATACAAAAGCAAGGTTATACAGACCTGACACTGACAGTTAATGCAAGGGTTCAATGGGGAGACCCATGTTTCACCACTGTTGTATTCAAAGCCTTCATACAAGCAACCTGGATGGAAAAAGCATTTCGATCTTAGAAGTAACTTTGTTAAACGCCTTTCAAACATCCTAAGGCCCTGACACTTTTTTGATTTGTATATTTCAGGTCAATCCAGTCAGTTAGCAGTTTGCAGCACTTTTATTTATTTTCATATTTTAAAATTTAATATGTTCTTAAGTTAATAATTTGGGTGTTTTTTTTTAATGTTGTAATAGAGCAATTTGCTTGGTTCCTTGTCCCTCCAAGGCTTTTCTTCAAAAGAACAAGATTTGAAGTGAGAATTCTTAAGAGAAAGCTCACATGTGCTTTGATATCAAAAGAAAGAATTGCTCTAACAGGAGACATGTCGTAGCACTGATGGCAATATTTTGCAGTTTACTAAACCAAACAAGTGGGTACATTCACTAGGATAGTCCATACTTTAATCTGTGCAATTACCTTGGCATCTTTCACAGCACTGGCCTGGGTCCCTTACCCTGCTCTGACAGCTAAGCTCAGGACATTCACGGGATACACACAGTATGTTGCCATTCTGTCCAAAGAAATCAGAATATTAGGAAGGAGATCACCAAATATACAAATATAATGCCATCACTACCTCATTCTGTAGCCTTATGGGCTCCGTGCACAAGTACCCCAACCACGGCCAGAAAAGGAGAGTTGGGGGTGACCAAGACTGGTTCCAGATCCATCCACTGCGTATTTCGAATGATTCAAAGTTATTGGAGGCGGGGATCATATCGGAGACCATCGTTGCATTTAAACGTATTCGCGCGCCGACGACGCCTGACGCTCACACGAAGACGCGGTGGCTATAACTTTTGCACATTCAGGAAGTCGTGCGTACTTTGCGTGCAAACCAGTACAGTACAGTACGCTGTGTGTCCCATCCACGGAGCTCTCAAAAGAGGTAAAAACACGCCCTCTTTTGTTGGCGCACGGAGCCCATAGATTTCCTGCAGGAATTGTAGATGGTACTTTGTTATTGTGACCATGTTCAGAAGGATGGACAAAACGTGTGCGCCTACTGGTTTTTACGTGTATGGCTACGTGTATAAGTACACACAACTATATTCTGCATATGCACAAAGCCGCAGTACTATTGTCTTCACGTGATCATCAGGCACCGTCGGCAATGCGTTCAAATGTCCCTCTCAGTAGTCTCCCCAATTCTCCCATTGTAACCTTTGAGGGGGTACTTGTGTACAGAGCACATACCCTCAGCCTTGTAGAGGAGAATTTCATAACAGAAGAGGTATTAAATATGACAATGATTCTGGAATAATAAGTCAATGTTTTTCTCACTGATTTTTGTTGTTGGGTATTTTAGAAAACAAAAAGAACAAATATGTTACTGTTTAGCAGGCAGACTTTAAATTAATTTGGGTAATAAGACTTAAAGGGTTTGCATGGTGGACTTGATTAATGAATGGGAGGTTTTGTGGTAACACCATGTGAATGAAAGAGAGTTAAACCAACTGGAGAGTGTTAGTTAAACCAACTGTTTAGAGTTAAACCAACTGGTTCTTCACAGAACTACACAACTCACTTAAAGATATCTTTCATTCACATGGTGTTACTGCAAACCTCCCATCATTGAATTTGGGGAATATTTAATGGTGAATGTTGGAACCATTTTATGATTCTCTCGATGAATTATCAGGATTTTTGAATCACAGCTGCAGTAGAGTGAACAAACAAAACGTTCAAATGTAGGGAAAATGGTACTTTTATTAAAAAATAATATAATTTGATCCTTCTTCCAAGCACTATCAATCATTTGTGAATCAAAATCAAGTCAACTTACAAAGCAGTTGCATTCTCTGCAGTTGTCTGGACGGAAACTCTGGCCGTTGTTATAGATACTCTCCTCAAACAGGCAACCATCGCATATTGGGCAGCAGGAGCCCTGGACTGGATGGGTACAGTCTGAATTGGGGCAAGGCATGGGACCACACTCCACACGGTTGCCCTGGAGTTAATTAAGTCACAATAAGGTTACAGACTTCTGCTGAACTTAAATACTACATTACTTAAAGGGAATGTACAACATTTGCTTTTGCTGCAATTTTCAGAAAAAAATGGATTTGGAGGATTAGTATGTTATAGCAAATGCTGTTGCACTGACTTGTTGCACGTTTTGGGCTTGTAAATGCTGGAAAAACTAAGAAAACCAATCGTGTTCTTGTAGTCTGGTTCGATCCCTAGCCTGACCCCACATAAGATGAAACGGAGCAATTTATAGACTTTGGGGAATTGTAAGGTCAGAGAATCAGTCTAGCAGGCTACAGGTGTGTAATCAATTGCAAAGAAAATGTGGAGTAACTAAATTTGAAAAATTTGAAACAGTTTTTGAAAAAAGCCAGTTTTCTCCAATGCTGGACGGCCGACCAGTGTTGGAAAAATACATTTTTTCTTGAAATGTCAGCACACCAGGACCCACGATTTTACAGGATGCTTTAGACTGTCATTCCCTAACAATTCAGTAAGGTATTTCGTGATAAATGGATCATTTCGTTTTTTGATGCTTGCAAATGGTGTATCTTCCCTTTAACTTCCCTTTAACTTTCAAACTTTAGTGTGCTTATAAAGTAAAAATGTGTTTAATCAAATAATCCACAAATTACTATCATTAGTATTTGTAATGAAAGAGCTGTATCCTCTCTGGGTGATCCCTAGTTGCTATTTCCCAGGTTTGCAACACTGCTAATGTGTATAAAGCAAATGGAAAGCTCTGTTCATTCAAAAGTTGGAGCATAAAAATACTGTAAAACATGGTGCATGCAGTCCAGGTGTCCTATTTTTTCATATTTAATCAACTGTTTTTTCAATATATTCATCAAGGGAATCATCAAAGTGGATGTGTGCTGTATGTGTTAAGTGGCAGACCAAGGCCCCTCCCCCAACCGACAGTGACCCAAATTTTCTCAAATAGAGAGCCCCCCCCCACCCCCTCCCCGGCACACCCTTTGCACCTTGTCAGTACCTCTCTGGATGTGCATTTGGTGTTTGGGCAAAATTACCTGTTATTCTGTGTAATCAATACACAAAAGAGAAATTGAAAAACAGTTTTTACCCTGCATTCACACTGCCGACAGCGATCTGTTGATGAGAACCACGTGTCACCATCCACATAAATACGCCCTTCATATTCACACTCTGAAACAAAAATATTGGCCACAATGCAGAACAACGTAAGAAGCTAAACCACTCCAACAGGGTGTCGCAAGACCAATCTGAAGGGGGGGGGGGCATGAAACACCCTTCGTGCTGACAAATAGCCAGGCTTCTTTTTCCTGTCAGCTGACCATTGCAAAATAAAAAGGGGGGGGGGGAAAGTGGACACCATCTGACTACTGGAGGCACCGTTTAAAATGATCAATCTTGACTTTTGAATAAAGGCTGCACTCGTCGTTGCAACGTATTTGCCGATAGACACATGATTTTGACGACAGGATGACGGTGATGCCTACAAAAATGATTAATGCTAACTAAGAGAAACTTTTTGGGGGTGTCATGCCCCCTCCCTCCCCCTCATTCGCCATCGCCTTCAGGGTCCAATTTCATGTGTCTGCAAACCATGGATATCTGTGCCAATGATCACAATTCATAGCTTGCACAATGTAGGCAAATGCAAAAAAAATGTCCTAGCTTAACAATGAAATAAGCTAGTATTTAGGATCTGGAGGTTGATGTGTTGAGTAAATGGCACAGAATGTTTCTATAAAATGAACTTTTTCACAGGGATTCACACAAGGTACAAGCATGAGGGCAACATATTTCTTTTATACTGTCAAATGTATTTATGACGTCACGGCCAATATTTCTGAAGCCAATTTCCAAAGGCTGAATGCATTTCAACTCCAACAAATATTTGCCAGGAAAACTTTGTGATGTCAAATTCACTCGGCATTCAGGGTTTAAACCAGCCTCTAAAAGCGTGATTGCTGCACCCGTAAAAAAGAAAAAAATATACAAAAAATGCAGAAATATTTTGAACATGACGGACATTACCTTGACATTGGGCACAGCATTGACCAGGTGGAGTTATTGGGACTGGACAGTTTGTAGGTCGACACTGTATGTCAGAACACTCAACATTGCCATTCTGAAAAAAATGTTAAAGAATTAAACATTATGCTTCGCTCCACAAAATTCTGTTGACTAACTCTGAAAGATTTTTAACTTATCATGTTGTGTAACTTGGAGGATTGTGACTTTTCTTTTAGTATTGACACCGAGCGTGAGCAATAGATGACGCTTTGTGACCACTGTTTAAAGGGAGGGACACACCATGGGCATGTACTGGTTCGGGTGTATTTGGCGCGATGTACTTACGACTTATTCACTTTAATGTGCAAATACCAATGTCTTTCAAAGCGTTTCCTCTGACTCTACCTTGGTAACTATTGAGGGGGTACTTACGCACAGACTCTATAAGTTGATTCGGAGTATTTCACATTTTTGAGCATGGTCTTTAAATTTAAGTCTGAGTACTTCAATATTCAAGTCCCAGTAATATTAAGATGCTGTAATGTAGACATACTCAAGAACTGGCAAGAGATTAATTTGTACATCTCACCTGACAAGTACAGCTCTGACAGAGGTGGTTAGGATGAACAAAGACGGCATTATTGGTGTACTCTACACCTTCAAAGAGACAACCTGGCCAAATCAAAACACGAATATTCATTAGGAACTGACATACATAAACTGGAGTTGAAAGCCAACAACGGAAATCAGAAAACCTCCCGCTGAGAAAAAATGATATGAAATATGAAGGAAGGTAGGAGCGTTGGAAATTACCAGGAAAAGTAACCAATATATTGAATAAAAGAAAATCCTCAAAGTGAAGATAAGTCTGGTCCCAAACACCCTGTGAAATCATTCTGCCAGAAGTGGTTTTGATCGAAAGAAAAGAATCATTGAAGGCAGTATGCTCACTGGCAAAATTTATTACGTGCATAGCAATGGAATCCAGTTTCGATCCCAAAAATTGTAATGATGTTTTCTGTTTTCTCAAAATGCACTGACCTGTTAGTTGTTATGTACCCTACTTGAGATTTTGAGCAATATTGTTGCTTCAAACGAAAATGCATAGAGAGCCAATGATCCTCTATGCCTTTAACTCTATTCCCCCCCCTTTTTTTAAATCTAGTTTTATAAAGTATACAGTTTGCAAGAGAATGGTATGTATGAGATTGTTGGTGTCTCAGTTTACAATTTTCAGAGTTTCAAAGTTTTGACTTCAGCAGACCACAACATCTCTTCCACAGAACCAAGGTAGTGGTGCTCATTCCTCATGATGAAAGTCCTCATGTGTAGTTTGCCGTTTTATTTTTATTATTTGCATCAGAAACAAAGTTTGGATTGCATTCTTGTAATCTAAAATGATTTCCATTCTTTTTTTTTCCGAACACATGTTGCGGTCTATTGCTGGTTCCAAAAGGTGTTGGAAAAGCAATTTTATTAAATGCAATTGGTTAACGGTAGACTATGTACTACATCTTTGTGCAAACTCCAAATTGGCTACTATTGGTGATATGTTGTGATATTTAAGTGCTTGTCTTACCATCACATATTGGGCAGCATTGCCCTTCCCTCGGTAATGGATGAGCACAGAGTCTGGAGCATTCTATCGCTGCACAGAAGACTTGAGTATTCTGTCAATTCAATACACATATAAAACACATGATATAGACTCAAACATACAAACTATAAATATTTATTTACATAAAATTACATACAAGAAAAGAAAGAGAATTTTTGGGAGTCCGGCTGGTTCAGCGGTTCTGTCCTTCAACCTCTGTGACTCAGGTTTTGAATCCAGTCCAGTAGATTGAGTTTTGTGTTACTTGGTGATTCCAAATTTTCTCAGACTTTTAGGTCACTAATAGGTCAAGTCAAAAATAAACCAAGCTCTCCTTCCAACCCGCTTCCTTTTTTACTCTGTTTTTTTTAAAATTAATACATTTGCAATATATTTTGCAAATTTGTTCAATAAACATGTATTGTCTTTTTATTTGTTCCCAACAAAACTGTAGCTATGTAGAGAGGGTTATGGTTCTTTTGGACACAATTTTGTATCAGCAAAATAGTCAAAAAAATGGAAGAATCCATCTGGCATCTGGGAATATCCGCAATCTTGGGGAAAAAAGGGCCACCTCCTTTTTTCACAAAGTCCGAACTATTTCATTTTTCTAATCGGCCGTCCAAAACCTGGATTCTTTATTACCACCAAGAATGAAGTGAATTTGTAGTGAAGACATTTTCAGAAGGTTGCGCCTGAATGCTTGTCTACTCTTACCCTACATGTGCATCTCTGGCAGGGATCAGCTAGTGGTGTGTAGGTTTGCCCATTATCATATGTGACACCATTCACTGTGCATTGTCCTGTCAGAAACAAACAAACACACTCTTAGGTTAAAGCGACGATAGGAAGCAGAAATGGAGGAGGCTACACAGGGGTACCAGTCCCTGCCCCAACCCATCTCTTAGTAACTGAGGATTAACCACAGCAATACAATTTCCTTAGGGCTTAGTTCTCAGGATCTGGCTTTTAGTCAGTCTGTTTTAAAGGAGGGGGCTGGGGGTAATGCCATAGGGACAATGGCCAGAAAGATTAACATGGTTCCCAAAACTTTAAGAAAACAAAATTCTTTGAGGTTTTCCTGATATTTCCCAGAGAAATTTCCAAAATTCCATGAGAAATACTTTCACTTTAACAAGGTTGATGGGAAGTCAAGAGGTGGTTACAACAAAGTAGTAGAAAATAGGCACTTTGTTGATACTGCAAAAGCCACCATAGCCAGTCACTCATTGAACACAACTAGGACATGCACATGGCAGAAGACGTATGTATATGCCATACTGGTGCAAAAACCTTCCCTTCTAGGTACTAATCACTGCCAAATTTGAGTTTTCCCTGACTGGAGAAATGAAAAGTTATTTTCAAGGTTTCCCTGATTTCCAGAGTTGATGAGAACCCTGAAGAAAAAACCCACACTGGATGCTTTGGCTAAGGATATAAATTCTTATAATTGGCAGATACACTAAAAGATAGGGATAGAGCCAAGTGTGATAAAATGAAGCATATAACAAATATTAATCTAGACTGATTAAACTAGACTGATTGATGGCCTGACATGACAACTTGGAACTTTGCCCAACCTGTTTTATCAGAACAATACAGGTAAATCACCCTACTGTAAAATGGTACAGTCCACAAAGTTCCTTGTGTACACACACAGTACACTTGCACACACAACTGACCACTGTACATTGTACATGTACATGTACTGTACATGTACAGTACTTGTACAGTACTTGTACATGTACATGTACAATGGTACAAGCACTACACACACCACAATGCATTGATTACGAGCACCAGTGCGTGCCTGGAAATGCCATTCAATGCATTGTGCGCAGTGAAGCCACGCCTCCTGACACTTCTCATGAATATTCAAACATTCACACCCTGGGCAATATCACTGGTAAATGTCACAATATTTTGTGTTTTTATGAATATGACAGTTCTTTTTTCAATGAAACCTCAAGATGTGAGAGTACTTTTTATTCAGTTTGTTCATAAATACAAGTCTTTTCATTTTTGACAGGTTAAAATAAAACAGACTGGTATTTTGTAACCCAGCCAGTACCTTACTGTGAAACACAAGTTACACGCTTTACAAGACTACCCTAAATTACATTGTCTATCACTCTGGTTTCTCTGCATTCGCATAAATCTTTCGCCTTTTACTAAAGATTTCCGTGCAGAGGAACAATTTAATGAGTCTATAGACTAATTTTTTGCTGCCCAATCGAAAGATTGGGCTAACAAATAAACAAAAAGTAGAATTCTTAAAGATACCATTATTACAACAACTCATACTGGGAGCCATTGTTCATACACTATTGTGCCCACACAGTCGATTAACTTCATGAGAAAAGTGTTATCCAAGCCGTGCAGGCTGTTTGGGTTTTCAAGAGTTGAATAATTAATAATGGAAGGAATATCAGTATTTATCTATTCACAACCCACTACCATCAGTGCAGCTGCAAACGTCTCTTATCTAAGTACACGTACCTCATCTGTGAAATTCCATTATCACACTTATGGTAACCACAGGCCTTACTTTACTTTCCCTAACCAAGATTATTTGGATCATCATGGTATTTACTCCCATGCTCCAACCACCACGCACCCCTCTACCCCCCCCCCCCCCCAAACCACAGAGCTGTTCCTTGTTCTATGCCCCAACCAACAACACCACATAAAGAGAAGGGTGGCTTATTTGGCAGCCCAAATGTCAAAAGTCTTTTGCTGATAATAAATATAACCAGCAACTAACAGTGACACAAGTCATAAATAATATATTGCATTACAATGCATAACATTTTTTTCGCCAGAGGACTGCTTATAAAAGAAATAGTATCCAGATGCTTTCCCACCCAAAACTGTTACCTAAAAAGATTTAACTATTTGACACACGGAGTTGACAAGGATTATATAAACGGGCAAGATTAGGGCCCAATTTGATGGCTTTGTTTAGCATATGAGAAATATTCTTACTAAATATGGCAGAAAATTCTGCACTACTGTGTTGCATATTTCACAGGTGATGTACCAGTAGAAAAAAAAAAACCTCAAATGCCTGATTAAAACAAAGACTGGGACAAGGGACAACATACGTTTCCTCCAAACCTCACTCTTAAAAGGAAAAAGGGACTGCCGGAATTATTCATGATCATATTTATAATATTTCAATAATATTTCAACAATTTATCAATGCCAAAAAAAATCTTTAAAGGGAATATACAACATTTGCAAACATCGAAAAATAAAACTACCAAATTTGTACAAAATACCTTAGTAGGATGTTGGTAATTGACAGTCTAAAGCATCCTGTAAAATTATGGCACCTGGTGTGAAGTCAGTTTCAAGAAAATTGTATTTTTGGATACATTTCCAACAGTGGTCGGCCGATCACCGTCGGAAAAACCTAACTATTTTTCAACTACTGCTCCAAATTCACCATTTTTTTTCAGTCCAATTTTGTTTGCTATTGGTTACATGTTCATGGACGGGTGCAGGCCAGCTAGACTGGTTCGCTTACCTTACAATTTTCTGGCATCTAGAAATTGATCCATTTTATCTTTAGTGGAGTCAGGGAACCAGACTACTCCACCATTTGTATTTTTCTTGGTTTTTCCAGCATTTCCGAACGCAAAACTTCAAACATGTCAGTGTAACAATATTTGATCTATTATAGTAACCCCTCAAATATTTCATTTCTGAAAATTACAGCAAAAGCCAATGATGTACATTCCCTTTAAAAAAGCTCAGGTATGTCAGTGATAAGATCAATATTTAGATCAAGAAACCTGTAAAAAGTGCGAGTGCACAATAACCTCTGGCCGCCTTGCATGAACAAGCCCAGGCCGCCGTCCCACGTGAAAATCACGTGCTGAAAATTGACCAAAATAAGCCCTAAATTAAAATTTTGTAGTTATATTTTATGGGAAACTCAGGGGGTTTGTTTTTGGTCAATTTTCCGGGGACAGACATATGCAAAATAGACGCGCGTAATATACAATGGAGACAAACGTTTTCCCTGATAACTTTCAAGTGCATTTACTGACTACGGCATGGCATTTGGTCAATTTTTGGTCAAATATTTTTGTAACTTTCAGGGATAAACAGACAGACAGACAATCTGACCGACTGACCACCAAGTGCATGTAGAAGCTCCTGCCAGAGCTTAAAAAAGGAAATAAGTCTTCATCACCAAAGTCTTATAGAGAAACCAATGAAGACCAAAACGAGACGAAATCCCACACAGTGCATTAATGCATCACTCTAAACAGCAAAGGAATGGTTAAAAACCTGTAACATAAAAGGTACAAGAGAAACAAATGGCAATTTAGGAATGGTTTAAATCATAACTTCCACACAATGTCCTTGAAAGAACTACATAGGATATACAGCTAGTGGAAGCCTATTATATAACGTGTACAACAGGTTTCAAACCGGTGTGCAGAAGGGGATTAAAAAATCCCATACAAGAAGATACTGCACAGTCCTGTGGAAATACCAATCCTCAGGCATGTCTGGAAACTCATAAATCTTAGAACTGGAAACAAAGCACCAAGGCTGTATGGATGGGTAGGGATGAAGAAGCATCACACTTGTCTCTCAGTACGAACTTCCCTCAAGGGACTTCTTTGCTGACAAGACCTTTTCACCTGGAGGTTTCATTGACATTCTTGTCATAGTTTTAGCTTTTTTTTGCTTTTGGCAGCATTTCTCTGTCGCAGCATTTTTCCTTGTGATAAGCTGGCAAGAGCTGTGATTGGAGTTGTTCAAGGAACTTTTGCAACCCCATAAATTCGAGCTGTTTGGATGCTAGTTGTGATTTCATTCGTAAAGTGTTCGCCTTTTGCGGACGTTGAAGAAACCACTTTCTTTTGCATTGGTGATTGGTCACCGCTGTTCCCGAGACACACAATGTGTATATCGTACACTGAGAACGACACGAAAAAGGTATTCGTACTCCGTCCTGTCGGATGTAAACAAGTGGCATTTTTTCGTCTTTTCTCGGGAACGGTAAGACATAAGGTTAGTTTCCTTTCAACCAGATGTTTGAAATAGGCTAAGTAAACAATCCAAAACATGAAATTTTCGGGGATTTCAGGACCTAGTGCCCCTTTAAGATAAATTTCTGCCAAAGGACCTTTGTAACAGTTGCGGCCTTTTGATCTTTCATAGCGTGTGCCTGGGGATAGCCACTGGAGGATTTAAGGGGGGGGGGGAGGCGGCTCCACCTGAAGACCTCTCAGGCCCAGCCCGTCACTGGGCCCAGCAGATTGTCACAATGTCACCGACCTGTTTTTACTAGATTATTTATTACAAACTTCAGATAGCATTAAACACAACAGATAAAAAAAGTTTTCTTTTTTATCTTCAATCATCAAAACTAAAACTATGAATGATGAACACAACTACAGTAGACCTACTATAACAAACACCACTATAGCAATATACTGCAAATATGAACCATTGCATAATATGAAATATGAACATCCCTTTGGCTTCTAATTTGTATGTTTAATCACACAGAGCCTAGACAGCAAAACAATTACATAATGTGAGTTCTTTATACCAAACAATCTTGTGTGGAAACCATTGTGTTTGTTACAGAGACCTTCTACTGCAACAAATGTAACTCTACTTCCAACTTGTGTTTGTTGGACGTGACGGGCCTGCCTATCTGAATCACTGAGAGGCTCATTGGCTTACTGAGTTACTGAGTATAAAGCTGTATAGTTGGTCGCACGAGATGAACGTCGGACACTGATGGTCACTGAACCATGCTTGGGTAGTTTATAGTTGGCTACCCATGCAAAATTCAACTGTGAAGTGTGACGATCAAGAATAGCTACTGCTGAACAAGATATTCCTTTTTTTTGCTCTGGCAGTTGCTGCTTGATGTTCAGTTTTTATCGACATTCGACAAACTATTTAGGCCGATTTGTTTTATACAAAAACTCTCAAAGTAATGAATATTCATAAGCACTAACCTGTACAGACTGGACAGCATTTTCCAGCTGGTATGATGGCATTGGTGCAGTCAATGGGTGGACACACAGGATCTTCACATGTCACGAACCCATTCTGTTGACAAAATGTCATTTTGAAAGACAATATGAATATTCATGAAGATTGGAAACATGTTGTCCAAGTACAGTGGAACGCTGCTGTAACGAACATCGCGGGATCCACAGAAAATGTTCAGAATGGCGATTGGAAAGTTTGGAATAGCGATCGTTCAGAGTGATTTTGTGCCGCCGGTACTCAAAATGGCATCCGTCTGTTTAAATAGTGCTCTAATTGAAGTGTGCCCTCTTTTGACTTTTGAAACTTCAGCAAAGGGTGGCTTTTCCCTTCTGTTGATTTGACATTCAGGAATTAAAAATGGCCCAAGCAGCGTTTAAAATATAAACCAGTAGATTTTTTGATAATCCGTTGACATTTTTCAACAAAGATGTTCGGTACGTTTTGTACATAAAAACCAGGAGCCAAGGATGATGTTTGATATAGCCGAATGTTTGGTATAGCGATTCGGTATAGCAGCATTCCACTGTACTGCTGTATTCCTTTGAAAAGTTTCAAATGTGGCAAGTGATTCATTTGTTTTTTGTGCATATCTTTTTTGTAAGGCAACAAAATTGCTCAAAATCTTAATTAGGGTGCACGACAACTAACCTGTGGAAGTTTTAGCCCAGTGGCAACCAAAGACATTGAGAAAACAGAGAAAACATATGTACAATTTTTAGGGTCTTGTAACTGGATTTGGTACAAACCCAAGTAAAAGAAAGTTCGACTTTCTTTTAAACCACATTCAATGAGTGTTTTGTACCTAACAATACCAATTTAGGCAGAATAATTTCACAGGGCATTTGTTTGTTTAGTTTATCACAAATATGGTTGCTGGAAAATTGACTGATGCTTCAATATTTTTATTGTTAAGAAATAAGGCCCAAAAAAAAAAGTCTCCGGTTTCTGGTATGGAGCTTGCCCAAAAAGTGGTGCGGCGACGCGGCTTTTTTTTTTTTTTAACCTGACTTTTTTGCTTCAAATGTCGTCTGATGACTGCAAATGGTGCCCGACTAAACTTAGTAAAAATAGGCCTATATGGGATTGAAAGTCCAGAGAGGCCACATAAAGCTTATTCTCGACCATAACTCCATCTAAAAACACGTTAAAATTGTGCAGCAGCAGGATTCCAGTCAAACCAGTGAGTTTGGCGATTTTGAGACATCATCTTTTATAAAAAAAAAAACTTTTTCATTTTGCCGACGCGCATGGCTACAGCGACGCGCGCGCATACCAGAAACCGGAGACTTTTTTTTTTGGCCTAAAGTAACTATTTTTTAGGGATGTAAAGGTACCAATTTCAAGGATATGATACATATAAAGATACCGAGGTCACAATAAGATAGATATTGTGATACGTATCATGATCTCAAGTTTTGAGTTTTAAAAGGTTACAGTTTTGTACACAATCACAGGATGTGTTGTGCACAAATTGGATTCTGAAGTAGTCCGTCTTGTGTCTAAGTTTATTCATAGTTAAGTATCACAATAACATTAGTTATCCCGCGACCGCGAGTGAAACACGGAATAATGTAGTGCGTCTGTGTCCCAATGTGGGACACAGACGCACTACATCTTCCGTGTTCCACGAGCGCGAGCGCGATAACAAATTTATCTTCGAGCAAACTTGACGCACAGTAAAGATAGAACTAGCATGCTTAACGCGAGCCTTTCAGCAGTTTAGCGCATGCAGCTGGAATGTCGCTCGCATCTTGGAATAGTTTAATACGCAGGGTGCGATATCGACCGTGCAGTAACAGTATAATATCACACTGTTGTTGCCATGGATCGACCAATCAGGATCGAGGATACAAGTTTGCTTGAAGATAACGAGTTTTATATCACGCTAAATTGCAGCATTTTCGTGCCACACGTTTTGAGATATGGGAAGTAATGTTACATCCTTAACTCCTTTACTCTTACTTCTTTTAATAAGTTGATGTACACATGAGGTTTACTCAATTGTTGTGACCCCGGCCAAAAATATTGTCATTTTCATTCAGTACAAGATCATTTGTTTAGCTCTCTACTCATCAGCCCCAGTGTTCCCAGTGAAAGGCAACCATTGACAAGATGAGTGAGCAAACTGCTATGGGGTATCTTACACTGCATTGACAGGTCCTGCAGCTGTCCACTGGATCAGGGAAATTGTCTCCATTACCCCAGGGTTTGCCGCCAAAAGTACATCCTAAAATAAGGTGAAAAAAAGCAACATCAAATGTGATAACTATTTCTTATTTTGCTTTGATATATAGGGTGAGTAAAAAAAGAAACCCAAATGGCAGGATTAATTATTTAATGACGTTCTGCATGTAGCACTTTCAAAATCTAGGACATGAAAGCCCAATTCATAAGCTTTCTTTTAGTACAAAAATCATTCAAATCACTCATGTACTTTTCAGGTTATGAAATTTTAAACACAAACACTGTTTTTTTTAAGTTCTGTCAACGGATCACAGAAAGGGTGTTGGTTCAGCAAAATGAAAACTATTCTCATAGGGATATGTGTAAATTGTTTTCGTTTTGCTTAAAGAACACTTACCATTTTTGTGATCCGTGGACAGAACTTTTAAACGGTGTTTGTGTTTAAAGTTCTGTCACTTGAAAAGCACATGAGTAATTTGAATGATTCTTGTACTATTAAAAAGAAAGCTTATTAATTGGGCTTTCATATCCTAGATTTTGAAAATGCTACATGCAGAACTTCATTTGGGTTTCCTTTTTTTTACCCACCCTGTATATTGGGTTTTACTGAAAAACACAATAACAACTCTTTCAGACGAAGACATAAATTTATACAGTACAAATTCTGCTGTAACAACACTGCTGAACATCTGCCCATAACACAAACAATATCATCTAGCTCCAAATTCATTGAACAATTATATCAAACATTGGCGGTAAATTTGATGTGGTAAACAACTGCTATACTAAAGAAATTGTTGTGGATCCCATTGTGTTCATAATAGTGATGATCTACTGTAGTGGTTTTCAGACAGGGCTCTGACTTCAACATTTCAGTTAATTTTGTTTTTCTCCAGCCAAGATGGCCGCCTAGTCTGTTGTCATGGATCTGGTCACATGGTGACTTACCATTGCATTCTGGGCAGCATTGTCCCTGCCCGGCATGTGGGCATGTTACGTTAGGGCAAATCCGATTGGTGCATTCCCATTCACCCTCCACGCACTCACAATCTTGGCAAGGATCCAGGTCTTCTGGCCGCTTGCATTCTGTCAATGTAAAAATTAAAAAAATGTCTTTGAAAATCATCTTACATGTAACACCTGTTTAAAACCAGATTTCAAGAATCGCGTCAATCCAACTTATTCAAAAGATTTGAATTAAGTACATGAAAAGTTTGACATTTGAAATAATTACGTGTGACTACATAATAATAATAATAATTAATTCTTATATAGCGCATTACATCATTGACACAATCTCAATGCGCTTTACAATGTTAATAAAACAAATGTCATTAAATACACTAAAAAAGCTCATTAAAAATATTAATACATCACCAATCTATTGATTTAAATACCAAGTAAAACTCATTAAAAATACATTAAAACCACAATCAGTCAATCATCATGAATGTTATTTAAAAACCTGACGGAAGTAATACGTTTTTAGTGCTGACTTAAAAGATAAAAAAGAAGGTGCGTTCCGAATAAAATAAGGAAGCTTATTCCATATACTGGGTGCTGCTACTGAAAAGGCACGCATGCCATAATGATTTTGATTGAAACGGGGCTGGACTAAGCGTGTTTCATTGGAGGAGCGAGTGGCTATAGAACTTTCCCGAACTGTCAACAAATCCAACAAATAACCAGGTGCGTGTTTATGTAAGATTTTATAAACCAAGATAAGGATCTTGAACTCAATACGCTGTGCCACTGGAATCCAGTGAAGACTTTGGAGAACAGGGGTAATGTGCTGATATTTCTTAGTATGGGTAATAAGACGAGCGGCTGAGTTTTGAACTAATTGTAGCCTATGGATTAAATAGTCAGGAAGGCCATACAGCAGGCTATTGCAATAATCCAGTCGTGACGTAATGAAGGCATGAATAAGTCGTTCAGTAGTGGTGCGATCTAAAACATTGCGAATTTTACTAATGCGGTGCAATTAAAGCAAAATATCCTGATTGGCACATTTTAGAGACATGAGTAGCCATATTACAGTGATTATCAAAATACACACCGAGATTCCTAATGACTGTGCTAGGAGTAATATCATTATTTCCAACGTGCAAACCTGACAAAAGGTCACATTTACGAAACGAGGAATGAAAATGAATCACCTCAGTCTTCGAATCATTGAAACTAAGCTTGTTCAAAAACATCCATTGTCTAATTTCCTTAACACATGCTTCAAAATGAGTCTTTGAATTATTACCATTCTTACAGGATACGTACAGCTGGGTGTCATCAGCATACAACATAAAATTGATGTCATGTTTCTTGAAAATATCGTCTAACGGTGCAAGGTATAATGTGAACAAAATTGGCCCAAGTACACTTCCCTGTGGCACACCAAAAAGCAAAGGATTCAACTCTGACTTTGCTGACCCAATGCAAATCCTTTGGGTACGACCCACTAAATAGGAAGTGAACCACTGGAGCGCTAAGTCTGTAATCCCATACCTGTTTTTCAATCTATGAAGTAAAATGGACTGATCAATGGTATCGAAAGCGGCAGTCAAGTCAAGCATAACTAAAATAACCTCTTTCCGATTGTCAAGTGAAATCAAAATATCATTTTGAACTTTCAACAGTGCTGACTCAGTACTGTGATACTGCCGATAAGCTGACTGAAATTTGGATAACAATGAGAATCGGACCAAATATGCATGAAGCTGGTGAGCAGCTATTTTCTCGATTAATTTACCAACAAAAGGAACATGTGACACAGGCCTGTAATTACACAATTCATTTGGATCCAATCCAGACTTTTTAAACAGAGGTCTTATGATAGCCGTTTTTAATTCTGATGGAAAAACGCCCGAAACAAAAGATTTGTTCACAATCGATAATAAATGCGTTGAAACATAAGGAAGACCAGCTTTCAAAAAGTGAGTCGGGATCGGATCCAAAACACACGATTTAGAGTTCATTGATTTCATGAATTTGATCAGAACCTTTTCGTTAATTGTACTAAAATGCATGAATGAGTGACCAAGTTCAGTAGATACACATGGAATATCACCAGGAACATGCATCAGTTGCCCTCGAAGACGATTTATTTTGCTATTAAAAAAGTCTAGAAACTGTTCGGCTAATTTTTGATCATTGTCGTGTTGAGGCAAATTCTTTGCTGCAGCTGCTTTGTTGCCAATCATGTCATCTATTACAGAAAATAGTTTTCTCTGGTCGCAGTTCTGGATTTTATGCCGGTAATACAACTCCTTTATTTGTTTTACAAGTCGATTGTGTCCTAACCGCTTGGCTTTAAAAATCTGCACGTTTACCTGCAGAGGATTAGCTATCCAGTTCCTTTCCAGTCGACGAGTTTCTTGTCTGCTCTGACGGATCGCATCACAGAACCACGGCGCTCTGGGTTTGACCACAAAGAACTTGGTGGTTTCGGGAGCAAGACGATCAATAACACGTCTCATTGTAGAGTTGTAGTTTTGGACCAATTGGTCGACAGAATCAGCGTCAGTAATGGGAACTGGGTTAGTACTAAGACATTCTATTAATGACTCAGCAGAAACCGATGATGTTTTCCGACTGACCCGCTTCACTTGAGAAACTCTAGGTCTTATCGTGTCCGATGTGAAATGAATCGTGCTGTGATCTGACGGTAGGGTATTTTCAAATTCGAAATCCAGGACGCAGTTATTTGTTGAACGAGTTATTACTAAATCCAGTGTATGTCCTTTCTTGTGGGTGGGAACTTGGACATGTTGAATAAGGCCAAAAGAAGTAATAAGTTCATGGAACTGTTTCACATCCGACCTCGTTGAATCCTCCATGTGGAAGTTGAAATCACCTAATATAATCAGGCGACCTGGTCTAATAACAGCTGTTTCTAGCAGGGATCCAAACTCTTGCAGAAAATCATTAACAGTAGCTCTATTCTTAACAGATGGGGGAGGACGATAAACGGCAATGACATGGATGAGATCTGATGAATTCCGCATACTTAAGTCCATTAACTCAAATGAATTATATGACGGAGTATGATTACTGTTCGCAGCTAAATTCTGGCGCACAATTACAGCAACACCTCCTCCTCTTGAACGACCCCGTGGACAGCTATGAAAATCATATCCAGTCAGCGTTAAACGAAACTGGCTCACTGTTAGCTGTTCGTTTTTGGACTTCTTGAGCCAAGTTTCAGTTATTACAAACACATCCGTGCGATTTTCATAAATTGATGCACATACCGTGGAAAGTTTGTTGTTGATCGACCTGGCGTTCCAAAGAGTAAAAGAAAGCCTATGTTGGCTAGTAAACGACGAAACTTTGTTGATCAGTGTTAGATTATCCCTGTTGACACCTGCTGGTCTTCTGACATAATCAGTGCGGGGCGTCGTAATTACAGGTATATAGTTGCCATCGTTTCTGTCGCGGTAGTTAAATGCTAGTCCACGCTTTCCACCTCTACGTCCTCGTGTACGTTTAAGCAATTCAAGGGTTTTTAAATAATCATAACAGGGCTTGTCGATGAAGCATTTAGAACGAAGTGACAGCAATTGTTCCATTGTATAAGTGTAGTGCTGCATGGTGTTTTCGCCTACTTTGTCATCCATCATCCCAGCACCGGAAGTAGTCTTTTTAAGAGTTTGTTGTTGAACATGCTGGGTAGTAATAATCTTTCCTGGACCTGGATTTTTCAGTATGTCGCTAAAAATTGTTATATCCAGAAGGGGAGGATCTCGATCCGGGGTAGACATAAAAGTGTAGCCATGTTTTTGCCATTTTCCTGCGACAGCTCTACTGCGACTCACATTGTGCGCATGTATTACGCTGACTCTTGTGAGAAATGTCAGAGGCGAGTCTTGCGTAAATGCACAGGTTCCATCAGAAGCCAGGCAGGATTGCAATTGATTTTGCACAATAATTAGCAGTATTACCCTGCAACAGTTCATGCCGATGTACCTCATGACTTGCTGACGCGTGACGTTATCAATTCAATATGGCGGTCCTACAATACGGTCAGTTCAATGAGATAGATTTTGTCACCAAACGACAAAACCACGACCAATTAGTCTGCAAAACATACTCACAGTGAACGACGAATAGCCGGTAAAAATGTAGATTTACAAACTAAAACACGATGGTAGAAACAAACGGTGATAAAATAGGATTTAAAACGAAATGATAAGAGCAATTAAGATAAACATGGCAGCTAGTGACAGCGCCCTCAAAACATCAAAGGTTCGACTGTTACAGTTGTTTAGAATGCTAACAGAGTCTGATAAATGGGAAATTATTACATAAAATTTCTCTTGCCTAAAACAGAGATGAAACTGGCCTATGCTTATGGGGAAAAAATCAGAAAATAGGCCAAACAAAAATCCATGTCTAAAATCCGGGTTGGGCTGCAGTTACACACATATGTACAATCAACTGTGTGCCCAATTTCTGGAAATCGCCTCCTATTTTGTTTCAGATCCAAACAAAATTTTACGATGTGAAACATTTCAGTGTTCTATAAAATTAAAAAGCCTAAATTAAGGTAAGAGTAACGGACTTGTCAACAAAGTAGTGAGTGCACTTCTTACTTGAGAACAAGGACAAAGTCAAGGAAAATTAACCAAACTACTCCACTAACATAGGTGGGAAGAAATTGGCATTATCGTCTTTTTCTTCCAACAACTGCCAGTGAAATCGATCTTTTATGCTCTCTTCGCCATCCTCAAGATCATTATCGTGAGTTTTAAAGCATTGTATTCGTACAACTACATTTGAAACCTTCGAAAATTGAGCAACATGTGAATTTTTATATTGTCAGTCACGGTAGTAGATTTCCACGTGAGACAGCCTTGAAGCTCTTTTTTCCAGCCATAAACTACTCCAATCCGAGCTCACTTATGTGCATCTATCATACAATCTGTGCACTGACAACTGGTAGAACAGATTAAAATTGCGCTCGCAATAGACCATTATCATGTTGCAGCGATCTTGATTTTTTTCCCAATCAAATCACAAAACCAAAGCGAGGCTGGATGGAAAAATAGTCTGCTCCTTTCTGCACAAAAAAAATCATCACTCAGTACTGTTATTGGATACAGGGAACATGACTGAAATGGTGGCAGCATGATAAATGTCTATACTGATGTCACAGTGCCACTTTCATCAAATTTGTTTAAATGTGATTTTAAAAATCAGATTTTGCGTGGAAAAGATTGTCAAAAAATCAGAATTTTGGAAATAAATTTGAAAAAGTCGGATTTCCGATTAACAGCGGAAAAGTTTCATCTCTGCTAACACCAAAATCCATTCAGGTCAACCCAATTCGCTCCAAATTTTATTTGGTTTAATTGTGTGACTTTGGTTCGCATGTATCTGAAACAAGTGTTTCAGACTTTTTAGCAACCGTACCTCTATCTTAAGTTTTTGAAAAAGTTAGTTTCATGAACTGACAGCAACAAGACAAAAAAATCACAAAGAAACTGAAATCTTCAACAGCCATTTTCTGGAAATTGAAATGTTGACTGACAGTTTTGGAGACACACAAACTGACCTTGTTGCGGGCAAGCGTCACAACAGTCACCTGGGTTCCGCACAGGGTTTGTACACTGGATAGCTGGACAGGTTCGCAATGTACACACCACAGAGCCGTCCTAAAAAAAAGGAATAAATACATCAAACCAATCAGAACATATCAAATTCCCCCCCCACAGAAGTGTGGTTGGGGTCTACGAACGAATACTTACCTGTAGAGCAACACTACTTATGCATATTCCCCCTACCGGCAGGTATTTTCGCTAAGAGTTATATACAATAGCGCCCTCTGGCGCCCTACCCATAACACCCCGCGGCATGCGTGCCTCGTGAGCGTCCTCTTTTCTCGAGCGTTAAGTCGGAATACAACAAAGTACCCAAGGCATCGAGAAGAGTGGGGTAGGGGGGAGGGATGCTCTACAGGTAAGTATTCGTTCGTAGACCCCAACCACACTTCTGTGGGGGGGGGGGGAGTCTACTTCACTCTACTTACCTGTAGAGCAACACTACTTATGCATAGACTAGCACCGTCAAGGAGGTGGGTCATGCGAGATGCTATTGTGCTTTCACAGGGGCACGTAACAATACGCGTAAACCCTGGATGGGCCCGTCGCTCCACATGTGGGTGGACAAGGCAGCCCAAAAAGGTCGGCATGATAAAGACATTAGTCATAATGGTAGCCTCAACATGCCAACAGAGATGTGATCCCCGTGGGAATCACACATAATGAATTACAGACCAACGATACCTACATATAAGAGTTCGGTGGGGCACACAAAATAAGAATTATCATGAAAGGCAAAACATCATGACATGGTACATATAGACACTATAATATGCACATGTACATGTACAGAGTTCAATAAAGAATCAGAGTTAGGAGACACCAATGCTGGGGAGATCTCCGGTCTGAAAATGTCTTGAGAACATAGTGGGGCTCAGTCAGTTGCCCTCAACACTGTTCTCCCATGCTCTGCCTTTTATTTTGTGCATGCGGACCAATCACACGGATTCTGCCGTTGATATGTCCGTGGTTTCATGGATGACCGTAGCCAACCTTCAGGCAATCTTGTCATGAAAGCCTGCAGGTATGGTGGGGTCACCATGATAAATACATGTCATGAAAGGCCTGCCTGTATGGCAGGGTCGTCATTGACAAAAAACATGTCACGAGAAGTCTGCTTGTATGGCAGGGTTGTCATGACAAATACGTGTCGCGAGAAGCCTGTTGGTATGGCAGGGTTGTCGTGACAATTACATTTGTAACTGCAAGTGACCGATTCAAAGCGTCCCAGTGCAGCTAATGTACGACGTTTAAGTCATGATTGGCACCAAAAATTCTCCGTCTGTACAAGAATGATTTGATGCCCGGAACAAAGACGTCCGGAGGCCCAGAGGGCTCTGAAAGTCCTTAGTATAAATCCCTCCTTAGGGAGCAGACATCAAGTCATGATCAGCACCAAAATTCGCTGTCTGAAACGGACAAGAATCATTTGATGCCCAGAACAAAGACATCCGGAGGCAAAGAGGACTCCGACCGTCTTAGTTCAAAAAACCTTCCTTAGGGATCAGACGCCAAAGTCATGAGCGGCACCAACATTTTCCATCTGGAATGGACAATGATTTGATGCCTAGAACAAAGATGTCCGGAGGTAAAGAGGACTCCGACATTCTTAGTTAAAAAACAAAAATCCTCCCGTAAGGAATCGGATGGGCACACTCGGTTCGTCCGTGTGTGGTCCGTCTCCATTATACAGAAAACAGATCTTTACTACATGTATACCAAGAAGTAACAACTGCTTACAAAACAGAAAAGAAAAAAGACAACCGTAGGAACCAATGAAACAGATGTGAAATTGTTCACTGGTTCACAGAACTCTAAAGATCTCTATAACACTTTTGGATAAGAAGGTGTTGAAGAGGTCCTGCAATTCAGGGGTGTTAAAACATCCCCTTAAGTTAACTGACACGGACGTTCAACTGACTAACATTAAGTAATCTACTGTCATGTTACAAGTCCCTCAAGTGCAGGCTGTAAAAGCCATAGCTTGTTTGAGAAAGGTCTGATGTGAACAGGAGAGCATTACAGCATCCAGTACATCAGGAGAAATTCCTGCGGAGCTGGGTGAAGGAAACCCAAGCTGTGCTGGAACAGAATATTGTTCTGCTCGGAAGAACATTTGTACCTCCAACTGGTGAACCAAGGGAATGGTTATAACCCTGGAAAACCAATCAATGAGGTCAACATGGAGTTAAGAAGAGGACCTTGTCATCCTTCTGCTCCAGTTGATTAAGTAATCGAGGAATAAGAGGAAGACGACAGGAAGGTGTATATAAGTAGCCTGTCCGTCTTCATCACCATCGTATTCGCGTGCCATGTACATGTATAGGGGTCAGGAACCCTCAGGCATTAGCCTGGAAATCTGTGACTAGTTCATGAAACAAGTCAGATTGACATGTGGTTAGTTGTCCTTGCTTGGGAGGAGGACCGTCGAAAGCAAGAAGCTATGAGGAAAAAACCCCAATGGGGTATTTCTCAAGTGAGTGTACACAGGTGTGCAGGCTGCCTGCCCACCTGGTCGTTGATGTAAACTACAACTGCGTCAAAGTCACATCGAACCAGGATCATCTGGCACAACATCAAATATAGAAGTAACATCGCAGTTTCTCCGAGACTGCCAGCATCTCAAGTATGTTAATGGAACTTGAATGATGCTCACACATATGGAACGCCAAAGAGGCATTTAATGTGATCATCGAATCGGTGATGGACTTTTGCAATCGGTGATGCATATTCACGATCGGTGATGGACTTTTGCAATCGGTGATGCATATTCACGATCGGTGATGGACTTTTACTGGTGATGCATATTCACGATCGGTGATGGACTTTCGCGATCGGTGATGGACTTTTACTGGTGATGCATATTCACGATCGGTGATGGACTTTCGCAATCGGTGATGAACTTTCACTGGTGATGCATATTCACGATCGGTGATGGACTTTCGCAATCGGTGATGGACTTTTACTGGTGATGCATTTTTACGATCGGTGATGGACTTTCGCGATCGGTGATGGACTTTCACTGGTGATGCATATTCACGATCGGTGATGAACTTACGCGATCGGTGATGGACTTTTACTGGTGATGCATATTCACGATCGGTGATGGACTTTCGCAATCGGTGATGAACTTTCACTGGTGATGCATATTCACGATCGGTGATGGACTTTCGCAATCGGTGATGGACTTTTACTGGTGATGCATATTAACGATCGGTGATGGACTTTCGCGACCGGTGATCAACTTTGCAATCGGTGATGGACTTTTGCAATCGGTGATGGACTTTTGCGACCGATGATCAACGACCCATCACCGATTGCAAAATCCATCATCGATCGCCAAAGTGCATCAGTTATTGAACATGCCGCTGTGGCTTAGGGTTTCTCGTGTTGCCCCTGACGGTGATATTTGTTTACGGTGTTTTTGTGTTTGAAAGTGTCTTTCTCATATGTGAACTGCATTTTTTTTTAAATTAATGTGCGTAAAATATTTGTTGTTAGTGTATGCCGCTGTGGCTTTGGGCTTTGGTGCTGCCCATATTGCAACCGGTAAATGCCCAATCGATGGTATCCGGAATAAAAACACTCCTCTGTGGATGTGGCATAAACACAATGATTTGTTTTTATCCAATAAATGGTAAAAAGTTTTTTGCACCTGATGATTGATGGGTGGGCCATCGGAGACAGCATATGGCGGGGTTATTGGGGGGCCTGACCAGGCATCCAGGGGGCACAGGAATGCAATCACATCATCATCATCATCATCATCATCATCATAAATCCATCTAATAGCCAATCTTGGTATAGATATGTGGGGCCTCTGGTCACTTAAGCACACTTAAGCGAGGACATGATGGACAGTACACAGAGGAACTTTCCTTGCAAATGTTTTTCCACCACCACCCCTTACATCCGCCAGTTATAGTGCTCCAAGGTTTCAAGAGACTATATAAATTACAAGGATTGAAATGTTCGCAATTTTTAGGATACAGACAGCCTGCTCCTCATATTTATGGGGCAAATGGAACCATTCAATCCCCTGTTTTTCTATTTTGTTAGGCTAATTTGATACTTGCCGTAGCGATCTCACTGTGTCACGAGGCTATGATGTTTTCCTGACTGAATGTACATCTGTGGGAAGCTTTTTTTTGTTATTCAAGTTTAATTTGCATTTGTTGTCATTTATTGCCACATATATCTCATTTTCATATAGGCCTACATGTATTTCATTTATTGTCAAGCATATTGTGTATGCCGTGGCTTTGAGTTTCTTGTGTTGCCCACTACTGGTCGGGCCTGGTGTTGCCCCTAAATTGTGTTAATACGGTTATATGTTTTATAATAATGTCCGTTCCCACTTGCGAACTCCATTTTTTGTAATGTCCGTGAAATGTTTGCAGTTAGTGTATGCCGCTGTGGATTTGGGCCTTTGGTGTTGCCCATATTAAAGGGAAAATACAACATTTGCTAACATCAAAAAATAAAAGAACCAAGTTTTTACGAAATACCTTACTAGGATGTTTGTAAATGACAGTCTAAAGCATCCTGTTAAATTACGGCACCAGGTGCGAAGTCACTTTCAAAAAAATGTTATGTTTGTATACATTTCCAACGGTGGTCGGCCGACCACCGTTGGAAAACCTAACTATTTTTCAACTACTGCTCCAAATTCACCTTTTTTTTTCAGTCTAAATTTTGTCTGCTAATGGTTACATGTTCATGAACGGCTGCAGGCTAGCTAGACTGGTTCCCTTACATTACAATTTTCCGGCTTCTGTAAATTGATCCATTTCATCTTTAGTAGAGTCAGGGAACCAGACTACTTGAACATATTTGTTTTTCTTGTTTTTGCCAGCATTTTGGAACACAAAACTTCAAACAAGTCAGTGTAACAATATTTGATCTATTATACTAACCCCTCCAATAGTTCATTTCTGAAAATTACAGCAAAAGCCAATGATGTACATTCCCTTTAACATAACCATAATAATTAACAATTCAAACGGTATATGCCATATCACAGGTATCCGGAATAAAATACTCCTCTGTGGATG